TCTCGTGGCGACTGTAAAGACTGCAAAGCGGCATCCGTGGCTTCCCAAAGGGATATACAGATTTGGTAAATCGATGGTAATGGACCTTTGATCGGTTGGAACGGTAAACAAAAAAATCGAAACTCGTTATCACAGAAAAGAGTCAACATCAATGGCCAATATGTCGCGAGATATGCCGCGTTGGTTAGATATGTTATTCCTTTCTAATTTGCATTTTAAAAGCTAAGTCATCAAGAGTCTATATATATATATCGTGATTTGTTCATGATTATTATTACTCGGGTCACGTAAGGTCAACGACTATTTGTGATAGAACGAAAGCGCACGAAATCTAAATCTTTTTATGGGTTGTTCAACATACCAAACAATTTTGATATCGATATTTTCGAATTGACTATTGCAAGAAAATGCACTACTGACGAATTTCAACTTGACTGTCTTTAACTTAAGTGTAAAAGCCAAATTAGTCGCGTTGCGCACAATGTTTGATATTAAATAGCGGGTACTACCACGTGACATTACCCTCCGGCTATTTGTCATGTGCAGCTAAATAACCAAAACAAATAATGTAGTAGCTCCAAATTTTAGGTATGCAGGAAAGGCGGAATGGTTCAATCAACTCATTGGCGACTGAAATGACTGAAATATTTTGTGTAATTTTGTCAAACACATCTAAAAAAAAATTGGGTCGAGCCTAAGTCGGATTTGGATACCCGTTCTCGCGCGTCTCGCCAATATCATAAATAAACAGACACTCTTTCCAATTCGAGTACGACGCGGCAAAAATCACCTCAGTCTTGTTTGTGGTCTCGGAAATCGCAACCAACAAGGATGAAGAAGCAAATTGCCGGTATATTTTGTTATTGAACCAATAAACAGTTCAAAGTAGCAACTGCCCCGTCATTATTAGTATCCAATTCAATGAATGAATATAACCACCAATCAGACTTCACGTCACGAATCAGTTACCCGAGCAGGTATTCAGAACAAATCCTTCGCTATTTAAATGTTTCATGAAAGAGACACCCCAATCCCAATAATTGAATAACAGGATACGTGTCGTAAGAAAAGCGTATCTAAAAAGTCTTTCTTTAAACACAGACCACGCATGGCAATCAACAGCCGATCTGAATTGAATGAAACTTTATTATGCGAATTTGTTATAACGATCAGCAAAATTACCGGGTAGTACATATCGTACAAAGGTAAAATTCCAATATTATTAATACCAGGCTTACAAGTCAAGCAGATATATTTTGTCCATATAATTGCAACCTTCAATTCAATTAAAGGATAAAAAGACAATGTAATGGTGTAGCAATAACGTAATATGTAACCTTTTTGATGGGGGTCGAAATCCAGTAGAAAACGCGTGGGGCGAATGATGATTAAAGACGTTCGCGTGTTATTGGGCACCAATTACTTGTAGTTATGTCCCCAAGCTTCTCATTATGGATTTGTTTACTCCCTTCTCCTCATTTAGGGATATTTTCGTGATATTGTTATAGTGATATGAATTAAATTGTAATGTCATACAAAAGTAAAATTGCACAGTATATGAATGACGAAAAATGTGATTTCTTAATGGAAAAGGTTGTATTATCCTAGTACTTTATATGTACTAAATATGTTTTGTCTAATGCCCCGTTGACCTTGTAATGCAAGTATTACCAAAATTGTACAGAATCTGGATATATAATGCATTTTTATATCACCGGAAAAGCGCCTGTTCAAAAGTGAATCAGATAATCAGTATATAGTAAAAATATGCCAGATAGTCGTATATTGCTACCGACTCAAAAACACCAAATTTGTTTGGAATACCATAATCATTTCGAGTTTGCGCGTACGACTAAAAAGAAGCAGATGTGAAGGATTAGAATGAAACGCAAACGCCCTCTTCAATGTATTCATTCCTCAATGTATTCACGATCAAGATTAGTGAAGAGTTTCAAGTCGGTTCAGGTCGGACTTGATTCTAAAAACATCGAATCCGATTTTATAAAATTGATTCATGTTTTCCTAGTAATTGGGTTAACAAAAACAGTGCATCTACTTTGGACATAAAAAATGAATCCTCAACTTTTTGATTACCCTAATTGAAGTATCTTACAGTAACGTTATTCAACACATTCATGGTCTCAATACAAACATAGTTTTAAAACAATAAAAGTTGTCAACTTGTATAATTATACACATTATATGGTATGTAGGAATTCGAAATTCCTTGGTCACAAGACAATTTTTGATCTCATAATGTGCTCAGCCAAATGCGCATTTGACGACCTAATGATAGATTAGTCACGGTACCAGACACGCGCCTGTTGTGTATCGGGTGGATGTTGGAGTATGTAATAAAGAAACAAGGAGACGAAAGTAGGGTGAGGCAAAATTGATCGATTAATCCACAGCCTACATGCATAGCCAATTTTTCGTTTTAGAAATTGTGCAGTGTTTTTTATATATAAAGTTTCGATTCACATTACACCTATGGGGTTGTGACAGTAGTGTCTGAGCTGCATAGGCTTTCTACAAAATAGTATGCAATATTTGAACGTTACAAACAGTGAACGGTCATTGTGCTAAAATCGTTTCTCGTTGATTTAGTATATTGTGACCATAAAATCTTGCATGGATTGATGATATCAAGCCGTTGCCCCTTTTGTAATGATATGATTACGTCATCTCCCTGGTGAAATTGGCAGCAACCATTACCGAATTTCGTTGCATTAAGTAGCGGCTGACTGCACGAGATCGATGCTAATGTTTTTTCTTTTCTTCCCACATCTAGACTGACGATCCAATGTGACACCACGGAAAAGCACAGTCAGGAACACAATCTAGCGACAAAATCTTTGTGACAGAAGCTTTTAAAAACAAAACATCGAAATGCTGACTTGGATAAACAACGTTACAATTCAGCAAGCGTGATATTTCATGAAAACAGCTTCATGCTGTACCACGCAGTCATACATCCCCGTCTGAAACAAAATGGCGACACTAGACATGCAAGAAATCACCTCAAGCGTAAAGGTTGACGATAACGGGTCTCGATGTCATGAAGAAAAGAACTCACCTCGGGTCCATGCTAATAATTTGAGCTTCAAACGAGACTGTGCCCCGCCGCGAAATTTGAGCCTGGCTCCGGAAAAAGCCTGCCTTCCTTTAGCTAGAGCTAGTCTATCTATCCATTCCCGGATAAATAAGTAATGAGGACTCGGCATAAATCTTCTGAATATTTCATACGTTTTCGTCGGCCCAGGACCTTCCTCCCAACGTCATCCAATCGTCCCCACCCGACAGGATAATAGGGAAAGGACAAAAGTAATGCAGAAATATACAGACACTTCATGAATAAATCACACGAACGGTTAATTTTAAAGACCCGGCTGAGTACGTGTGAATTTGCGATATGCCTTTGAATATTCATGACCGAGGTCTTGTTACAAAGGTAAACCATGAGATACGGCTGTTCCGGCACTTAAGTTGATTAGAAACTCTTGAATTTTTCATTTAGTTGTCCGAATTTAGGCTTTCGTCAGTATGTAAGTTGCCTCATATGACATTTTGACCGCCCAAAATTGCTATTTCACGATATCAATCGTTGAGAGAATTTGAAAAATATTTCACTCAGTAATGTGTAATGCGTGTCAGGTGCTCCTAACAATTTGGCGCCAGGAAATATCTATTATTCAACAGTAAACATTCACCACGCCATTTGAATGATGCATTCTTGTTATGTTATGCAAGAAACAATATTCTATGGCGCAACCAAAAAGATGGTGATAACCATTTTAGGAGTGTGATATAAGTTAGAAAATTTGTGATTCAATGTAATTTAAAATAAATGAATAAAAAGTAAATGCAAAAAATTTGGAACTATTATGATGGGACTAAAGAAGCCTTGCCATGCCTTGGGACTTCTCCTTATTTCATAGTTTTACCTGAAAGGTACATGCGCCGACAACTTGGTTGGTTACTTGCTTTCACGTAAGCGAGGTTTTCTGTCGACGTGACTGGAAGTTAATGAATGGTGTCGTTTCAAATCCTGTTGTAATATATTGAGCTAAACTCATTGCAAAAATATATATATATTAGGTTGGGTCTGATCCAGTTTTATGGGTTTGTTCGGTTTAGAAATATGTTCAAGCGGAAAAAATATTGGCGTATATAGGTACACCGGGGGAATGCGAATGTTGCGATCGAAATGTAACGACCGAATGTCATCTGGCGCACATCGTATAACGACGCTAATTGTCGGGCAAATCTGATGGGCGTGAAATTTCTCCTCTAAGAACAAATGGTCATCAAAAAAAGATTTTTTTGAGAGAAATTACGGAAGACGGTGCTTCAAAGGGCACCCAACCCACGACTTGGGGAAATAATATTGTACCGAGATAACAAATAGACTGTAGTTGATTCAGATCCGATCTTATCTGAAAATTGTAAGCATCACGTAAAAGCTCCGATTTCAACAGCGGTTCGTTCGCTCGGCAACTGTGCGTCAGCTTGAAGAGGCGGCAGTCAACTGCTGGTGTATGGGCCGCTGCCATGTGACCCGCCGGCAGAATGCCCTCGGGCCCCGATTCGGGCTACGGTGCGTTCGCCAGAAGGTCTATATATCGTAATTTTGATCTTTACTTGTGTCTACATTTTGGCATCATAAAGAAATCTAGTTGTAAATGACATTGGGCCAGCAAAAACAAAAATATTTAGCAATAATTCAAAGGTAATCTTATACCAATAAATACCAATGAACTAAAACACGTCAAATTCATTCCATCATCATTAAACAATTGTTTTCGCTAGAGCAAAAATTCAAAATTCAAATTTGAAATTCTACCTGTCTAGTTTCGCTGTAGCAGAATAGCGTCTTTTTTAACCTGATTTCTCACTTTTCCCGTTGCCAGCAGTACGTCATCACAAGCCCAAGAAAAAGCCGTGTTGTTTGGTTTTCAACATTTTATTGTATATTGCCTCGGCCACGATATTATATTAAAATCACACTCATCATAAATCAAATCGAAAAGGGAATGTAAAACAAGAAATACAAAAATATTGGAACTGTAAAACTAAAATATCATAATAATAATAATAATAACAATAATAAAAAGGACTATAAAAGTGGATCCAGGTAGAAGAAAGGCAAAACATTTCTCAGTTAATGCTGAATGGTCGACTAAATAAATCAACATAAATGAATTTGGTCCCGGTGAATGATGGAATGCCGTACCATACCATTATCTACAGCATACTTTTTTAATTTGCCTCATTAATTCAAGTCACATGCTCCAATCAATAAATTCAAGATTTTTTAAAATTGGACGGAGAGAAGTTTAGCTACAATAAAATGAACCACCGTGCACTACGACTCAAGTCACCGTTTGTTTGCAGTACAAAACATTTGGTATATGAATGGATGAAAAGGTAATCGTTGAGAATCAAAATAACAAGAAAAATAAAATAAATAAAATGAAACGCAAAAATAACTTTGGATAACAAAAATAAACTTTTGTTTTGGAGATAACCAAAGAGTTAGTTAGTGGTTGAAGTTTGCAGTTTTAAACAGTTTTTCAAGATAATCCCAAAACAATAAAAAAAGCGTAAAAGCTGGTAAATTTATCGTAAATTAAACGGATCTTAGATTGTTGAAATAGTGTATCACAGGGTTCATCAGGTTTTTTCTTGATTATTTTTTAACATTATAAAAATTGAGCCGCTGATGAAATTCTATTACCTTCTACGCTTGATCAAAAAACAATTATATATCACAAAAACAAATAATAATAAAGACTGTTTGGTATTATCCTAAATACGATTTTGGTTAATTATATTATTGAAAAAATACAAGTCCAATTCGGGCAAATTGAGTCGTTTTATGTTTGATTGAACTTGCTGTTGTGAATTTATCAAATATTTTTGTGAATCCTTGTTTTGAAAACACGGAGTCAAGAAAGTGCGTCGTAGATATATTCATAGTCAACGCAATTATTCTTCTTTATTCTCAGGCGGCTTTAATTTTGTCGAGATGTGGCAACGGTTAAACCCAGTTTTATCGTTTTTTTAGTTCGCTCACTCAGTGACTAAGTAACTTGGTGTTCATGAACCTTCATGGTATAACCGCCAAATAGAGCGACTATTCCGAACAGCTATCGATCGCTGGCAATGACGTTGCCTTGTACCAAGCAACACGAAGTTGACAGCCTGTGTTTTGCTGACGCATTCCAGTCGTTTGAACTTTTCTTTATAAAAAGTTACATCATGTTTTCCTACAAAATGAAAAGATTTTTTGAATTTCAGTACTAACAAAAACACAAAGAGTTTTGAGTTTGTTTATATCAGGGAATCAACCCGACTTTTTTGTATAGGTAGCTGATATTCAGCAAAATGTAGACGAAACTCAACCATTAATTGGGAGCATAACCCCATATTTGTTATTTTAAGGTGCTCAGAAATGATATGAATAAAATAATTTTAATATTTTGAAATTTCAAATTACCATTTATCTTTAAAATATAACGCGAAACAAAGTGTTACTCACCCCATTGAATGCAGAGAACTTCATTCGCTTTTGTTTTTGCCTCTGATTGCAAAACCACACTCGGACAACATTCTTTTTTAAATCCAATTTGTCGGCGATTGCGGCAATCTTTTCTGACGACGGTCTTGGCTGAAAATGAAAAATGAAGCGTTATATACGTGTGATATAACAGTAGCAGCTTCGTAATGTCCTTTGTACAATAACGTTTGCTCAAACAAAATCGAACCGATATTGTATTCAAATGACAAATTTATAAAAATATGCGTTTTAAAATAAAATTGTTTCATGTAAAGGCCAAGAAAGATTTAGCAACAAGCGAGTTGCCTTGTTTGACACAAAAATGGATGATTCCGAAGCGCTATTAGTGATATATATATATGTTAAAAAAATCAAAAATGGCGGAATTTAGAATCTAATATTTACATTAAAATGATTAGAAACATGACAGAAAATGTCTCAAAATGGTGGAATACAAACATTATTATTGTATGGCAAACAAACCTGCAAAGAAAAATATGCTTCAAGTGATCTTTTTTCCGGGGCCGCAATTGAAGTACGTTTGCGTTTCTTTTCAGCTAAACCCGATTCTTCCATTTTTCTGCGATATTCGGCTTCAGCTTGCTCAAGCCAAGTCATTAAAATTGGCTTCAACGCAACCATGTTGTTATGGCTCAGGGTTAATGACTCAAACCTGAAGAAAAGAAAAAATTGTTTTTTTCTCAACTGAACACTTTATATTCTAATTCTCAACAATTACATTTTCATTTCGATATATATATCGTTTCAACTGATTTTGGAATGACTTACCTACAAATTGTGCTTTGGCTTAACGACCCAACTCCAGGTAACTTCAATTTTGCGAGTGCTTGTCCAACATCACATTGTGTTACTCCTAATTTGATTCTCCTTTGCTTGAATCTGTTTGTAATGTTATAGAAATTATGTTAGAGACGAAGGTATTAAAACTATGTATATTGCGAAAAGGGATTCAAACCACAATGAGAACAGAGGTATAAGTTTGACATTTTTTAGAATATATCACAGAATATTTTGAAACTCAAATTCATTCTGCTATTTTCATACAACATGTAGATACTAACCGTTCAGCGAAAGCTTCAAGTTCACGAGGATCTGTGTCATAGTCGCCTACCGGTAGCGATGGGTGTGTGATAGGCGGGGAACAAGCTTTAAAAACAAAGAAATCTGTTATGCATAACTAGTAAAACTCAATATATATATATATTTCGATTGTTAACGTATGAAAAATTCAAGCAACTTACCTCCGTTATGTTGTTGGGAGTGCATATCAGAAGAGGCTGATGAAGCAGGAGTAGCCATGGCCACACCGGGATGAAACGCCATTGAAGACGGTGGTTGTGTGTTAAAACCTGGCAACCCGCTTTCTGATGTCGGCATCATTCCTGATGACGCGCTGAAGGAAGGTGGTTGGTAGGTCGAAAACGAAGAACTATCAAAAGAAATAAGAAAAATCACAAAATGTATATATTAAAAAATAAGAATTTTAGAGAGTCATATATGTACTTACCAATGAGATGGATTGCTCAATTGCTCCATCAAATCTGCGCCAGAATCTGTGATGCTGAGAGGACCTTGTGTGAGTGGACCTTGGTGCATAGTGTGAAGCGGAGATGGGTGGTGTATTCCGGGTGGAGGTGGCATAGCTCCATATACTAAATAAAAAACGTTTGTCAGTTGTTGTTATCTCTACCTGTGCTATTCACTTTACACGTATCTCAGACAAGAACATTATGCGCATACCCATGAACTAGTTGTTAATCGCAGAATGAATTTATAGCGAATACTTGTTACGATAATGAATGAAAGTTTGTTATACCTGGAGGCGGGTGTACAGATCCAGGTCCCATGCCCATTCCTGCGTGGTGTGCTTGTGGTGGCATATGGTGTGGCGGTGGTGCGCCCATTGGGTAATAACCTGACACAGTCGATTCTGGTTTGAATTGATTTTTTCCGGGGTAGTCTACAGCAGCCAGTGCTTCAGCTCTAGCTAGGAATGTTTCATCAAACCCGGCAAATAAATTTCCCTAGAAAAAAAAACATTTTAAATTAAATAACGTGGGAACATTGTGTGATATAATTGCGAAAGTTGTCAAGCTAATTTAAGAGAAAAGAGGGGTTGTTAGAGCTTTGTATGTTAATTGGCATATTCATAGTGACCATGCAATAATTCATACATCCTCTTTTTCCGTATGGAACATGCCCTTCGCTTAATTCGATTCGTTACGCTCTAATATGTTTCCGTAACAATGGAGCTCAAAGCGGACTTTTTGAAACAGGCCGAGGACGCCATTTTCCGTAATATCGAAGCTCGCTCGATCTGGAGGCGTGAAATTGCGTACACAAAACGACCCGCTTCAACATATGTCTCGAACATTATTTCTATATTATAAGGAAAGACAAAATACGATGACATTAGATATTATTGAATTAGGGAAATCGCATTCTAGGGTATTTGGTTGTAACTATCGACTGATACTTAGTCTATTTGAACAATCCAACAAAATTTTCTAATTATATTTCTAACTTGTAAAAGTGGGGTTATCTTGCCAAAAAAAAAAAGATTTTTCACTGAAAAAGCCAAGCGCGATTAAACTATGGCTCGCAACTGCTTTCGCAACTATATTTTGCAAAATATCCCAGTTTTTGATGCGCGCCTTATCGACAACAATTTCGCAGCAAGATGGAACTATATGGGAACTAGTTGAGCACAACCTTATACTGTAAAATATATTTATTTTAAGACAAAATATAACTCAGTATAATTTATACGAAATAAAATATTGTTAAATTATAACAGGAACTACATTTTGTCGTCTTTAGTTCTCTTTGCCAGTAATTAGCCAATACACCATGTTTGATTTGGAAATGAAAAATCGATTGTCATTTTAAGTCCCATTTGATGCACCCGTGAGTTTTCCCAAAGCGTAGTCATCCGAGCTTAAAATCGATGTTTCGCTTTTATAAAGGAATCATTACCACATCAAAGACATGCTCGCGAGGTTCTTTATAATTAACCGAAACTAAATGGTTATTTGCATAAAGAGATGACACTAAATCCTCAACAAGTGGACAAAACAATTTAAAACTTTGCTGAAAAGTCCAGTGAAAGTTAAGAATAAAATTGTAAGACAACACTCACGGAATATGTTACTGGTGAAGGCATACAGTGACGTCTCATGGCATCGGCCGCATTGTGAAGGGGCGCGTATTTTTGCTCCGGTGGAGATCCCGTGCTTGGCGGTGATCCAGCGATTGAAGACGCTGAGAGACCACCCATTGGGGACCCAGGTCTATGATGATGATGGTGTGTCAGCATGTTTGTGAACATTTTGCTGGTTGCTTGATCTTGAAGAAGTATATCCCAAAAAGCTTTTGATATTTAATATCTTAAATATCGAAGAAAACGATTTTCTGAAAACAAAATAATATATATATATAACGTATTCTGATTGATTATAACACGAAATGCAATTCATAAAACATTTATCTATTCTCTAAGAATTTATAGGATAATATAATATCGTCTACTATACTACAGCTCCCGATGTAATGTAATAACTAACTGACTACACCTTTTCTTTATGTATATAAATTTTTAATTTTGTCTCTTTTTGCGGCTTTAGGCTAAATTTGCTATCTACCACCGAATTTTACCACCTAGAAGCGACAAACGCCCGCTTGGGACCGGATGATTTTAATATTAGATGAGATATTTATTATTCATCACTGAACTTCAAGAACCTAAAATCACGGCCAAAAATGAAGAGACTTCCAATTTACCACGGGAAAATCCGTATTGAACTTAAACCTTGATGATTTCTCCATTCTATCCATATCGTTTGATATTTAAAATTGAAAACCTTCAACTCACAGCTTGTGGAATAGCTAGCTTGTATTAACCATGCACACCCTAATCTACATAGTTCTGAAAGACGCAGCATTATTTGATTGGGCACCGTTTTATCCCAGCCCGTCCCCCGATGACGAACACGACTTCCTTTTTCTCTCTTTGTTACTTTTTCTAATTTTTCGTTTCGTCGTTCCGACGACGACGCACGCGTTCGCGTCACAAATCTATTGCCATTCGCTTTCGACTCACTCTTTAGCTGGCTACGTATCTCCCCCTTCCATTTAAACGTAATATTTCCTTCCTTGTTTTCTCTCGCTTTATCTTCCATCGGCTATCATCGCAGTCAAAACACTGGAATGCACCTGTCCCACCGTAAATCCTCGTCCCATCGTGTACGCCCTCCTTCAATTACATCGTAATGCAAATTCTGGATTAAAAAAACACCTGACGCATGCCACAAATGAACTTATGGAAAACGCCGTTTAAAAACATTTTATTCTTTACAATATGAATCATATATAGCAAAGTTATATTTTATTATATATACTAACAAATAATTCCTCGTTGTGTTAAATTTGTTGGTTTGTTCAAAAACAGTTGACAATTTTTTTGGGCGTGTAAAATGAATAAATAATAATTTTATTCCAGTGATTCATAATTTATCAAGTCCCACAATCATGACCATACTAGTAAGTTGTCTATATAGAAATTTTCTGTCTTATAACCTTATGCCAAGATGCAAATCAAAGTTTAAGCAACGAAAATCAGTGTTTTCGATAAAGTTCGCTGCCCATTTAAAATCAAACGCTAAAATATTTAAATGCAAATGAGTAACAAATAAATAAACAAATCAAGAAATTTTATATATTATGCTTCGTAATATGGGTGCTTAAGTATGTGAGTTTTTAAACAAACAATAAAATATCCAGTGTTGATAATACAATAATTAACGATAGTAAAATTACGTTATCGCTTTATGAGTTTCTTTATGGAGCATATGTCGCTGGCTCATTATGAAACTCTGCTAATTTAAAATCTATTCATTATACTTGTTTTAATGATAACTGGCAATTATCATATTTCGCTAACAGCGTAAAGTTTTTTATCGATAATGCTCTGCATTCTGCATACCCATGCAATATGGCGTTTATTTCTTGTAATTCAGCTTTTTGCTTGATACATGACCTAAACGCATATGTTTGACTGGCATTTCACCTAACTTTGTGTCCATGCCAAAAAATGAATGCATTGCGTTTTTGTTCCCATTCAGCACATTGTAGGACCTAAAATGCTGACGCCATAGGATAAATTTCAGTTTATGAGTAGACTCTCCTGCCTTGATAAACTTTGTGGATTTGAAATGCTTTTTTGTTAATCGCAAGGCTGGCTTTCAATGAGAACAAGTGTTGGAATTGAACAAGCATGCGATCGTAGAATGGAGACATTATTACGCTGGATACTCTTGCTTGGCCACTTTGAATAAGTGTTTTTCTCATCATTCGAAACATAACGAATATGCACGACCAGGCGATACGCAATATACTCATTAACGTAATGATTAGTTTTTGTAAAGGGATGATTGCCAAAATGAAACACTCACAGAGTGAGTATTTTTCTCAACGTGCTGAACATACCGGATACACGCGACCAGGTGACACGCGATATAATACACATCAACATAATGAGTATTTTTTAAGTGGATGATCGCATTCGGATGTCGATTACTGGTAATTACAAAATGCTATGTGCCGTGAAACAGAACCCAACCCAATGTCACAAACGGAGCCGGAAAGGCTCATTTAATAAATTTGTTTCCGAGATTCACTTTCTATGTAAGTCCATTTAAAGCGGAAGAAAGGGTATCCGCTGTGACATGTGTTGCGCGCACTCGCTCTTAATTGGCGAGAGATAGTGTTTCAGTCAATGAACTATTATACGGATTACGGAAATACACATAAAGGGATTGATATTAATCTTCTAGAGTAGGATTATATGCAATAAATTATAATCAGTGTTTTTATTTATATTGCCAAGTGGACTACGCATATCAAATTTCTTCCAGACGTCGAAAAATTCAATGGCGCAACGTCTAAATACAATTTTTGACGCTTTGCTAAAATACACATTATCCTCAAAACGGCGTTAGTTCAATAAGGCGCAATGCGTTCTATACGTAAACGTTCGCGGATTGGCTTGACTTGCTGATCTTTCTTAGAGGAAAGATATAAACTTGTTTAAAATGAAGACTCCGTCATGTCTGTGAAAAGTATTGAATGCAAGTTATGGGTGAGGCTTCCAAGCGACGTCCGAAATTTGACGTGAAGTGCATAAGTCTTAGCCAATAGGCTCTAGAATTGGTTTAATGCAAATTTACCAATGTAATGATTCGAATTATATATATGCATCGACGGATATTAACCAGTAAATACATCACAGATTGTGTAATTAAAAAAGGTATCGAATCTGAAAATCTAATTTTGCCGCCACCTTAAAATTAACTATAGTTCACTTTAACTTGCAAATGCACTGCCGTTGTACGCAGAATTGTTAAAAGGATTACGTTTGTACAATAAACAATGCTGGATTGGCAGCACGGGGTCAGAAAATGCATAGATCAGAAGAATGACAGAAATTCTCGGGGGATTCCAGTAAATACGGACGAATTTTTCACAAATAATTACGTAGCTGTTTGGAGAAAACGTCATTTATTTGATAAATTACACTGAAAAAAAATTTCAGCATTTCTTGCAAAAATAATAGGGTGTAGCATGACCGGGGATTGCGTGATTTACAGAAATCCTTTTGTTTTTGTCTTACTACACGCTAACAGTTCTGGACGCGGTGCAGAACGGACTAATTTTCCAGTAAGTTGATGGAGTAAACCCAAGTGTAAAATTGAGTGAAACGAAATCACATTACCAGTCCCTGAACAGAAGTGGCGCGAGCGCGAGGAAGCCACGCGTCTCTCGTGCTCTGACAGATGCGTGTTTGATTATGACGTCACATTATGAAATTATTTCTCAGCGGGAAAAGAGCTATAATCGCGAGATGACACCGCAATCTCGTTAGGTGGTAAATTTTAAATGTATTTGTCTACTTTTTGTATGGTCACAGTATGAATACATATGGTGTAACCATTTTCACAACTCCTTTGAATGAGAAGTCAGCACTTCAGCAGAGATTTCACGATTACACAAAAAGTTAGAAGTTATAGGTATAAATGATTAATATATTACAGATCTTAGTTTATTCGATGAATACCATTTGAACAGCCCTAATTGATTTTAATTAATTTCACACCAAAGCTTTTGTTACAATATACTTTGAAACAATAGATCAATTTTTGTTCTTACCTTAAATATCTGACTGACTAAGACTAAACTGACTAGATCACAAGCTTGATTTCTACCGTATGCGAATAATGCTAATTAGTTCTGCAAAGGTTTTATTTTTAACGCCGATAATAACTCACGAATTGTTCCTATGTTAAACCTTACAATAACAAAAATTGTATTTTCTGTAGCTAGAATATAGCCTTCATACTCAGATTAGTGAGCATCAATTTAACAATGGGTGACCAAAGCATGAGTTTTAACAATATATATACTGGATATCTGCAAAAGAACAATTATTCATTTACGATCTTTTACGCCCTATTTTTAATTCATCGTTTATTTTCTACGATATCTATTTTGATTAGTCTAATTCTTTCATCTCAGTTATTCCAGAATATATCTTTCAAGTAAAGCTTGAATTCACACATCTCTCACTAAAATTTCCAAAAATAGTATGACACCTAAAGCAGAGTTGCGTTTGTGAATGGGAAAATATTCACAGAAAAAAATTCCACATCGATATTCCGAAAACGATATTACAATCGACTAAACGGAGAGTTGTAGAATATTAATGAGAACAAAATTCATGTATCGACTATTAAATCCGAATTACTATTGTTCCGGGTCTTTATTGCATTGAATTTGAGTTTAATTCGATTAGGATTTTCTTATCATCATAGACAGATTAATTCGGTTATGCTTTGCAATAAACGTTGCCACTGTCTGTAAATAGTTAAAATACGCAAATCTGATAAAAAAAAATGTTTTCTGACTACTTATTATGCTATGCAGATATTATGATTAGTATTGGTGACGGAATGCAACTTGTATGCATTGGGTGGTTGTTTACAATCGTGAATGTTACATACATCAGCGGAAAAATGAGAGTGAAATATATGATATTAATCAAGCAGATTGTTTTTTCTGCTCCGGCAGATATTGAACATAAAGTTGGTTGATGGTGCCACTGTGAAACGTAGATGTTTTGTTGGTCACTCCTGAAATGCAATTTAAAAAAAACGAGTTGGAAATCAATATACTGAAAACGAATAATCTTTTCTCAAGGATAAGTGATCAATGACCATGTGATCTATGTTATTTGCACGTCATGAGCGTTTTGGGGTAAATTATTCATGACAAAATATTGTTTGCATCGTTGAAACATATGGTTTGCACATGGTTTTCGTCACCATTTTTATTGCACATCGTATGCCTTTCGTCTTATATATAATCGTCCTCTTAACAGGTGGTTTGCCAATACCAATAGTGCACATCCCTCCTAGCTTTATAAACACTTTTGTATTTTACGGTATCTCATCCACGCACATACTTTTTGCAAATGCCGGCTCATTGCAAATGTGAAATATTTTTATTACTGAGATATAACATTAAATTATACACATTAGTGAGAGATGTCTGTATGGCAGACCAATATTCCCTGCCACACAGTCATTAAATTTTTAGACCAATGGGTGTGATAATTGGTATCAATCTCACCACAATAAAACATAGTTTAAAAACATGTTAGATAATTACGACGAAATAATTTCCATAAACATTATTGAGGGAAAAGGACGATGGCAATAGGGACAATAGAGGTTGGTGTCGATAATCACAAGATATTTCTAAACTTCTCCCCGACAGAGCATGATGTTACGTCTCATCAACCGTCTGTTCTGAACGGTGCAATTTCGTTGTCGGTTCACCACATGTCCAGAGAACACCTGACGTGTTCGATTATAACTTCAACTAATCACCAAATGAATGGTTCGAGACGTTGTGGCAATTATTGTCAAATAAAACTTCCTTTTCCACTTTTAAAATATACACTCCAAACAAACATATATACAATGTGCGTGATTGTCGGAAATGCAGTCTATTTATACGAATTAGTACATAGACTATAAGTCAAATTTTCAGTTATTGAAATGATGCGCACATTTACCTGATATCATTGCTGCACACGCTTCCACATAACCCTTGCAATTTAACCATTGGTAATAATCCAAACCGCATAACATTAATTGAAAAACTAGGCAAAATTTCAATTGAAAACCAGACCTCAAGTACAATAAATTGGGCAAGTTTTAGCAAAGAGTCGCAGGTGATTCTTTTTTTATTGAACAATCCAAAAAACAAAACTTTATTCAATATCCCGATAGATAAATGAAAAATATGAGAACAATATCCTCCGATATTTATCTTTGATTTGAGACAAATAACTCAACTTTTGGTACATTATAAGCTTGCAATTTGAACAAAGTCATGAATGAAAAAATACTTATTAAAAATTAAAATAGTTCCCACGATAGGTCCCGGCCTACTACACCCTATCTATATTTAATGAAGTCTTTAATGTCGAATGGAATTTTCAATATAAATGTACCGCAGTCCCAAAAGACCATTAAAACTTGTACATAATTTAGCAAAATTCTCACCTTACACGGATTTGGGGCTTATAGTACATCCCCATAAAAATAAAATTCTGACGTATCCTGAATACCAGATGAGCTCTCTAACGCCACCATGTCCACTTTATAAACCCGCCATTTTTGTTGTTATTTATACTTGATATTAAGTGCGAGGCTATATTTTAGAAATTTCTGTCAGCACAAAATATTCCTAAAAAATTGCAAGACATATCGCACCATCAATAATCAACAGCCGTCTTCCGATAAATGTCTAATTTCACCAACGGGAGGGAGTTCTGTTGATTGGTAGCCCATATCAAAAAATTTCCCTTCATTTTTACTTTATCAATCACGAAGAAGCTTCATACACATATAGGTAGATACTGAATTTACATCCTAAAGATGTTTTATCCAGGAGCTTGTGTCCCAAGTGTTTACTCTAGAGTAGTATATAGTCAAGTATACATACATATACAGAAACAAATCTGGACTAAATATCTGCATCGATTCAATTGAGTCAATTGTCCATTAAAAATACCATAGGCTACTTTACATATAAATATATATATGTGCATGCGTAGCCAATACATTACTATTATGATAAGCTGGTAAAAATTTAAAATACTTATAATGTTTTACTTATTTTACTGAGCTCCAGGAGTGACAAGATATTGGGAAGGTTGCATGGTCAGAAGGAAATTAGTTGCATGCTGAAAAACCTCACATATTTTTAAAATGTTATCAGAATGTGTTGTCCTAAAAGACTTTAATACTAAAATATTTTGAGTGGTTCAAATGATAGTCTTTTGAGTGTATTTTTGTGAGCCCCCGTGAGTATGATATGTCTATATCTATATGTAAGTTTTACTTTCACGTGTTAATAATGGATTTTTCTGATATTTCTAGCAGTGTGTTCTGTTCGTGCAACCCTGTTAAATAATTGATGAATTTCCATTTTCGCTCCCCCTTTCTCTTTCAATGAGTAACATCGCGCGTTCGATCCATTTTTCAATAGAAGAAATTGTCAGCCAACGAAGATGTAAAAAGCAACAAAAATATTCACAACTAGGAACTGTGACACGCTATTCATTAGGGATCTCCATCTCGTTTTAAAATAATAATAATAAGCAGTCCAGTTTGCAAAATTAGAGGTATGCATAAGTTTAGTAAATAAGAGCTCAGAAGGGAAACAATACGATCGTCGTCCAAAAAATCCATTAATCGTGAACTTCCCAACCTAAACATTCTTAAAGCTTTCATGTTTTCTCTTTCATTTCGTTTACTGAGCTCACGAGATATAGAATATATATGAAAAATGTTTGAATCCTCACAAAGTCAACCATGTTTTATTCTCGTTCTTTTTGAATGAAACGGATTCAAGTCGAAAAATGTTACAATACATGAAACATAAACAACATAATATATTACACCACACCCACATATATAATGAATGCGGTTCATATCTTTAGAGAAATTGAAGATATAAAATTTTTGAATCGTTTTACATGATTATGCCAAGGGTACACATTGCGGGCGCGATTCTCCGATAAGTATATGGAAGTAAAAATCGATGTAAACCTCATATAAATTTTAGCCATGTTCCCCAGAGTGCAAACCAGAGAATGTGCGCTCTTCAGTACATTTTTTGAGGTTTTACGTTAATCCAGTGCAAGAATGAACATTCCCCTTTCTCGCTAAATTAGGTAAGTAAAGCTATACCAGACAGACCTCTCAGAACTTAACATTCTTTGTTGTATTAATACAAGGATTCTACCTGTTTACAAACTAACTCTATTAATTTTGCACTAATAATTCAAGATTCCAGCGATCAGATTATGAAAATAAATTGCCGAAATTTGGACGTCAATTCAATATGATTACCACATTATTTGGGATTTTTAACCTTTAAAAATGTCGCGACTAAAATTAAGTTTTTTAATTAATAAAAGTTTTAGGTAGTATTGAGATATAATTTTAAGATTATAAATTGAAATTCTTATTTTGACAAAATAAAAATCATCCATTTGCGGAAATTTCTTACAGCCATGAAGGCAGAGTTTCATAAAAGCTTCTATGACGTAATAAAAGATATGGTAATTATTTCCAAACAATTAGAATATCGCATCAAAAATAAAATTCAATTAATTTTAAATAAAAATTCACTACATTGGCGAAGTGTTGACGATGCAGAGCAGTTACAATATAATATCCCATGTCGGATCCGGGACTTTTGGAAAGGTGAGGCCTACTTTATAGGAATATAAACAGAAGGATGAATGCGTACATATTGTCTTGAGCGTGATGATATACTTGTTGAGCTCGCTATAGCTACTAGTAAAATAAAATTTTAATTCTGAAAGAAAATCACAATCTTATAAATGTTTTTAAATACAAGAACCTGTAGAACGAAACCACTCGTTCCATTCCAGCACGTCTCATTATGATGGAAAACAGTCTAACACACGAAAAAATTATTTCACACAGGTTTTCAAATGTAAACATGTCTCTAGTGGAAGACTCGTAGCAATAAAAGAACTTGTAAGAGACAAATTTCGTGAACAAGTACTTCTAAATGAAGTGGACATATTAAAAAAACTCACGAGAAATGGAATTCAAGAAAATAACTTTATCATGCAGGTTGTTATTTCAATATGATACTAGAACCTAATCCATCACGAATTCAATGTGCGCTCTTCGCGTGTTTGTTGTATAACGCATCAATGTGAGTATTTTTGGTCAAAACATACGAAAAATGTTTATAATTTTCAAACATATATCAATTAATTAGAAACATTTGGCATGATGATTGAAATATGAACTATGAAATTATTTTTATTGATGTGATGAGTGATATTTTAATAACGTTGCAGACCTTGGATATTATTGAAGAACCATCCAGAACTTGTCTCGTGTTTGAATTACTAGATAAAAGCTTGTATCAGTTGATGAAAGAAAGGAAATTTCTTCCATTACCATTTTACGACATCCGCATCATTGCTTATCAGCTCTTTAGTGCCCTACAGCGGTGAGTGTAAAAATTTGCACGATTGTGGTGGAGGGCATTTTATTAAACTAAATTACAAACTAATGAGAGTTATTCTATTTTTATTAAGATTATTTGAATTGAACTTGTTGCATACTGATATAAAGCCAGAGAACATAATGCTAGTTGATCATAGGAAGTGGCCGTTTAGAGTAAAGATAATTGACTTTGGATCTGCAAGTAGATTGAGCACGGCCAGGATTTATCATGCGCCATACATACAAAGTCGGTTCTACAGGTTGTTTTATGTATAAATATATATTTATCATATTGTTATTAACCTACAAATATTCGTTAGAAATTTCGTACATACTCTTACGTGAATTTAGACCTATAATATATATTGTACTCGAATGACAAATGAATATATATATATATTCTTTATTCAAAAAATAAATTTGATAATATTCCTCATTTTATTTGGCACTTAGACATAGTACATTAAAACTTTTTGTCGATCTTGTCCAATGAGAACACTTCGAATAGGTTTACCGAATAAATATTACTCTTATTGTATAGCTTCCATGGCGGATTCATCAGAATTATATATCTATAGGCCTACTAATTAGTTCAAGATCTATCTCATAGAATCGAAATGTTGGTGCTGATCTTTTAGTTTTAAAATGTTTCGTAAAATTGAAAATACGAATATTTTGGCTTACCACAAAGAAAATTAAACAACTAAAGTCTCATAGATTATTTCTTCACTGTAGATCACCTGAAATACTTATTGGAAGTAGTTTTTCCGAAGCAATTGATATGTGGTCTGTTGGTTGCGTGCTTGCTGAAATATGTATCGGCCACCCACTCTATCCAGGGACATCTGAATACGACCAGGTAAAAATAGCATTTCAAAGTTCATTTACTAGTGTAAACGGGGATAGAGACATTATTAGATTATAACATGATTTCGGTCGATTATTTTCACAGATCCGTTATATTGAAGATATGCAAGGTGATTTTCCATGCAATATATTGAAAAACGGTCGAAAAACAGAAAAATATTTCATCCGAGTACATCATCCAAAGTGTGAAAAGCAATTTATGTGCAAGCCAAATACACTCAGAGGTATGTAGGGATTCGATATATACAGGTCCTTATAACTAGATTACTTAGTACAACTATTTTAATTTCGTGTGTATTTCGGAATATGCCTATGATTTTAGCCGCTCTTCAAGTTATCACAAGTTAAATACAATTAAAAAAATTCTTAAACATCTAAATTTCAGACGAGTCCAACTATTCAGCATGTAATTGTCCATGGAGACGCAAGAACATATTTGAATACAAAAATGAAACGGGAAAGGATCCAGCAGAGACAAGAAAACTCAAATTTTCCAGTCTTTCTCATCTTGCACAGTGGCGTCGATATCATACCAATCAAACTACTCCAACATACAACGATTCTATTCAACACTGTGACAGCCTGATGTTCGCCAATTTACTTGAGGTGTGTGCATATCACGTCTTTACATCACGTTTTACCCTTTTCCAGAAAATCTTCTGATTGCGTTCCATCCACTATCTTCCATTATATAATTTATTGTACAGTTTGCAAGTTTATGGTTAAATAAATATTATATATTTTTGTTTTAGAAAATACTGGCACTCGATTCGTCCCGAAGGATAAAGCCTTGCCAAGCGCTCTTTCACGAATTTGTCACCGCTACACATTTGTCCTGGTATGACACCAGAGCAGAATATATCAAAAACACGGATGAATCATCTTTAAAGGCATTTGGAATTCCTTGGATAATCCGAAACTATTCTCCCGCAACTTCATTTTACAATCCATTCTGGGGGATGCTCGGCCAATCTTTACAGTGTAATTTTTGGCCAGGCACACAAACTAAATCGCATACGTCGATTACCAACGAATTGACTACTGCGGCGATGAGTGGACATGAAAATGCCCACGGACCGTCGGGTATGCAAAGTTATTCGATGAAGATAAATCAAACTACTGGATGCCCACGTGTTATTGGCGACAGCAGATACACAGCGGAGACAAACCAGGTTAACACGAACGCCGGTGGATTGGGACCTGACGGAACAATTGCAGAGCAAGAAAGGACTGTTATGGTTAGTTTTAATAAAATTTATTTAAACAGCGAGAAGGAAAATGGCGATGCGAGGGCACATGGTTAATAGTCGTGAATTTTGCAAAAACATACAATAAAAGTTTTACGTATAAGCAGAAAATATATATATGGTTTCATTTGCAAAACATGTTTGGAGCGGATCACAACCCCCCCCCCCCCTCAAAATATATATATATAACAATAATTTACAAATACTATATTAATAAATATATTCCAATAAACAGAACCACTCAGATGCCTCAAACAACACTGTATATTTTCCTTCGTCGACGATACAACATGTTAACCATCCATCTGATAACATGTATAACTTCTATGCACCGTACGACGGCTTCCAGGCAATACGTGCGAATCCGTCGGGACCACCTGAAACATATGACAGTGCAATTTTGTTCTCATTGCCTCAGAATGATGAACCCAATCAAATTTGTTACGACAAGACAGCGGCAACTCATAAACAAGCTCCTATAGGAACAAAGAAATGCAGAACAGTCATAAAGAACTCAGATGAGAGATTCCAAAATCAGCATACTTCTTCAATTGCTCAACAAAGCAGGAATATCGACTTTACTTTGAGCAGTACCGTTCATGATGTCAACAAAGTTTTTGATCAATGTCGAGTTCCCTATCCAGAAGGATATTATGAAGACAAGCAATATGAAAGAAGCGTGGAAGCCGTGACAACGCCATTATCTGTTGCGTGTTCACAAGACGTTGCAGCATACCTTCAGCTACAAAAATATCCCGGAACCGGTCATTGAAATACTTTCCGTTTAATCATAACTACGACAGCGTTCAAGCACCAGAAGCCGCACGATATTTTATATCCAATGAATTTCTATCCGGCCATTACGATTTCAATGAACATAAAATTTCATATAAAAAAATAAATAAAATACAAAATGGGGTGTTACTTGTACCAGATTTAAGCCGATTGGTATTGGATATGACAAATAATGTGTGCCGTAGTTATTTTGGCGAGTGAGTATTATTCGATGTTAATTGCAAGTCCACAAACGTCCGACCTCCAGAAGTATGTGCACGAAGATGGCGCACAACCTGAAAATAGTATGTGTACCAGGTTGAGGTTTAGGCTGTGCGCAATCTTATACACATACTTCGGGAGCGCCCAAACGTCTATGGACAATATACCAAAAAAGGGTGTTATAGATAAGGGCGATTAGAACACTCACAGCAAAGACATACTAAAATCTCAGGTTGGAATGTAAAACACCAGTATGGTTACCTTACTCCTGATTTAAGAGTGGGACCCGCTGTTATTTTTCAACAAAAGATCGGGCTTTGCCATTCCATATTTGCACAATCTGGCAACTCAAGCTGACCTCTGCACTTACCATGCAATGTTTATAAGGTTGTCGCCTAGAGTCGAAATCTATTAGGTTTCTTGAAATATATCAGTATGAAAAGTAAATTTATAATTCTCAGATCAAAAATCTACAGAGACGAACGGTAATTAGTAGAGAAGTGTGGCGATAAAACTTGCCACGGGCGCATCCGCGCATGCATCCAACTGTATCTTTAACTGGATGTCTCGCCAAGCATCGACTTCGTTGTTTACTTACTAAACATCAAAGTGACTATTTGCTTAACATTGGCTAATCAATAAGATGTAAATGTGACGTAACAATGGACATTTTAGCGACCTCCCAGACACTTTTGTCACTCAGATAGATTTTCAAGCATGCATGGTTGTAAACATTACCTCGTATTTGCGTTGATGCACGCTATTTGTTAGTTGTGCTTATCTACAAATAGCTGTGATAGACTAGGCTTACTGAAATTTTCTATCGTTATTTTTAAATGATAGGTTGTTGAATATTGTGAATGAAATTGACCGTTTGAACACTCGCGAAACTTCTTTTTAAAGGAGCACCAAAAATGTTATGGTAAAGTATAGGTAGAATTTCCCCGAGGTCAAAGATCGGGGAAACATCCATTGTAGAGGCACGTTGGTATGTCTTTTGTTCTGGAACTCGTTCTTGGCACGTTTCAGGTTTATCGACCAATTTTGAAACGTTTTGAATTCATGTGTTTTGATTTGCTATTGACCTTTGTACGCGCACAACTTTGATGCATTCACTCGTGCTGCTGAGAGGGCTGGTACGTTCGGATCTTGTGTAGGCGAGAGAATTGTGGGTACGCTCCTCGCGCAAGTGCTGGTCGGTTACGACCGCCACCCAAATAAAGCGACCAACCAACTTGCTTTTGCCAAGACTGATGTCGAGAACACGTGACTAGCCGAATGACACGTTCTTATAGGCTTTCTCTGCTGAAACGAGTGTGAAATAACCAATCCTATTTTGAAAACGGATGAGGAAGTCGTTCTGCAAACACTAGTATTTGGAGACTACAACTAAAGACGGGTGTCCTAAATATCTGGTGTCTATATATGGACACACATTTTAGTGACATCCCCTAAAGACAACAACACATTGATTGTGCCTTTAGTTCCATTCCACTATATAAAATTCTGTGTCATTCCTGGCATAGGGATTTACATAACGTGACCTCAAGAGAATTTGTTTATGATAATCAAAGTACACCACGATCAGACCGCAGCTAATTGAATAATAGCATTGTTGCTTATATACTTTTTCTATGGCTGAACTTCCAAATAATAAAGTCCAGGCAACCGCAACTGCTGGTTTCTATATCTGCATTGGCGAAGCAATTATAAAATGGATGCAAAATCTCTGCTCCAAGATGCTCTTTAATATCAGAAGCAAAGAGGAAAACCTCATATAAAAATAGAAAAACCCCTAGAATATCTCATTATTAAGTACAGTACATCCTCCCTAGAGTTTATGTTATGTGAACATTTTACCTGTATGAGAAAAATCTTCTCTTGTATACATCAGTACTCGGTTTCAAACTATGATTTTGTCTTTACCATCACTCATGCTGTTTTTGAATGATTGCAGTATTAAAATTCATGCAGCCTTCATATAATTTGAACCCCAGACATTTAGAACTGGAACTGAACAATCCAGCAAGGCTGCACTTTGCTCTTAATCGATGAAATTTGTTTCGTTTATTCATCATCAAGCCTGGAAACTTCTTTTTAATTGAATATCATTGAGAACTTGTAGTAGTTCCTCATCTTCAAATCGGCCTTCTAGACTGGGGATAAGTGCTTTAGCTTCTTCGGCAGTTTCAGGACACAAGTTCGCGAGAGATGCAAGCTCAAATTTATGGAGTTTCTTTTGAAGTAACAGGCTGCGAACACTTGCTATTGTTTCACGATTTTTAAATCGACTGAAACGCTGTGTGTAGTTCAGTGTTTTCATAAATACCTAAATAAAACAAAAAATAAATGAATAATGGGAACACTAAAAACATGGATAAAATGTATTTTGCAACAGGATGTTGCTATTTATATCTTAATAATAATGGCAAAGACAGCTATCCATAAGTTTCGTTCATCTTGTATGCGCTTTTGATGTAGCTATGCTTCATAAAATATAATTCAGCATTTTCATATTTATTCTTGTTTCCAATTGTTAAGCAAGATTTATACCTCAGATAATTCTTGTTCTTCTTCAACATTTTCATTTTGTTGTTTCCGATGTTCAAGTAACATATGAACTTCCGAGTTGAGCAAAGTTTCTGCATTTTCAAATTCAGGAGGAAATTGTAGCTGCGATGCATCTTCTTCTTTGTCTTCTAACACAGAACTAAGAGCTTTTGTGGAGGAGGACGTCATGACAGAAAATTAACAAAGAAATTATAAAGTATATAAATATTTTATCTGGATAAATATAAGATATCATCTTCAATGCCGTTTTGTGGCATAATTTAGGACTTAAATAACTTAATTTCTACAATGGGAAACAAGCATGCCAGAAAAAGGGTTCAATTGGACTAACTATAACACAATCAAGCATTTTTCACAATTCGTCAAGTAAACAAAATTCAAAATAGAAAATCCAATAAAAAATTCTGCATGCAAAAAAATGAATGTAATGTAGTTCTAAACTGATACCATACATCTTTCACAAAATTGCTATATTTGTGAGGTAGTTTTCCACTGAGAAGGTCCGTCCCACCAGTACTGTAATTTATGAAATATCCAACATGCAGAATACTTTAATCGCTTTTTGCAAAATAATCTTCTTCTTTAGTTAATCCAGTCATTTGTTCACATACTTTCCAGAGTTTCAGACCAGTTTCTGAATCTGTTGCAACTGCTTTTAATTGTCTCAGCCTCATATTTGAGAAATACCCTCCACTTTTTTCCTCGAGTCCTTTTTGAAGACAACAGTACAAAATGGTTTGGCAGCCATAAAAAAGTGGACGCATGAAGCAAGCTTTTAGTATCAAGTGGCCAACTTTCATCAAGGTATTATGGATTGCTCCTGTACCAAGTTCACTGGCAATCACACCAGGATGGAGAGCATAGGTCTGTAGGTTGATATAGAACTGTTTTCTGGATCCTCGGATCTCAGTCTTTTATTCAGTTCTGTTGTAAAATATACATTCATCAACTTTGTATTTGAATATTGTTGTATTATCTGCTGATAAGGGCTTTCCTTGGTAAGTCCTAAATTTATATTACCAAAGTCAATTTTTCCAATTGTATATAAATCAGCACTGACATTTACTATTCGAACATGTTGGGAATCTGATGAACTTTTCAAAAGTGGCATTAAAAGATTAGTTAAAAGAAAAGGTCCGAGTTGATTTGTTGCTAAAATAATATCATTCCCATTATTTGTCATTCCAGGAACAGCAACACCTGCATTGTTTATTAAAATGTCCAGCCTAGGTTCTGTATCAATGAAATTCCTCACAAATCTTCTCACATCCGCAAAATCTGATAAATCCAGCTTCATGTAGTGCACCATATCGTTTCCACTCTGGCTCTTGATATCAAAAATAGCTTCTGACGCACGCTGTTCATTTCTACTGGCGATAATTACCCGTGCCTTGCGTTTTGCAAGTTGTAGAGCTGTCTCTTTTCCTATTCCATAACTTCCACCGGTAATAAGGACAGTTTTTCCGTCAATTTCCAAATCATTCTTGAATACAGGTCCTGTTTTGACAAACTTCATCCACGCATAAGTTATGATAATGAGTAAACAACTCAGCGCTACCAATAAACCACCATCCATCGCATTCGGGAATCCATATGTTAATGAAGATTGCAACTGGATTGAAAATATTACGCGGAAATAATAAGTGCGCACAGTTTTCGTATCGGATTGAAATTTTATATTTATACAGTTGGGAAAGGGAGTTAATAAAACAGCGATAAAGTTGGAGTTTTTATAACATTTATAAAATATTTTTGTTTTTTCTTCTAATTGATGATTGTTCAAAAACATTAGTTTCAGTTTACAGTATTCGTTCCACAATTTTAACCGCGTAGGATTTGATTTAAAACATGGTTGTCGGGCTGTCGGACCTCAACAACCTGACAATTGCGTTTGCTTAAAATTATTTATGTTGGAACGATCAGGCGGTGTTGAAATATTAAAATAAAGCTAATATTTCAAAAAAACTTCTCTTTACATGCTATATTTAAATGTTAATAATATTACAGTACTCTACTGTTAAAATTGTAAAAATTATGGTGATTATTATTTTATGTTCTTTTTCCATTAAATAAAATAAAGCGAATGAAAAATCAAATAGCCTAAGACTGTTTCTGTGTTTCGACTTCTTTAAAAATAGCACTAGCATATGAAGATGCCTGGTCAGAATGCAGATGATCCAATCCTCGAAGTTTGGGCATCAAATGTTGACGAAGAATTCAAAAAAATTAGGAAGTTGATTCATCATTATCCTTATGTTTCTATGGTAAGCGTTTTATCATATTGCAACAGGCTGGATGATTACCGGTACAATAATTCATTTTACTGTTATATAATGTTGTATTTTTTATATCCAAGCTTCTGAAAACTAATACCTGGCTAACTAACCCCATACCTACCCGACATGAACTGGTCACCGTTCGAGAGGCCGTGGTTTGCCATATGATTAAGCCGTCTTATCGACTTCCCTCTCCCCCGGGATAAATATGAAAATCTTATATAGTTGTTTTTCATAAATTTAGACAGAGAAATGGAAACGCGATATTGTTAAAAATCCGAATCGTTGTTTTAGTGGTTTGTCACTTAATGTATTTGAACATATAAATATAACATCATTTTAACCTGAGAATATGAATTTAATTTCCAGTTCGAATCAGTTAAAATATTATTATTTGGATTTCATAACACTGCTTCAAAATCACACTAGTATGATATATAAAAATATTCTCTCTTGAGGAATGAAATGAACAAATCACAAATTGTGGTATTATACTTTCGAACGATTATTTTCTCAATGATTTCGACATTCAAAAATCATTGATATTTAATCATGTAACTTATTGTAAATTAAATTTAAACAACTTTTATGGCACAGACTTATATTCTCTCGAGGCTTGGTCTTTCAAATATAAATTATAAATTGAGAAATATAAATTTCCGTACAGTATGGGTTAAATAATGCTGAACTGCTCAGTGTTGAAGTTTTATTCATCTATGTTTTTATTGAAAAATGAGTAAATTTTTTCCCATTCTATATATTCTATCATAGTTTAACCCCCAAACCTTACAATGAATAAACCTTTTTTCAACCATTGATGACAAGAATGCGTTCTGAAGACATACTGAAATAGTACTTCCTATTGTGTCATAATGAATAGATTTTAAAATATTGGGGTAACTCTCATTTTTACTTCGTTGGCTCCCTAGTCTGACTGATAGAGGTCAAATGTTGAAGATGAAAAATTGTCAGATGAAAAATTCTAAATTATTCCTAAAATCAACAAGTAATCATATTGAATATAATCGATTTTGAATGTATCCAAATATTTATTTCATATGGAAATATCTGTTTGTTCCGATTGTTAAAGTAAAAATATAGGCTTGAGAGTAGGCTTGACCCAGATACCATTACTAATATAAACATTTAATTTAGGACACAGAATTTCCTGGTGTTGTTGCAAGGCCAATTGGAGAGTTTCGTAGCAATTCAGACTATCAATATCAACTTTTAAAATGTAATGTCGATCTTTTGAAAATAATTCAACTAGGATTGACTTTTATGAATGACAAGGGTGAAACTCCACCTGGAATATCAACATGGCAGTTCAACTTTGCTTTCAGTTTGAAGTGAGTTTTTTCTCCATAAATATTTTCATTGGTTTATTTTTGTTTTAAAAATTCACCTAAATAGTAAATTGAAAAATCAGGTTTTTGTAAAATTAAAAGTCTTTGGAATATATTTCTCATTCCACCATATTGATTGTGACTTCATACGTTTTTGAGTAAATATGCCGAAATTGTATTTATACAGTTATATTCAAGACTTTTTATTGCATAATTTACGGTAATCCGTTCTTGGTATATTTTAGAATGTAAATAACTGTTTTTTAACCAGTTTATTTCGACCAGCACTTTTTCTTTTGGTCCAATATTGCATCTATAAATTATATCCAATTGAGCTGAATGCATGACTTTTTTCTAATATAGATTTATACTAGGAATGGGCAATATAGAATACCGAATCCGGAGGATTCGAATCCCAAAGTATTCGAATCCAACGGGATTCGATAACAGGATTCGGTTTCCGCCTCTCCGGCGCCATGCGTCAATTTTTGTATTTCGGGTTTCTAATTTATCAATTATAGACGAGCGTTTTTCTCGCGTGGAAATCTCTCTCGTTTAATTAAACTTGCGTCTGCTCGCAAAGAACCCGTAAATCGGTAAACATCAAACACTGTAATTTCAATCGGCATATTCAGGACAAGATGTCGGCAATATAACAACACGGCGAAGACTCGTTATTGCACCATTTTTGCGTTTTCCCGCTTTGTAATCTAGCTAGCGTATAATAATAATAATTATTTGTGCCGACTTACTGGTGATATTCCGATAATCTGAATGCAACAATCTTTAATTGTTTACAGACGTGCCTTACTTTATTTTAAATTGATTTTTCGCGACCTCAGAGTTTTCCCAAAAAATGATGCACGTAAACCAAAAGCCAGGCATTAAATGTTATAACATTACTTGCGATTGATTTAAATCAAATATTAGTTACGAATAATTTTATCATACCATTTTCCGAAATACAAAGTTATATCGCAAAACGCGAACATCTGTCACATTTAAATTTCACTCTCAAAAGATTACATATTTCCCAGTCCGTTTCTATCGTTCAAGATAGACGCACGTTTGATCGAGTGTCTGTAATATTTTAGTCGCCGATAAATTTTAAAAAAAGTTGCCGCATCTGGCGAAGCTAGTGACGTATTGAATTTCAGTAGGGCCAAGTCTGGGTAGATTATGATATGTAACGATAATCATAGAAAATGAATTAGTCTTTAGATGTTATTACCTAATAACTAAGTACGAAATCGCGTTTACTGGAACTTGGTTTTACGTGTCTTGCTCGCACAGAATAAGAAGTTGATTTTAATTGATAGTGGTTAAATTTAATATTTTACAACGGCGCATAGGTTGCAGTGGCCACACGCTGGTTCTAAACCTAATTAATTCTCAGCGGGTGTGTTTCAGTACACTCGGCAGACTTACATTAATAATGATTTAACGCCGTTTCATGTCTATTTTTGCATTTAACCGCTTACTATTGAAGTGTAAAGTAATGTAAAGTGTCTTAATTTAGGATATCATTATTTATTAGTATTTAGGGATTACATACATTTGGAACAATTGGGAGGCAAAAAAGATTGTAATATTCTTCAATTTTATTGTCCTGGGAAATGCCTGTTTAGTATCAAATGAAAACCTATGTTTAGGACATTTCCAAATAAATAATACAATCATAGTAAGTAATACATTTGCAATTTTACAACATCTAAATCCAGCAATGTGGAAATTCAAGGTATGAAAATAGAATAGGATTCGCTATTCTGGATTCGATTTACCTATTCTAGAATATTCTAGAATAGTAAATTGTTCTACATTGCCCATCCCTAATTTATACATATAAGTTTACTTTTGTGTTTATGCAAAATTTTAGGCATTTTTTATGATTATTATATCTGTTATTTGTAGGCCTATCTGATTTTTGGGTACTCCCATAGTGTGAGTACCAGGTTAGGGCATAATTTTATTCCGATTTGTGATTTTCCTTATTTTAGTTCTATTACGAGTTCGGGGACTGTCTGTGTTAGCCAAGTGAATATACGCCCTGCCCATAGGTTTTGATCCGTGTTTATACAACTTGTAGAGTAGGCGATCAAAATTAGTTACTTCCATATTGGTACACACACTTCTGGACTGGAGCGTCGATTCTTGTATCTAAGTATTCCAGCACAACCCATAAGTACCAAGTTAAAATAAAAAAATGTGTCATAGTAATGTATTTGACCCTGTATATTTTTGAGACGTTTAGATCAAAATATCAATTGAATTAATTATCAAAACAGTGTAGCATTAATTAACTCTTTATGAGTGAGGCCACAATTCTAGGAAATATTTTTTCAAATATACTATGCATATTATCATATGGAATGCAATTGGTAACCATATGTTTTATGATTTTATCGTTTCTCTATCTCGTTAATTTAGCGAGGATATGTACGCCCAAGAATCAATTGATCTACTGCATGAAAGCGGAATTCAATTTAAACAACACGAAGACGAGGGAGTAGAACCTTTATATTTCGCAGAACTGTTAATGACATCAGGCATTGTCCTCATGGATAATGTTAAATGGGTGACATTCCACAGGTTTGTGGTGTTACTGGTAATACCAAAATTAAATCCTTTCACAAACGTATATTAAAACAGCACTCTCACACTTTACAACACTTCATAATACCTATATTGAAAAAATTATTTTTTTGCTTTAGTGTCGGGAACCTTTTTGGTCAAGAGAGCCATAAAATATAAATATTTTCAATTGCATTTCCGTGCGAGCCATATAACATTTCTTCACTTAATCAGGCCGGAAATGTTTACTCAAAAGTCAACACATACAATGTCAGTATACACTTAATGTGATTATCTGATGCTGCATGTAGTCGCTGCGGGCCTTGAACGGTTGCTCACATGCAGCCCAAGTTGAAATCTGCGATACTCATCGCCTTTTTTGTTTAGATATCTCCGTAGTGTTTTTAAAACTCTATCGCTTTGTGATGTCACAATATATGTTCCAGAATCCCCTTGTTTGTCACAATGCCTATCTGGTAATTATCTTACATAACATAGACATGTGCTGGACGCGCCTTCTCAAACTCATTGGGAATTTCCTGCCAAATTTGGCTATAAAAGAGTTTGAAATCTCGTAACAATAGTAACCTTAGTCTTGGAATATTAGATTTTTTTGGGAGCCATGTGTCGTCACCAAAAGAGCCATATATGGCTCGCGAGCCATGGGTTCCCGACCCATGCTTTAGTGTATGGGTATTTAAACAGTGCTCATACACTATGCAACTCTTCATAATTTATTAAAAAAATTCACTCCTGTTCCAGTGTATCAGTATTTTTATACAATTAATTGCAATTGTAATGGCCTTTCACTTCTATTGTAAATGGTTTATTTTTGAGTTTATGACTCTAAATCTTGCGTGTCTTAGTTAAATTTTATTACCGACTTTATATATATATAAACTGTCAGCAAGCATGTATATTGATATACAGGAGTAGGAGTTAGTTTTGAAATATTTTCTTCTGGTTGGTATTTCTTGTTAAATAATAAAGTTTTATTTTGCTTCGAGATATTTGAGCATACTGTATAGTTGTGAATGGTATGAATGTATTGTACCTCTTTGATCATGTTTGGTTATGCATTTCTCAAACAGCCAATGTTTGAGTTTGCATGCCTTCCATACTTATTCATATAAATATTTCTCTTTCATTTACAGTGGATATGACTTTGGATATTTATTGAAGATATTGACTAATAACAACTTGCCATCTGAAGAAAGCGAATTTTTTGAATTGATTAAAATATTTTTCCCAAATATTTATGATGTAAAATATTTAATGAAAAGCTGCAAAAATTTGAAGGTATGAAAAACATGATTTTTTTAAAAAGTGAATTATTTTACTTTTGTCTTGGTTAATTTAAAAAATTTTATTTTTTGAGTTTACTTTTCTTTGTACTCAATTATGTTATCTATTCAACAAAACAAAGCATATACCTATTTCTGTTTTAACAGATATTGTAGATGAAATGAGACTTATCAAATGCCATTGATAAATGGATTTCTAATCTTAATCTAGTATTATATTGGATCATGCTAAATCTTAAGTGTAAGATTTTAAAAAAATAATGTTTCTATCTCTATGTTCTTAGGAGTATCAATTTCAAACTTTCATTTCGCTTTCATTTATATGATAGCGTAAATAAATTCCTGAACATAGTTAAAGTTGGTTGAACTGTGAAAACTTCATAAATCACAGCAATAAAAATATTTCCATGTTTGATCTCACAGTTGGTGCTCCACTTTAATTACCTGTTATTAATTGTCCCACATGCGATTTTTTTGTTTAAGTTATTCAGTGTTTCACACCTTCTTAGTTTCTTCGTCAGAACGCTAATGGCATTCTATCTTATAACAGGGTGGTCTTCAAGAAGTTGCTCAACAGTTAGAAATTGAAAGAACAGGACCACAGCATCAAGCTGGGAGTGATAGTCTACTTACAGGACAAACATTTTTCAAGATGAGGGAGGTAATGAAGTTGCTTTGTTAAAAAAAAAGGTTGATTTTTCATGAATTGATAGGGATGTAAGGTTGAAATATAGTTTGGAAACATTGATGCCAAATTATCCAATTTTTTTTGTGACAATTCGCCCTTCGATCAATTTTATGATGTGAAATTTTATGGTGTAATAGGTTGTTTGTTTGAAATTGTGGTTAACTGTAAGAAACGTTTTTAAAATTTTTTTTTTTCAAATTTTATGCAAGACTTCTTAGCTAAGGGTAGGTGTCTAGTTTCAACTTCATAACCAGAGCATCCATAATCATCCCAATTAGGCGTAATTATATTCAGACTCATTTCAATATTGTCGGCCATTTTTATATAATTGACTTCCATCCTATATGCACAGATGTTTTTTGAAGACCATATTGATGAGACCAAGTACTGTGGCCATTTATATGGCTTGGGCAGTAGTTATGTACAGAACGGTAATCCTTATAGTGCAGAAGAATTTAACAAAAGTTGACTGCTAACTGTGGATCACCAACTAAACATTGTTTATCTGCATTAAATGCACCTAAGTATAGGGAATGTGTACTGCGCCAAGTGAAACCACATGATGCATTAATATTGAATAATATGGAGAGAGTTGCCCATTGCTTTGCAAGACATGTTTTAATTTAAATCAAGCCCATATGCTTTAATACGGATAGATTATGGCTTAAGGAATTTGTTTAAATGAAAGCCAAAATTAAATGGATTGGTACAGATTTATCCATATGAAATGAATTATGATATCTTGATTTTTGATGAGGATCAATTAATCGTTATTACTCAAATAACAAGGTTAGCTATAGGTGGTGTACTTGTATCTGGACCTGATTTAGCTTTCAAACTGGACAAGTTGTATGGCACTTCATTGGAATACTGAATATTTAGACTAAGGTGATTTGTATATCCACTGAGCTCTCAGTGCGTGCTTGTTATTACTCAGCTTATTGCCCTGGCAATTCATATCAATCATATTCTTCGGGATGAAGGAAGAAATTGCTCATATCGCACATGTTAGCTCCTTTATTGGGTATGTTTTGCTCCACTCTTGTATGAAGAATTTATTTGTTATCTTATGTGAATGTAACCATATTCGCATAAAACGTTTGCGTCAAGTCGATATATGTGCTACCGTATATTATATTCAGCCGAGTTGCATCTCTCAACTAAATTTTGAAAATACCACCCAGACTCCCTCTTCGATGCCGGTATTGAAGTATGTAATATGATTGTGAATAAATAGCCCACGTCTGTGATTTGCATTCTCTGTCATTCTGTGCTATGGAGACAGGTCGATAGCAGGTTTAAAATATATTTCGTATGGTTATAGAGCTTCTTGGGAATATTACACTTAGCACTCAAAACCATGACGTACGTTTATTCTGCGAGTTTTCCAATACTGAAAATAATTATCAAGTATATATAATAATCAATAGAACATAGAAAAAAATATATATATAATATAGAAGTTTGAATGCAAAGTGGCAGTTTCAAGTTTTTTAGCTTTTCAACTAAGATTGAATACTACATGGTGGTCGCTAGGAAAGCAGAAAATTTGAAGGTATGGCAAGATCACGAATAAATGCGTATAGGTCGAATTGGAATGATATCCCACCTTCAAGTTAAGTTAACCTTCAAAATGCCTGCAAGCTTGTACTCCTAGGTTAAGACACTGCACGGACGACATTTTTCGCATCTGAGTGTAACGGATGCTTTTAAGAAAATCTGTTTTTCTAGCGACCGCCCTGCTATTGAAACAATAAATTCCTCTTCACTCGGAATGTAGATGCGTCGGATATTTATAGATTGCAGAAGAGGACGAAAAACTGATTATCGTCTAATACCGCCGCCTGGAAGAAATACTCTTCGAACTGTACGAGTTACTCTTACACCATTGGGGCCCTGTTGTACCTGCTAAAACGATAATTACGAATTTAAAGGTTTTTTACTGAAAATGGGTATATTTTTGGAAGAATATTTGCAGGTCTCCTCTGTATCTGTATACTCGGAAGGACATTAATAAACTAGTGTAAATACATTTGTATTTAGAATGATTGCACGAATATTGAAATAAATGGAATTCAACTTTAAACCAGCTATTTATAAATTGTAGCCACAAATATTGGATCCTATTTTAAAAGCCACCGTCAATAACCATTCCCGCCAATGTTCAAAATAAAAAAAATAGTCAGAATCCAGTTGGGAATGATTTAAAAAATTGAATTTCCAGTGCAATCTGCACTACCTGAAACGTGACGAACGCGCAATTACTGGAAACGTGGCGAGCGAAACCTGAAATATACACTTGATACCTGACGGGGGTGTTTTTCTCAAATCTTAAATTTTCGCATTAGTAGCGAGGGCTTATTTTGAGTATTGTTTCATCAACAACACCTGCTGACAGGTAGCATTTGAATGATATCTTACCGTATGTTCCAACACAGCTCGGACTAGATGAGGGCCTTCGGGAGCCCCATGGTTTCCCAACTGCTAAAAATAATAATTTGGATTCAATTAATTGTGCATATATTTCGGGTTGTTGTGAAAATAGTATTTATTTCTGTAAGTATATAAGACTTTAGACACCAACATCCCCTATCTGAGTACATTTATATGAAACAATGACCTTTGTTAATCATCACCATCTGAATAAATACGATTAGATATGAATAACTTGTGAAATTTACTACTTACCAATAACCGTTGCTCGAGACGATTGCGTTCAATTGCAGTTTGCTGAATATGATGAGATTTAGTTATAATTATGAAAAAAAAAAAATCGAAAAGTAAACAAAGCCAGAGACAGCTCAAATCTGTTCAGAATTGGTTGTAGATATATTAATAAATAAATATGCATTTATACAGCAACTAAATTGACGAAAGAAAATTGAAGAAAGTTACATTCCACATTATTAATATTTCACATTTGAGAAAGCAGCCTAAAGCATTAAACTCGAAATTTTTATCCAATTCAAAATGCTTACACTATATGCCGTCAAGGACCATAAATTACTCAAATTGTTTTTTTACGTACATAATACGCAACGGTTTTAAGAAGTTCAAGACGGCGGTTTGTATATAAACAATAGTACAGGTACTACGGTAGTTTCGAGTGTAGGCAATTCAGCATAAAATGCTACCTCATCCCTACATTGGGCGCACCGGCTTATAAGGCGCACGATCGCTTTTTTGAGGAAAAAAATGGGATTTTAAGGTGCGTATTATGTTTCGTAAAATACGGCACTCTTACCGCCATATTCCTATTCTTGGTACATGCTTCATTATACATCATGTCTATAATCTGCATTGGATTGCGTCTGTGCGTTTCAACCAGATCACTCACAGAAATCGATGATGCTGTAGTATTGAACAGCGATAGGACCGAATGACGAATCTGATTGTATTTTGCCTGTAGTTCATTTGCATTGATGCCTTTTGCTACCTCCTGTGATAAATGTATATAATTGTAATTTTGAAACTATAGAATTACACAGATACTGATGAAACGAAAACATAAAATAGTGGACAAGTAGTAAGTTTATGTATGAGACAATACGAGCTAAATTTATAAAAAATAATCGAGACTGGTGAATGTTTTACAGACGTTAATTTTTTGTTGAAATTGTTTTGCCATCTGGTTGACCAATTCTTCCAATTTCTTATTCTGTAAAACGAAAAAAACAAAAGTGTTGTTGAAGAGAGGCATTAAGTAAATTTTCGTCGAAGTACGAAAAAGCAAATGTAAGATCATCATTTGAAGCAACTTTGTCTTCAGATCATTGTTATGTGTAAGTAAAATATAAAATAATACCTTTTAGTACAACGAATGTCGAATGTACGGCGATTTTTCGAAAGTATGATTATTAATTATTTACCATACTACACAATTAAATATATATATATATATATATATATATATATATATACCTTCACCCTTGCCACATTCCTGTTTTCAGTAAGCGCTTCAAAATACATTGTTCTGATTCTGTCGTTGAGATTTCCTTTATTCGTTTTCACTAATGCACTTGGCGCGAAAGATGCCTTGTCGTTGAATTGAGAACCAACAGAAGCACAAATTTTGGTATGTTCCTCCTGTAAACTTTTTTCAGCAACTCCTTTTGTTGAATGCTGACAAAACAAAAATTTCGTTCAAGAAATAAACATCTTCGGTTTGCTTTGGGTAATAAAAAAGACATCTCTGATGTTATGAAATCAACGCACATCGTTTATTCTTTTCCGATATTGGTCAGTCATGTCATTCACCAGTTTTTGTAACTCTTTCATGTTCCAGTTCTGAAAAAGGTTGTCAAATAAAGTACGGTTTGTCGATATTTGTTTGGTACAAAATAAGCAAGTATGAGTTAAGTACACTGTCATTTTTGCTCCTCATTGTTTTAATTCCTGTCAAACAGGAACTGCGCCCATTGATACCTTAACATCAATGCTGCGCCGTTTCGAATGCTGTTTTGACACTTGAACTCCTGATGGGCATTACATCAGGCTAGATCGCCATCTTCTCGACAATCCCGCTCTTATTTAATAACTACGACGTCTTACCGGTACAGATGTGAATTGCTGTGATAAACAGGTAGGTCGTTATCTGTAGTTCGATTTAAATCATATACATAACCAGATAACAGATTTACGTTAGTTATTGATCTTGTGTCCATATATTTGGGCATTGCTCACTTGATTTAATTTATATTTAATATGTAAATCGATACGTTATATTCTTCAATTTGATATGTAATTTTCCTTACCAATGCAATCACAGTTTTAACGCTCAAGTCCTGGGTGAGTAAAAGATGTTAAAAACAGCACATTTTAGACAACAGTAGAAAATATAACTAAACCTGTTATCCGCACTTGTATCGGTATCCCGACAATCATTCAACTTTGTTAAATTTTCATTAAGTTTACCTACCAGAGCTTGAAGGAAGATACTATAAAATACATTTACCTTCTCGTTTTCGTCTTTTAATCGTTTATAATATTCTTTAATATCATTTTGCATCTTTCCATTAAATTTGTTCTTGAGCTTTTCACAGCGTTCAAATATCGGTGTGGATGTTTTCGATCGGAAAGATTTGATTGCGCCCAAATAATACTGCTGATGACACATATCGAGGTCAGCATCAGATATCTGACCGACTAGTTTCTGTTATGCAAAATAACGATACTAATCACTTGCGTTTTACGGTGGTAATATGTAACCATACACATACAAACAGTAAGTTTCAAGGCGTGAATGTTCTAACTAGCGCAATGCTAGACTCATTATAAACAACTAATCGTAGTTAACGAGGAATTCATCAAATACAATAGGGAACTTGATTTGAATAAATCCAACCACCTGATTATAAGTTCAAAAGAAGATAAATGTATTAATTTAATGAAAAAATAATATGCACTACTTACTTTCTCAATCTCGGCAATATATTCACACATTTCCCTGTCTGCAATTTCTGTCAACTGTTTTTCAGCTTCTAACTGTAAAGTATATATATAATTGAACATATTGAGAATCTAAACGAGAATATCGGTCGGAGACCGAAGACTTATCGATCTTAGATCGGTAATTAGTTAATAACTCGCTAATTATACGACATAATTAACCGAAAATCGATAGGCGTCTGGTCCGAGGTAAGGTGCATGCACATGCAAAATTTGGAGCAGATTCAACCACGCGTTCGTGAGATATCGCGTTCATCTAACAGACACACACACACACCCACACACAGACATACAAATACCTATCAATATACTTACCGATCTTAAGATCGATAAGTAACAACTACACTAAATTAAATCCCACGAGCCAATGAAAGCAAGCGGATTCGTGAACGTTCGTAACGGCAAGAGAGTTTAAAAAGTGTGTAAGTATATAAAATATTAATGTAAAATATATTTCATAAATATGATACAGAACTATAGAAAAAGAAAAGTAGCATATTGTTTATTTACTATAAGCAGTGTTTAATTAAAATAAAATGCTGATAAAATATCTCAAGACTAGATTTGAATATTAGCCATATTTCCATTGAATATAAGTCTAGGTATTTCCTATGAATTTTAAATAATTATTGACAATCAAATAAGAAATAAATAGAATCTGGTACCAAAATGCATGGATGTTACCAACCATTCGATTATTTGCAGTATCTTCATATTGTCTGTGAAGGTTATTACATTTGTTTGCTAGTTTGTCGCGAAATTCAGTTCTCAAAGATTCTAGACCGACCCTTGATGACGAGTCAAATTCTTTCAAGGTATTCACAGTAACTTCCCGGTTTATATCCAATATTTCGTCAAACTGAACTCCTTTTGTACGAACCTGTATCAAATCTTATATTATATATTATGTAGGTGGATTTGAATTATTAGTTACGAAAAAATATGTTGCTAATAAATAAATACACGTGAACGATTGCAACGACTTTTCAAATAATGTAAGAACGTTTTTGAATGAGTACAAGTGGAGTATAAACCATTATGGTAACCATATTCCATAACAGAGAAAACGTAGAAACGGTCGAAAAATATTGCCTTCAAATTTTCAATTCGAAATAACCTTCCACTGTACTTTTCATGATATTTTTTCAGGTATCTTTTTAGTATAATAAATCAATACGCTACATACCCTCATTGTTCGATCATATTTCTTAAAGCATTGTGCACAGACATTTTCATAATGGTCCTTGGACGCTTCCTAAATAAGGTACACCGGTCAAGCAATGCACCTATTCCGTATGTTATAAAAATTGTACTTGTTTCTTTAATCGTAAAAACGGTGTAGTAAGCAACGAAAACGGCAATAAGTTTTATATGTGTGTATACAAGAATAAATATATTTTGAAATTGAACGCGTAACAATGTCACGTACATATTCAAGAGAAAACATGTAGTTTACGTTACGTATGCACACGCATTTATTGGCATAACTTAATATTATTGATATTCGAAGCATTTTTTGTACATGTAAAACAGTATATATCATGTAAACTTCCCATATGAAGTTTTATAAATGTAAATCTCATTTTACCTGCAATAATAGTTTTGGTTCACATATCACAGGAGAATCGAATAGTTGATCATGAGAGGTCAATAGTTCAAAGATCTCCATTGGGGCTTTTGAATCCTTGAAGCTCTTTGTTCGATTTAATAAAGTATCTCCGAATGACGACACATATCCACCAAACACCGTTTCTCTGTCTACGGATATAAAGTCACAATATGATACACATAAAATACACATTCAAAATAAAAATTACTTTCTATTCCTAACTTGGCCTATGACCATCAAGAATTTTTTCAAGTCACTTAAGGAAAATCTCAACAAAATTTGCTCAAAAAAACAAAGATGAGCACGGCATTCAGGAATAGAATATTTTGAATTTAATTTTTCTTAACCAATGTTACCTCTGTTGTTGTTGTTACAAAATGGATCATTCATATCCACTGCTTGTCGATGTGGTAGCAAGAAACATTCCATTTCTGTTTGAGCTGATTTCAGGTGTTTTAACGTCTCTCGTGTTTCACTTTGAGAAGAAAGCTCTTCTAAATAACTTTTCCCTCCATCTATTCCAAAACGGTATTTATTTGTTCCCATCCAATCTTGTACCAGAAACATGACTGAATGAAGCTAAAATAAGCATTACATTCTCATAAATCCAATGAAACATATTCATTGCATTATATTCCAGCTATCAATTTTAGTAGATTATTTTTTGAGTAATTTCGTTTCATTGCCTTTGAAAAATAAAATAGGGGAAATGAAGATTTTTAGTTCAAACTTGCAAAAAATGGTATTTCCCAAGTCTCGGCATTTCCTAGTTCGTTTACCTTCAAACTTGTCGCTTTCTTTGCAGCGACTGCCAAAGCGTAATCCATTGAAATCTGTAAATACAAAGGACGCAATGAAATACGTAGACATAGTTCCTTTTGAACCTTCTGCAATTATTTAAAGCGTCGTATGTACACACAGTACGCGAAAACTCAAATTGTTGTTTGGAGAGTGAATAAATACCGTTTCACTAATACAGATAGGAAGAAAAATACACACGTCAACAACACTTGAAGATTACATTTCATTATATTTATACTCACGCGCATACACAGTTTACACCAAAAATAAATTTATATCAAAAAATAAATATATAAGAATAATAAATGAAAAAATTTTCAATGACAAAGTAGTAAATAGATATTGTATATATAGTAGATATTGACAAATTGAAAATAGCATCGGATATAACAAATTGGGAATACAGTTTATATTGTCTTATTTGTCGACTCATATGAGAATATATATATATAAAATAGATAATTAGATACAGTACATAAGTTTTAATGATTAATTAAAAACACGAGTATAGCGTCCAATAATCGAATATTCGGTCTCACCTGCAAATTTTCAAGGTCACATTTTTGCATCCTTCGGGAAATATTTACAATCGAAATCGAACTTGCCAACAAGCTCCAGGTAAGTAATTTGACGGAGTTGTGTTCCTTTATCACTTCTTTGTCATCTAAGGCTACTATGCTCTCCATGATCAACACTCCGATCTACACAGGGAATGAAAAAACGAATGTTACTTTAAAAGGTTTAATTTCAAATGATAATTTAAGGCAAAATACGTGCGCATCACATTTGAGTAATACTTGGCCAAACGTGGCGCAATCACGCTGTGTAAAAAACTGGAAAACTAACTCTTCAAAAAACATTAGTAAATAGCGTAAGCAAATAAATTATAAAAATGAAAACAAAGAATACAAACAAAATAATTATGAAAATGATTAAACTCAGATGATATATCTTCTGTATACGTGGACGATCGGCTACATCTTAGCAGGCAGCAAATAACTGTAGCGGCAACGTAACTTCCAAACGTAAACGTAAAATCCAGCAAAAGAAACAATGAAAAAAAAATCGTAGCTTCTAGACCAGTGATTCTCAAACTAGGGTTTGAGAGCCGCATGCGGCTCTCAACAATCTTCCCTGCGGCTCCCGTTAATGTTTTAAAAATTAATTATTTTTAAAGAAAATTTTTCATTGAAAACTAATCATTGACTCGAAATTAAAATGCTGAAGTCTATTAGTTAGTCGAATGGATTCCCCCGTGTTTATTTGCGTAGCGTTGACTAACCTACAAGATACAATAGTGACGCAACAGTGAGCGTTTCGCGGACACTCGGACACTTTTCGCTTGGAAAGATTTCAGACATGGCTGTAATCATTGGCTCGCTTTCATGGATTTTCAGTTTGTGTCGCATTTCCAGATTTTATGTATAAATCAAATAACTCAATGATTATTTTAATTTCTAGAGCATTCTAATTTTGTTCCAGAAATCGAAAATAGTCCCGAAAATAGTCCCTTGCATCCTCCACGATTACGACCCGTTTTGACAAACTTATTAGAAATCAAAGCCTAATTAAATCAAATAAAAAAATCGAAAAATTTTTCGAATCGAATAATTTGAATATTTTTTTTATACATAACAGGGATCCAGAACGTCGGAGGCCGATAGTCCATTTGGAAATTAATAGAAACATTGAAAAGTCGGCAATAAAGCGTTTTTTAATGGTTAATTTTATCATAATGGCTGATCGTCTTTGTCACCGCGATCGTTTTGGCGGCGATATCCTAAAGTTGGTATTCTATATTTCCGCCCTTTCTCGTTTTTGCAAGAATAAGCGGTCGCCGAATATCGAAATTCCATATTTCTAGTATACCCTTGCGTTCTCATCAGCGACAGCTGTTGAATACATTTAAAGACTGATTTCAAAACCAAATTAATTCTATTCTGAGTTTTATACTCTGCCTTGGATTTGATCTTCCTTATCACCGCTTGTAAATTAACCGCGCCTGTTTTAAGTGAACGGTAACCGAGATGCAGATATCTATTATAATGATAATTGAGTTCCTCATGCTGATCTATGGTGTTATTTTAGTATTAGAAAGATAAACCTAGCAGATTTACGAATGCGTGAATCCTGAAAGTTGATTTAAAATAGCGATTAAATAAATTGTCAATAAAGGCATTTATAGGCCTTTGTGCCTAATAGAGTGTAAGACTCTAATTGTACCTGATTACTTCAAGTTTTAACGTTTTTTTTTTCAACAAAACAACACCCCGATGGTTATTATAGCTAAAATACTTACTCAGTAATGCTCAATTTTCTTTACGGAATTTGCAAATTCAGCACTTCACTTGATGATTTTGATTATATCATGCCTTATGGCTTAATTATTACTGCCCAAATGCTTCAAAATTTAACAATTGTAATCATTTTCGATGATAATAGACGCAACAATTTGTGAACGAGTCAGTGTGCATTGTTACAACGAAATTCCAGATTGATTTTACGTTCTACTCTGGGCTCAACGGCCATGCATGGTCGAGTAAAATGTTTACATATTCGAAAAATTACTTGGCAAATGATGGAAGGGATCACTAAAGAGCTAATACAAGGTGCTTTAACGGAAGTAGGACATGACATTTCTTATCTGGTTACAACTTAATGAATTTTTCCCATACAAGTACTCATACCAGCTTTTGGAAAAACTTTTGGTCATTTTTTAAATCCATGCTATTTACATAACTAGAGTGTTTTAACGACCTAAAATCGCCTTTTCACAATGAAACGCCGAAATGTCATTTTAACATTTAATTTTAAGCAACTTTATGTTCGGTAATGCAAGAAATGGCTAGTGACATGTCACCAAGCATGCCGAGTTTAAATCTGGGAAATTTATTTTAAATACCTAATCTGGTTTGACGTTTGTAAATTTACGGAACGGTCGGTACGTTTTTTTTTGCAAAACGATGAATTGAAAGAATACCATAAGTGCAAAAATAAGCATATAACACCATAACGCAAAGACAACTTTTCAAATTTTTCTTATTTTTCTCATAGCGAGCGCCATTGGGAAATCTCGCACAATTCACGATTGAGTTGGAGACGCTCGAGTTCGGTGTCCAAGCAGAGCGGCGCAGGTCACGTAATACCAGATATTCAAATAGCAAAATGCCATTCGAATATTTAGCCCAGCCCTAGTTGTTACGTGTTGTTGTTACGATGACTTGGTATTTTAATTACGCGCTTAAGGTTTGTTGCTATTTTAACTTGCGTTGTTTGTGTGCGGCTCTTCATACCTTTGAGGTTTGAAATGCGGCTCTGGGACTAAAAAAGTTTGAGAACCACTGTTCTAGACCATCAGTTAGAAATAGCTTAATATAACCATAGGCGGCAAAAAAATCGACAACATCCAGGCGCCCACTTTATAATGACACATGGTGTTACGAGGCAAATATTGTAGAGTGACAAAATATTAAACTATGACATATTTCATGGGGCATATTTGTCGCTGTTTTGGTTAGGTTTTTTCCATAATAAATTGTTATCTATTAACACGTGTTTCAACGCCAAATTGACAGTGATGTATCGATGCAGAATTGTGTCGATGGTAAAATTAAAATGTAGCTTTTATAATATTCCTTCATGTTCATTTAGCGGAAAGTTAACCCTCAAGCGAAAGACAGTGAATTCTGTAACTTTATTAAACAATAATCGATTATATTATAATTTATTTTATTTTCGTTCAGATTCACAAAAGCGCCACTATATAACATAACAGCTTTGTTATTAATGGATGTATTGGACGGAAATTGGAAGATAGAGAGGCTCAATTTTCGAGATAGTTTGCTGCCCATATGCTTTACTATCTGACACAAAGATGTCTTACTCCCACGTGAATAGTAAATGCGCATTTATTTTATAATTGTTACCTTTTCTCCAGATTCAGTGTTTATCATTATCAAGTCATCCCATATTCTTATAACAGGTTTGTCGGATTTTCTGTCAATATCTGGTGACTTTCCGATCTCGCTCATCCATTGCTTTCTTTCCCACTAAAATATGGATGTATAACTTAATGCAGGTATATATAGGCTTTATAGGCTTTGACTTGATATAAATAACAAAAATCAAAAAAGAAAGAGTCGCTCGGCGATTTATAATTTCTTTCAGTGTTCGGTAGTTTCGGGGCGCTATTCGTGAACGTCATCGGAGCGTTTCGAACGAGCCACTTGTCTGCTGTTTTTGTACGTATTTCCAGCTTCCGTAGTTTGCTTGCAGCTAATGCAGAATACGAAATTGACATTTACCGTCACTTTAAGATACAAACCTTCAGATATGGATAATGATTAAAGACGTAAAGGAGCAAAGATTTGACCGACCAGGCAATGGATTTTCATCACATGGCTCAGCTACTCATTACCGTAATTATTCTCTGGATAAGAAAGAAATTCTCAATTCGGCGAAAATTGTCGACAAAAATATATAAAAAATAACAATGAAAGTTTGGTGCTAACAGGCGATGTAGACTTTTACAGTGGTTAATATTTAACAGCGCTGCTCTGTTGCTACATTGCGCTTCGAAATTCAGATAATAGCGAACGTAATAGTCAATATTATTGACATCTATGCATCTATGATGTCAATGGTCAGCCAAAAGGCAAAACCGTTTGTTTCATCATGCGACCTTTTTTGTAGTGAAAAGATGCTTTTCCGGGTATGGCTAAAGAGAACATCCACGAATAACACATTATATATACACGCTAAAAGACCTTTGTTACAAAGCAAAACCCAGTAGACTAACCTTTTTAATTTGAAAATATTGATGTAATATATCCGCATTCACATTATTTGATCTGCCATCATGAAAAATGGAAATCACAGCAATACGATTTTCTTTAATATCTGATCGCAGAGTAATGCTACATAGAGCATTGCGATCAAGTCGAATCTTACCGTCTTTGATGCACGTTATGGATGTTGTTTTTACCATTTTGTATTTGCTGCACTGTCGCCTGGTTCGATTTATCAATTGCGAGCTGTACAAATTCGATGCGCATCTAACAACAAAGATTTCTACCTTAATTCTTACCCCGCTACACAATTACCTAATGTCGATCAAAATTCAATTCCGCCTGCTATAAAGGCATTTACATCCTATGGAACAATATGATACGCTCCGTCTACTTCAAGCCTAGGTATTTGTTCCGGTAATTCCCCAGGTCTTGTGACGAGCCCTATTTGCTTTCAATGTATTACCGAAAACAATTTACAAATACCAGCGCGCACTACTTGAATCCGCGCGAGGTCGAGGTAATGGCAGCGTTATTAAATCAGAATTTTACTTTGTGTCATTCCATGAGATCTATTTTTTCAACAGTTTTTAAACCCTAATATTAAAGTGCCTTAAATGGACCTTTCCCCGACCTTTGACCCTCGGAAAATTCTCCCCTATACTTTACCATTGCAAAATTGTCAAGGCTATTTTAAGAGTGCTTTTGCGAGTTGGCGTCTGTAAAATGGGGTATGTGTTTCAAACCATCATTATGATTCATCGCATACAACAATCTGTTTTTTAAAAGTACAGGTAAAGAATTTCAGGCTAGTCTATCACAGCTATTTCTACACTAATTTTTATTACTGCAATTAAATTAAAACTCCTAGAAAGACAGGGTGATCATTGAATTATCTGATCTTTATTTAAGTTCCCAAAACACAACTGAAAACCAACGAATAAAGTTCAAAAACGCGAAAACGAGGTAATGTTTACAATCACGCTTGAAAATCTGTCTGAGCGGATGCGAAAAGGGGGCATTGTTACATCACTTTTTGCATCTTGCTGATTGGCGAATGTCACGAAGTAAACAAGGAAGTCGATGCTCGGGGAAAGGTCCATAGTTATCAATCCCAGAGTTGGCATTCATTAATAACCAATGTCGGTGTGACTTCTGAACTTGTAAACACGTGAAAATGTGGATTATGTTTTATCGGCAGACTGCAGATGTGAATAAAAGATAATAGGTTGGGGTTCTCATATTCATCACGGAGACGAAGGTGGTTAAGACGGCCTAATTATATGGCGACTAAACTGCCCCTTGTGCGGTGTACATATTCTAATTTGAATAAAAAATTCTAATGTAGACAAGTCAATGTCTGTTCCCCACTAATTGGCCCTACATCCGTACAACTCGACGGGAAGCGTAGTAACAAGCTCGACTGCTGACTATACTGATAAAGTGCCACCTTGCACAAAAGAAAACAGACTACATTATAGGCTGAAAAAAGTGTGTGAATGCAATATATTTATACGATCTCAACCATCTAAACAAGAATATGTATTAACAATTACGGACTGAAATTGCAACTTTTTAGGATTGGCAATATAAAGACCCCGATGGTGCTAAGACAACAAAAACTTCATTTAAATTGACCAAGAGTGGCCATTTTGACAAAAAATAATGAATCAATACAACTTAGTTTCCATTTTGTCCCAAAATCGAAGAACTGTTTTTATCTTGGCTAGGTGTTTGTTCTATGGTATCAAAATCAATAACGAATTTTCTTTGTTTCGGTTGAAATTTCACGCATTCTATTTTGGCAAGTTCAAACAGTTTTCTCGATGCAATCATTTCTTCTTTTTCATGATGTTTGTCAGACATGTAAATCACTTTCTTTATACCTGCAAAAACAGGTCATTTAACAGCGCCATGAAAGTGTGTGTACCAATATTAACTAATTATGTTCGCCTACTTTACATCAAGTTGTGTAAAAGGACCGATTACTATGGGGGTATATTCACTTGGCTAACACAGAAAGTCCCCGAAATCGTAATAGAATTAAGATAAGGAAAATCAGAATAAAATTAGGGTCTAACCCTAACCTGGTACACAAACTAAGGGAGTACGACTATGGACATGTTGATTTCTGGATGTATATCAGCCAAAGAAACACGATTTTCAGTTTGATACACCATGCCAAGTGGTAAATTTTTGTTGGGAGTGGGTGGGGTATGTACGGGGTGATCAGACCAAGTGTAGACAAATGTTTATTAAAATATCTACAATATAAATGTAAGAGAGAAAAAATTATTTTGCAGAAAATAGCGGTATAAAGATAAATGATAGAATTCATTAGTATTTTTTGATATATCCTTCCTGTGCACTTCACTACACTACACGCCTCGATCTGATTGGAACTTGAATGCACTGGGCACGTGTGGTTTATTCTGAAATTTTGTCCCAACAACTTATCAATCTATGCTTTAGAGCAGTTGTTCTCAATCTGAGTTGCGCGCACCACTAGTGATACGCGGGAGCTTTTCAAGTGGTACGAAAGCAGCTTTGATTTATTGCAACAATTAACTTTTGTATTCGCTAAACGGCGTTTATAGCGCTACCAGTTCTTATTTTTCAGAGATTGCTCTCGCCCGTTACTGTCCACCTAAAACGAAACGGGCACGTTTTTGCCATTTTGCACGTTACTTCACAATACATCTACATCATAACGACTAAATTATCCGAAACCTCGGACAAATGAATTCTGATCAGTGCTAGCCAGTGGCGTAGCCAGCCCAAAATTTTGGGGGGGGCCAAATTTGAAAATTTTAGAAGTTATATATATTGGGTTTAAAACACCGTTCTTCAAGCGCCCGTTCTTCAAGCGCAAAACAACAACAGTTGGTCACCAAGCAAACTGATTCAATTACTCAGCTGGATTTTTGTGAATACAAAATCCATTAATAAACAATTTTTTATTTGAAACAACAAATATTAACAACGCAATTTGAATAAGTAAAATACATCGCCCCAATTAAAAGTCCATCCTTCGCTTCCCGCCAACTATGCTCGACACAACTCGATTAATTTTCCCCTCGGTGACCATTTCACGGTGACAGTGAAGCACACACAAATCAGAAAGGCGATTGGACGTCATTGATGAGCGCAGCCATGTCTTTACCCGTTTCATGCAGGAGAAAGACCGCTCAGCCTCAACGGTGGTTGCTAGTAGCGTCATAACGATCTGTATTGCGGTGTACACGCTTGACGAGACAAGATGCCACAAAACTGGTGGATTAGGAATGGAATTCTTGAAAATTTTGGGGGGGGGGGCCATGGCCCCTCTGGCCCCCCCCCCCCCCCCCCTGGCTACGCCTATGGTGCTAGCCGCTATCACGCTCCCTTATTTGCCGATTTAATGAAGACGCATTCTAACGTAAAACGCAAAACGGCGAGAACATGCCCATTCCGTTTTTGGTCGACAGTAACGGCGATTGCGATCTCTAAAGACAATGATTGGTAGCGCTATAATCGCTGGTCAGCGAATACAGAAGTTAATTGTTGCAATAATTCAAATCTGCTTGCAGACCACTAGTGGTACGCGTACCTCAGGTTGAGAACAACTGCTCTAAATCATAGATTGATGACTTTTTCGGACACAATTTCAGAAGAAACCATATGTACCAGTGCCAGGTGCAGTCAAAAAAACAATGAAAAAAAAAACAATAAATTCTATTATTTATCTTTATACTGCTATTTTCTGCATAATAATTTTTTTCTCTATTACATCCATATTGTAGATATTTTGATAAACATTTGTCTACACTTGGTCTGATCACCCTGCATATGTCTAATACATTAACATCTCTTCAATAAGTCAATACTACCAAGCAATCGCAAGTCAGTTAGCTCAACTATATTGGCAACTCATGGTAGAGATTTAGGCATCAAATCTCTCTGGCTAAATGGGTGATCGGACACACCAAAAAAAAAACTTTCCAAAAAATAAACTTTCCTGTGGCTTAAAATATAACACAGTGTGGTGTGAACGTCACAAATAATGCTAACCATCATACAAAAAAAGAAATTGTGCATATATAAGCAAAAGTATATATATCCCACCTGATTGTATAACCAGTTTTGCACATTCATTACATGGGAAAAGAGCAACATAGATGGTGCAGCCTTGAACTGATGCCGAATTTTTATTCAATATTGCATTCAGTTCAGCATGACAAACTGAAGAAAGAAACAGTGAATGAACTGAAGAAAGAAACAGTGAATCATGAAAAATAAAGGGCCAAAAATTTAGCCAAATAGGAAAAAAGTTGTAATTATTATTGGGAAAACTGGCGTACATTACCACTACCAAACAGCAATGTCGACTTTCTTTTAAATTTGGGATAGGATTGTTTTTACATTATGTATAACTGGGAGGAGAGGAAAGTTAACAGTATGGATTAATCATACAATTATAATCATCTGGAGCAATGGCACACATACTTCTTAGGTTAACCATGATGTGCCGACTTTCATTTCTTGAATAAGTTGTCAAGTGTTCTAAAATAACCCCATGAATATATCTCCTTTGGCAGTGAAAATAAATGTATGCCAATACAATAAAGACAAAATTTACTATAATCCACCAGATGGATGCGTATCAAGACCAGCATCAATCTGAACAGACAGTAACTAAATTACCATAAGGATACTTTGTATCCAATATACTATTCGCCTTTCTTCGCCAAGGTAAAATATCATCATCACACCCATTCGGCATTCCATTGTATCCAATTCCAACTATCTTCTTTTCATCATTGACTATGCAAGCTCCGACCTTGGATAATGGTTATAAAAAATTTTTATTCATCTTGAAAAATATTTGCTAAATTTATATGTATTTTCGATATATTGAACTGATGACCAATTTTAAGTATAAATGCTGAAATGGGTCATGCGATCATGGTCAGACCATCATGCTAAGCATTTTCATTATGGTAGCCATTGCAATGCTGATTTGCCCTACAATGGGGCCACAGAACAAGTTTATGAACCGGGATAGTGAAAGTAACTGGTAAATTACCTAGTCCCTTACCAGATTTAAAATGGCAATCAAGTAATAAGTCATGGTTGTCCACATGATTCAGTCAGATAAGCCTCATACTTTCCCAAGATAAACATGGAAATCATATTTTATTTGGTAAGTTACCGTAAAAGCAGGTAACTTCGGATGATTTCACTATATTATGAACAATTTCTCCGCCGTTTATTGTTCAATTGAAGCCAAACTTGGAATATAATACATTGAAGCCTTTCTCCTCGCGATAAACTCGGTTTCATATCAATCAATACTTTTTTTTATTCAAATTATTGACTTTATTTGCCTGCCGATCTGTATTCCAAATGTTTATAACTTCGGATGGCCACTTTTCGCTTTGCGTCACTTCGTCGTGAGAGAGAAATGTCTGCGTGATCAGTGACGCGTGATAACGTCGCTGCGTAGAACTTACGACGCCGTGATTCGTTTTGCGTGTCGCACACTGACGTTCATCTATGACGGCCGTTTTTTGTGATTATTAATTCTTCCGGGTCGGCGGACATCAAAGTTTTATATATCTGGTGTACCCGTGTGTTTACATCGGCAACAGCTCTTGAAGACAAGAAGGACTGATTTCAAAACCCAAATTAATTTTGTTCTGATTTAATCTTACGTGTTGGCTTTGATCTTACTTATCACCGTTTGTATACTATTAATCGTTCGAGTTTAAAGCGAACGGTGATATTATTATCGTCGCCGAGATGGAGATATTTATTAAGACGATGATTGATGTTGTTATGCTTTGCACCCGCGATTGTGCGAATACTGAATTTTTATTTATAATAATGATTGAATAAATCGGCCGTTATGCATTTATACTTGTCATAAGGCTCTTGGTCCTGATAGCGGGTCGGACACTAATTATAACTATTTCCCTCAAGTTTTAACTTTTTTTTTGAACAAAACAATACCCCAACGGTTATTATAGCTAAAACCGTTACCGACTAATTCACAATTTTATCTGCGGAATTTGCGAACTCAGCACTTTACTCGACGATTTTGACAGTGTCGCGCCATAATTATTACCGCTAAATGCTTCAAAATAAAAAGAACGTAATAATAATCTTGCCCAGCCCTATTCCTGACGTTTCGCAAAACTAAACCATTTATCTCTTGACTATTCTTAATTTCATGAAAGTGCTATATCTTGCTATTATGATCGTTTCAATACGAAACAAAAATGAGACAACATGGGACAAATGAAAATAAAAAACGGACGAATAAAATAAGTCGTAAAAGTAAAAATGGAAAACAATTTTTAATACAAAACAAAAATGAAACGAATGAAAATAATAAAAAAGAAAAATGGATGATGAATTACGGTAGGTAGTAAAAGTAAAAAAAATGGAAGTGGACAACAATATGGAACAGTGTAGCTTGTGGCTGTGTTGATAATTCAGATATAATGTATTCACAGGCAGATAGACATGAAACGGATAAAAACGCCAAAAACCTCCTATCTCCTGCTGTGTGCACCTGTGCAGAGTTTCATGCTCACCGATCGTAAAACCTTGTCATCGTGATAGTATAGATACGCGTATCTGGCTGTTCATCAGCCTTACGTATCAACAACATCTATACGGTCGAAGAATGCCGAAATGTTAACACACAAATTTAATGTGCATTAATCGGATTCACAATAAATAAACAGCATATGACCGGGGCTATAATTAAGTTTTTGTAGGATTTGGTGACGAGGATCAGGTAGGAGTTTTCACTTTATATTTAACTACACGTGGCGCCACATAGTCTGGCGTTCAAATGTCGCAGCGAGTTACGCACGAGCTACGCAATGTGACGTCGGCCTTAAATGGAGCGAAATTGAATCACGTTGTTGACGTCACGTTCAGCGTAAGCACCGTAACGTCGATATTTTGACGAAATTTTTAAATCAAAATAATATATTTTACTTGAATCTCGTACGACATCTCGTGATCACTGTAATTTTCCTTGTACATTATGTATGCCCTCTAGCGATTGACGGTCTTTTAGTGAAGTTAGCGTCGATAGAAGTCGCTATTTTAGCCGCTCAAAAGCGAGGTGTCAATTTTTGGCAAAAAGGTGATTTTTTGTGCTAAAAATAAATCCTATTAGGCGACTGAATATGATAAGAGATTAAGATATATAAGGACTCTCTATAGAAACTGCCAGAAGCAGAATATGACGTAATTTAGTCGAGATATAAACGATTGAAAATTTCATCCGAAGTTATAAACCATCCGAAGTTACCTGCGTTTACGGTATGTATTTTATTTATTCTACTTGTGTGCTTGGATCTTTACTCCGTTGAGCCGATAAAAAGGCAACTGCCATGAAGTAATCTTCCCATGATATATAATCTTCTCTTTTCTTGTTCAAGTCAGTTCTGCATAAAATTTATTATCTATAATTTGATGAAAGTATAAGTTTTTTACAAACATTTTCTGTTTCTAATACCAGAATAGACTACATTAATGCTGTTAGTATCTTCTATTATCATACAGTATTACAACAAAGCATTTACTAGGTACAAATTTTCCATAGAAAATTTCTGCATCATGGACATGGAGACAGGGCTTTTAGAATCCTTCAAGCTTTTAGACTACATCCAGACATCAATTAATGTAGGACAGATTTATAGGATTTACCGGTACATATTTATCCCGGGGAAAGCCCATAAGACGGCTTGATCTTATGGCGTAGGCCTACCACGGTTTTTCGTCCCGGTCCATGTCGGATACTGGTACGGGTATGGGATTAGATTAGTTAGCACGATGGTCACACCGCCGAGCTGTAATAAATGATAAATATGTAAATCCTAAATAAACCTAGCCAAATTTCTCGTATGACTGGAGACTTACTTTGATTCTGTTGTATGATCACCAGTCATGATGAAATCCAATTCTGGAATTCCGATCTTCCTGCATTCGTGATATATAACAAAGATAGAATGAGCAAGACGACGACCAACGCCCACAATACACCTCCCCAATGTTATCAACCATGCATAACTCCCGCCAAAGTGGGTTATTCTAAATCCCGGACACATACGCCCGAAAATTCATTGTGATTCGGTAGTTTTGTTGGGATTAGTTCAGTTAATTAATCATGTTTTGTATATATTCAATTCAATATTAGTTTACATTTTTGTTTGATCAATTTGGTACTTTCCTACTTCATTGAATAGAGAGGACAATCTACTTCGAAGGCAGGTGAGAAGTGTTGGACATGGGATCGGCAGTGGCAATTTCGTGATGCGAGGTAACGGGTGAGAAGTCGAGAACTGATGGGTCTGAACAGGTTTTTGTAATAAAATAGTCTAGTTTATTTCACTGTTAACAGAATTAGTGAACCATTGAAACCTAAAATAAAGTTTAAGGCGTACAAGTTATGTTGAATATTACGGTATTCAAGGCAGATCGCAGGAGGGAGAATTATTGTTTGGTCAAACAGTCAGCTACAGAACTAGAAAACAGTAAACACTGGAACTCGAAACAGCAAAATAATGTACCGGTCGTCCATTATTGACTAGATGTACCAACAAATCAACCTTTTTTGGTGTAGACTAGGTCATGAAGATCGTATTCTATTATTATTTTTAAACAATTCCCAAGGCAAACTGACAAATGTAAAACAAAATCATAACTTAAACCATCTTCAGATATTGGTCAGAAAAGTGTGTAGGGCGGATACTGAATTAGTAAATATTGGAGGATTGACTACTTCTATTATCATGCAAAAATATTTTTAGGTCGACTATCTACAGATCTAATGCTTAGAGCATAGCATCCATGTCAGCATATCCACCACTTTCGGACAACTTCACTTTGGGGGGCAATAAAAATAGCAGCCACTTTCAGCTTTTTTACTTATTCATCAGTGATTAGCTGCCTGGAGCCTTATTCGGGTCAAGGGTGTCTGCATGGAAAATTCATCGAAGGACCACATTATTTATTATTGCATCGATGTGAAAACCTATCCTAAAAATTCAGAAAGACAAAGATGAATAAATATAGTTAGATGTGAGATTATTTTACTTAACAATTAGCCACAGTATGACAGGGCAAAAGCCTATTTTCTGCAAAGTTATCAATAAATACATTCAATTTGAAAGAGAAATTTGCTTTAAAAGACAAAAACAATTCATTTGTCACAGTTATTCAGCTTTGACCAAAGTACTTAAATAAGTATTTTGGATGTAAAATTTATGTATAGATAAAATGTTTTTTTTCACGAAAAAAATAATGTACTACTATGACAAATATTATTCTAGGATATTGATTTTTTGTTTTTAATTTTTATTTTGTGTAATATTACAGAACCAAACATTTTGCGATGCCTAGACAAAAAAAATCTGAGAAAAATAAAAAGAGAGGTGAAACGATTCAAGATATACAGCAAGATCATGAACAATTCCTGCTCGCTTTTGAGAAACCAACTCAAATTTATCGCTTTTTGAGAGCAAGACAAATCTTGGCCCCAAGTTTTATGCATCGAAATCTTTTGTATATGAATGAAAGATGTTCACGAACAAACGCACGAAGAAATAAATTTGCTGTCAAAGATTTGCTATCGGTAGCATTGAAGAGAGAATCGGCTTATGAACAAATAAATGGTGAAAGGAATGAAGATTTGCATATTTCTGTTGTTGGCCTTTCACTTGATCCAGCAAAACATGGTTTTCGTTTTGTGCAACATAACAAAAAATTAAAAAGAGTTGATGTTGAAGTAGTATTGAGTCGTACAATATTGAATAAGCGGAAAGACATGGATTTTTCGGCAAAAGAAACATCTTATGGTGTTATTGAAATACCTGTCAATCCTAGATTGAATTCTGAAGGGATTAAAGCAGACGAATCAAGTATCATTGAAATCCCTGCTTCTGATTTTTCTAGGCGAAATGTTTTGGAAGGATCAATAAAGTCTTATTCACTGATTTTTAGAATTCGTGAGGCATCATCCGATTCTGATGAGTCAGATGATAGCGAAAGTGAAGATTCTGCAGATGGAAGTGACAATGAGCAGGAGGATGAAACATCCAAGGCTAAAAAGAAGAAAACCAATGATTCAGATGAAGAAGAGGATGAAGATGACCCTGCTGGAATATCTCTGAAGAATCTCACTTCTGGACCCAGAAAAAGAAAAACCAGAAATGTTGGCTTAAAAAAAGATGGAAAAAAGAAGGATAAAACACGTGAATGTAATACGAGGTCTAAAGACATAAAAGCAGAAACGAACAAGACTGAAGTGAAACAAAAAGTTCATTACTTCCGTAATGCTAAACCTCCTATTCTGAAGAAATATGCAAATATTTCCAAAGATATTTTATTTGAAACTGAACTTCTGGCATTTAACAGTGACTTGGAGTGTCAGGCCCATGAAGGGGGTTATGAACTTATTTTAAATAAGAAAGACATACAAAAACATGATGAATACAGACGAAAGGCGGTTTGGGAATCTTTTGATGGTGGAAAAGAAGTAAAAGTTTACGGATCATTCAGTTCTCCAACTCTGATATTAAATCTCAAATGGTCAGCTTGTCTGAATCCTGGTCCGCTTGCATCCAACAATTCAAATGAACAGGAACAGGAGGTTGAATTGGGTGGTAGGAGGAGAAGAGGAGTGGCTTTGACAAATGGTGACAAAGAAATCAGCACCCTGGCTGTTGATAAAGTAGAATACAGAAAAAGTAAGTCAGATCAGATAATTCAATCTTCCAATGGTTTTTCCAATGGATTGGAAAATTCTGCTTCAATTAAACGAGTATTCTATCAATTCATGTACAATAATAACACGCGACAGCAGACGGAATCAAGAGATGACTTCTATTGCCCTTGGTGCCAATTGAATTGCATGGCACTGTATGGCCTTATGAAGCATCTAAAACTTTGCCATCCGAGATTTTTATTCAGATATTCACAACAAAATAGAGGTACCAACATAATTGTCACTATCAATGAGTGTTATGATGGGTCTTATGCCGGAAATCCTCAAACCATATTTTGTCAACCTGGAATGGCTTTCAGCCGCCGCGGACCAGTACGCCGTATACCAGTTACAGATATACTTGTGTATAAACCAGAGAGAAAACCAATTGATCTCTCCTGTGGCTTAGCGGAATTGTTAGAAAGAGAAGATGTTGAAGCATTGGAGCCTTCGCAGTTGTCTACCGGACACAGACGTTTGTATTTCCACAGTTTAACTTCATTACCTGTAAGACCCTGTGAATTTGATATTGATTCCGAAGAAGAGGCTTCTGAGCCTGATTGGCTTTTTGGCCACACCAAACGAATGATAGATGAGTTCACTGATGTGAATGAAGGTGAAAAAGCATTGATGAAAATATGGAATCTTCACGTCATGAGAATCAGTTGTGAAATACTTTCCGATATTCAAATAGAAGAAGAATGCAAAAGATTCATTGACAAAAACATCACAATCTTGTCAAGGCATTCACTCCGTCGTAATTTACTGCTACATTTTCTCTGCTTGGTGGATTTTGGAGTTTTCAAGACTTCAAGTGTATTGGCATTGATGGATTACTATGAAGAGGTAGAAGATAATTTCAGGAAATCCAGTGCAAATCAAGAAAATCAGAATCATGCGAAAGAACTCTTGTCGCCGGATTTTCCTGAGCCTGATTTATTGCCTCGTCTAAAACAGCTGAAAGAAATTGTTTCACAATCTAATACTTTGTGAATTATTACAACAGTACACATTAGAACTTTTTTACTTTTTATGCCTCTAAAAATATGTCATGTGATTGATTAAAACGTAATTTTTTAGATCATGTAATGTTTAATTATTGCCTTGCATTCCCACATCCCCATGTTGAATCTTTAGAAACTGGTCAAATGACCTTCCTATTTTCACTGCCTATGTTTTGTATTCGAGAGTAGAATTGTTTTGGTGTTTGTTTGCCAATGTTATTTTATACAAAAGTCTCGTCAATGCAGAGCGAGAAATTATTGTGGAAATATCAATGATGAATTATGCTTCTCCAAGTACACTGGTTTGTTTTACCTAGTTGATAATCTGATGCTTTACAGTGAGCGTCTACATGTCTTGTCATATGTAGATCTTTAAATTGAAACTTGAACAACTACTTGCTGCTGTAATTTGGTTCCAACATTAATGCAGTATATTTGTGTCATAAGAATTTTTTTGATAATAATCTGTTTTTGGTTGTTAATTTCTAATATTTATATTCGGGAATTGGGGATTTTTACAAATCATTTGCTTAAACTTGTTTAATTGGCAATTTTTGTGCCTTGAGAAATCAACTAAACCAATGCAGCCACGTACATTTAAATATACCTCAGATTTGGTGAGCAAAGGATTGTAATAAATGTTGCAACATAACAGTATCCATTATTATTTTCATCTGTTTTAGTGTGTAGGCACGGTTGAAATCAAGAATCGCTGTCGTTTGTGACAATATTCCAGAATATATCAAAATAAATGGTACATTGCAGCGCTTCCGAGCTGCTTGTCCGCGGACTAGTTTTTTGTCGGTTCGCGAGAAATATTTCCGGGTCGGGACAAAACTGTGGCAAATGTGAATACATATATATCTATTTTTGAATCCCCGATTCAAAATGTTAAAAGCTTATTGCGAAATCGTAAACAAACTAATTCATTTGTTTGTTAATGGCCTAATTGGCGATGTCAGCATGCCATTCAAGACTGTAGTATGAAGTACAAACAACAGAAGTCGTCCAATAATTTGGAATCCTATTTCTGTTTTTTTTTTCTTTTATAGAGAAACGCTTCCCGATTGTGCGTGTCTTTTTTTTCATTTTTTTTATTGGATTTTAATAAAATAAAACAATATTAAACGATACCAACAAATGCATCCTAGGTGCTATTTGTTGCGGAGATATAGCGTCACCTGCCGAATCATAGAAATAAATCGTTATCAATTTCTGCCTCGGCCTTGTAGCTGCAAAAGAAAAACGAAATTGAAAACAATGAAATCTTTTATTTTCATTTTCTTCCCAATATGATATAGAGTGTGCCGTGTGGAGTAAAGAATAGTCATATAGAATGATTAGCTGTATGCTTTTGGGCCTGGTGTGGCCTATTCAGCAAGATTTTTATTGCAGGGTGTTCACTGTTCATAGAGTCCCTTTACAATTTCAATTTTGTTAAGAAGCCAGTTCTCAATATATCTTGATCAGGTTTGTTGTTTTTAATCAGTAATTGTTTAGGTATTTTTACTCCATTTGATACAATTGTGTGGGCCAAAACGATACGGATACATGGTATCGACATATTCACTTGCAACAAAATTTTAAAGAATTTATGTATACCCTATAATTTGGGAAGTGCTTTGCAAATCCCAGAGTATCACTACAGGCAGGTTTCAAATTCACACGTTCTATCTTTTTGTTACTTGTTTTACGGTGGAATATAATTTATTTGAGTTTTCTATCTCATTTTCAAGTCAGTGAAAACTAACTCTCAGATATGATGATAGGCTATGGACGGCAGAAACTTTTCGGTACTTTTTAAAATAATTGGAAATTTTGGCCATTCGATTTCTTCCATCATTTATATTTTTCTAACCTTGAGTTTCAACAGTAGGGTGGAAATACACTATACAGGGGCGTAGCCAGAATTTTTCAAAGGGAGGGGGGGGGGGGGTTCTGACATTTCTTTTTGCCAAGTTAGATCGAAACAGCTGGAAGGTCCGATCGAACGCTGGAATACGCGTGTCTCTAGTTAGTCTTGGGGCGCTATAGGGCATTTTAAGCTACGGAAAATTGCTATCTATGATACAGAAAAATGATTTTATTTTTTTTACACCTCAAAAGGGCGGGGGGGGGGGGGGGTTCTACCCGCAAAACCACCCCCTGGCTACGCCACTGACACTATGTGCTCTTGTACCCGAATAGGCGATAATTATCCAGCAGAAAATCGCGAGGAAGTTAATAATAAATATGGATATACGGCCAGTCAAATATGCATATACGACCAGTCAAATATGCATATAAAACCAGCCAAATGGGCATATAAGCTAGTAGTCAAATATACATATACAGCTAGTAGGCTAATACGCATAATACAGCCAAAATAAGCATATACAGCCAGTCAAATATTCATATAGGCTACAACCAGCCAAATGTGCATGTGCAACCATTTAAATATGTTCGCACAATCAACTTTACATGCATACACAGCCGTCTCAATATGTATACACAACCAACTATAATGCACACAGAGACAATTTGGGATATGACGTTCCCCATTACAATATATTTAAACGAGTAAAGAACGTGATACCTTGTTCTTTAAACTCTAATATATATACTTATTGTAAAAATCTGCTTAATCCTGGTGGTGGAGGTCGCAACTAGGGCTGAGCATTTCGAATCGAATAGTAAATTATTCGAATCGATTTAGAGCAAATTTTCGAATCGCCGCCATCTTGTTTTACTCTTTCCGCCAATGGTCCAGGTAAATTTCTCAATTTTTTTTCATTGAAGCCATATTTTTTCAACACAATTCTGACTTATTGAGGTATTGATGAAAACGTGTTTTTTTTTATCGTCAGTGATGTATTCTATGTTTTTAGTAATTTATGTGTCTGGAGGACCTAAAATACTAAGAAAATTACATACAGTTTCATACCTTCCAAGTATTCGAGATTCGATTCGAAAAAATTATTCGCTTCGATTCTGAAATCATCAGGTATTCGAAAATGCCCAGCTCTAGTCGCAACCAAGCTATTGTCCCTGCAAAAAGCATCATCGCGACCATCAAATATATCACCAATAGTTTCATGTCTGCCATTTTATCCTTCTAGAATACAAAAGTTTAAAATCACCTAGAAATCCAATCCGAGTGTCTTGCTCGATAGGCTACTAATAAAATAATAATTTTGTATAAGATTCATTCGATTTCATTCCTCCAACATTCTTGCATTATATTTTATCCAAGGCAGAGGATAAAACTCAGATTAAAATTAATGTGGTTTTGAATTCAGTTCTTAATGTTTTCAACAGCCGTCGTTGATGTGAACGCACAGGCATACCGTAAATATATACTAGGCATACTAGAAATATAAACCTTCGATATCCGGCGACCCATGACCCACAAATGAAACTGTAATTATCAATAATTCGAGCAATTTGTAATAGATTTGTGGCCCACCTGGAAGTGTTGCTGTGGCCTATAGCCGTTTTAGTAGGGACATAGCGGACATCGCCATTTTAGTAGGGACCGGTATGTTAGTCGTTGGTAGGGACATATCGGGATCGCGATTTTAAAAAAGGGACATACCGTGTTTTCCCGAAAATAAGACCTACCCTGAAAACGAGACCTAGCCTTAGTTTTTAAAATGGTTTTAATATAATCCCTCCCGTAATTAAAATAAGACCTAGTCAATAACCCGTAATATTTTTTTTTGACCCAGTCGATAGAAGAAATCTCTTCTGCATGTTTTAAATAATCAATCTATGTTTTGCAGTTATTTTGAATATAAATGTGTTTTATATTTTGTATTTTGAAAATCTCGTATTTCTCAACTTTGTAATTTTTTTTCTGGTAAATGAAAATATAAGACATCCCCCGAAAATAATCCCTAATGTTATTTTTTGGAGGAAAATTGAAGTAAGACCCAGTCTCATTTTCGGGGAAACACGGTAGCCATATTACTAGGGAATAGCCATTTCAGTAGAGACATAGTCATTTCAGTAGGGCCATAACCATTTTAGTAGGAATATAGCGGCCATCGCTATTTTTAATAGGACATAGCCATTTTAGTAGTGACATGGCGGACATAGCCATTTAAGTAGGGACATAGCGGACAATGCCGGACATAGTCATTTTAGTAGGGATCATATAGCCATTTTATAACTTTTTTTTTTTTTTTTTTTTTTATTTTTTTTTTTATTGGATTTTTATTAAATAAAAACAATATTGCAATAAACAATATCGCTCAAAATCAAAAAAATAATAAATAACAATATCATTTCAGATCACTTTATAGGACATGCATTTTTTGGATTTTCATAAATTATAAAACATTATATAGCAGCAAACAATATTAATAAATTCCTTAAACCATTCCACAGATAATTTTGGATTTTATACATAAAAACATAGAAATAAATAAATAGTAATATTACTCAATAACACAGACATAAGAGTATTTTTTCATAACATGAACATAACAGTTTTAATCAAATTATCTTACAGAATAAACATGAGAGAATTATTTTTTATTTTTTTTTCATCTCACACTTTTAAATATATATTAGGCTATATAAAGACTATAAACAAATTAGAACAAAAACACAGTTGTCAGGTTTAAGCTAATTAATCAATGATTATATAAATAAACGCCATTTTGTATTATGTATCATGATTTTACCATTTTTCATTGCGATATATTTCTCTTTGTTTCGAATATCAGAAATGAATTTATAAAAAACATCAAAAACTGGTTTACGCTTTTGAATCCGACATCTATATATAAAGAAACGTGCAGCTAACAGCACACAGTTGATGAATTGCATATCAGAAATGTCATCGAAGCCAATAAAACATTCTTTCATTCCAAGATTAAAATCCAAGTTATCGGTCTTAAAGACAATCCATTGGTCTATGTCAGACCAAAATTCACTGGTGATTGGACAATAATAAAATAAATGCAAAAGGGTTTCAATATGTAATTTACAGAATTCACAGAGGTTTGTTTCCACTAGTCCGAATCCATATAAAACATTATTCAGAACTATAGCTTTATAAAAAAATTTAATTTGAAAAGATCTAAGTTTTGTTTCAATAGTTGATAAATATGAGTTTGTGAAATACTTGTTCCATTCCACACTAGGGATATTAAAAGATTCCTGCCAAAAGGATTTGTACATGTCTGGTGGGACAAATATTTTTCCAATCATTATTCTATATGCATTTTTACATGAGAAGTTTTTTGTAGTGAATGAAAGGAATGCACTAAAATCAAAATCACAAAAGTCATCACATGATTGAGCAATCTCATTCCATTCCTCAGGAATACTGCCTGTGTAATAAGTTCTATAATCATTAGCATTATATGGCATGCAATATTTACTAATTAACTCGAAATAAGTATAAAAAGTATTGCTAGAAATCAAGTGTTTCAATTCAGAAATACCATGCTCTTTCCATGTTGAAATATAAAAAGGTTTTCTACTGTATTGCAACTTTCTATTGTACCATATGGATTGATTGAGTATATGTACATTTGTAACAATATTTTTAAAGTTATACCAGTATACTAACATGTCCTTAATAGTGATAAATGGAATATTTTTGATAAAATGAGAGTTCCGAAATAAATTTCCCTTTAACAAGGATGCTAAATCTAAATCATTCAAATAATTAAGTTCAACAAGTTTCCACTTACAAACCATTTTATAACTACCCGTCAATTTTAATTTACTTGTATGATCGCGCCTAGTGGTCGTTAGTGCGTGCGGCCAATCGGGCTTCGGATGGAGTCGGTCAAGTATATTTCCAACAACAATGACTTCGCATATTAAGACGGGACGAAGTTTGTACAAGTACTTGATCAAATGCTGTAATGAACTGCCTCGTGCACCAAAAAATCATTATAAACATTTCATACGACAAGAATTCAAAAGCTACAAGGACGAGGGAGATCCACAAAGAGTGCAGCAGATTATAAACCGAGCAGTTGAAGATGCTAAGTGGATTGTAAACAAATACAAAAAGTGACTGAAATATCTTGCCAAGGAATGTGAGATAGTTTTTACATGTCTTTCAATTACCTTGTGAATAAATGAGTGCTATTAGGAAAAACTGGTAAAATAAAAAGCACTGTACCGTGCTAAAGCAGTACTGAAGTATGGATTATTAAGACACTCTGTCTGTCGGTGTTAGTATTACTTGACAGCGTAAGTCTGCAAGTATTTGTTAGTAGAATATCATTTCTTGTTTAGGCCCAAATTCTGGGCTCATATAAAAACTATCGTTTTCTGCTGAAATAAATTGTATCGTAAGTTTTAAGTCTAATTGCCAATTACTTTTCATGAAATTTGATTGTATATTATGTGAAACTATCTAAAAGTGAACTTTTTATTTTTGAAATTCAACAATTTGATCAAATCTATGAATTCTATGTTATGCCATAGGGCTGGTGGAGTAAAGATTCACTGTGCTGCTGTGCGTAACAATTGCATATCGTTTTATTAATTTCTGTTTAGAAAGGTTAACTGTATTTCTTAGCAAATTTGACTTGATCAGCATTTATAATGTGTGGATTTGTAGATCATGAGTGAGGAGAAATGCCATTTTTTTAATAACATGTTTTCTAACAGATTTTGTTGTGATGACAGTGGTGCATTCTAAATAGTGTTTTGTGTGTACATATGGCAAACTATCTTAATAATGATTGGCTTGATGCATGCATTAAAGAACTAGATTTTCCAGGGAGTCCATGGTATGAAGTGAAAGAATGTATTTCAAAGTATTTGATAGAGAGAATACGTCAAGAAGGACTCACAGATGATGAATTTGCAAAGTTCAGATATTTTTTAGGAACTGATTTTACTTCTACTCACAAACTAAAAAGAACTGAAGCGGCAGTGAACAAAACTATAAAAAGACCCAACATTCGAGATGAAAAACTAGAACACTTGTTGAAGGACTTGACTGTGAAAGCAGCGGGTGATGCAAAATGTACCTTAAAAAATGATATCAGTTCATCTCCTGAATGTTTTCAGGATATGGTCTCCCTCGTTAGAAAAATATTCGAGTCAAGTTTAGAATCTAAATTGCAAGTTGCCAGAATGTCACAATTAACACAGTTTGGATCTAACACAAGTGTAATTGCATTGAATACACTCGTCAGCAAAGATATTGAGATTCTTGGTGAAGCTGTAATGAAAATTCTACAAAAAGAGCCGAGTAGATTAACCAATATCTCACAGCGATTATTGGGCCGACTTTTGCCTGTAACTTTACGAAGGTTAATTTATAGACTGGTCCTAATAAAAACTCAAAAATTATCCGGTTATCCAGGATCAAATGTTGGAATTGGGGTACTTGCACAGGACAATGAGATAACACAACAGGGCTTGCGTGAAGCTTTCGCTAAAGGTATGAAAGTAGGCATGCGAGAACTCGGTTCCAAGGATCCAACGAAGTCGCCACTTCAACATTTGATACAAATGGCTGTGATTGAAGTATATGAAACGATCTCTGGATTGCGTCCTCACTCGAAAAACATGGAAATTCAAAGGGAATGTGCGAACGTTCTTAATATTCTTTACACTTTCTCAAGAAAATTTCAACGCAGTTACATTCTTTGGGTATTTCCACTTCAGATAACAATAAGTCAAGATCGTTATACTAAAGAACATCAATACGAACTTGCTATGTGGTTGAATTGTATTGTCAAATCATGCTTTCCCTCCAACATCAATTCAGTAAATGCTTTAGTTTTGAATATTTGGAAAAAAATTGTCGATGGCAACTTAGATTCATCACATCTTGGGATCAGTTTCATCAAGCATCTTATGAAAATTGGAATCAAGTACAAAACCTACAGATGTTAACTCGATCTTGCGAGTAGAACTGCCAGACAATAAAGGTACTGATTCAGATCTACATAGGATATTGTCATCTGCTTCACAAGGCAGTATCGGCTCGGAATATGAAGAAACTTTATTTGAAAATACTAATTTATGGTCGTTGTCGCACCCAGCGTTATGTCTGCGAAAATGGATAATGGATTTATTTGTTGGGGTGACAGATTTACCGGTTTTGATGTTTATTTGGGATCAGTTATTTTTGAATAATTGGGAGTCGACCGCATTGGAAACGGCATGCTTGTCATTACTCCATGTCATACAAGTTGACTTGGTTCGTACTTTAAATGTTGACACCTTATGTACTGATATGCTGGAGAAACCAGTCATGGTGAAGTTGTATGAAGTTCAGAGGTCTTGGAATGAACTTGCCTCGGTTCAAACCTAAAATTTATCATAAATGCATAACGTCACTGCTTATAAATTATATTGATCACTTAGTTAGATATCAGTCTTAGTTTGATTAAAAAACTGACAAGTGAATTTTAATTACTTATAACTGAATCTATCTATGAAGATGTTTATCATAATGGAATGAAGGCTTAAAAAGTTGCTTACTGTGTATATGTTCCATGCAGATTTTAGTTTTCATATGTATAATAGCAGAATGTAATTTGTTTGTATTATTATGAAAAACTCATTAAAATAGGAATTTTAACCCCTTTTCAATCTTTCTTGCAGGGTGAATGTTGGTAACTTCTTCACTAGCTCGCAATACATAAGTTCATAAATTAAGTACTTCTGCAGATATTATTCATTATTAGTACAGTATTCTGTAGTAATGCGTTTTTTACATGACGTCCCTTTTCTGTTTTTACTAATTAGTCACATCATACCACTGTTAAAAATATAGTGTGCACTGTGCTTTATTATTACCAATTGATTTCATAGTAATATGCACTTTTTAATAATTCGATGATTTTTCTTAGATAAATTTCCATGCAACTGAGTTTGTAATGTATAATATTTTAGTGACATTATCTGGAAATGTATAAAGAAAAGCAATGCATTTTCGAAAGTATCACAGTCTTGGAATATTTCTTGGCATAGCCTTTCTCTTTCTATGTTTTTGAAAGCTAAAGTCAACGACAAACGTATTCGTGATGAAGCCTTGACTCTTGATGAACAATTCAATAATGCATTGTCTTTAATTTCCTTAAAAGATGCAGAGACGTTTCTGCTAGTTTTAATCATGACAGCACCAAAAAGTCGTGATCGAAGAGATGCAATCAGAGAAACGTGGCTCAAATATTCAATACAGCAACACAGCAAAAAAAGCCTTGCAGGCCAGCAAGATATCAGTCATTATTTTGTCCTTGGCACAGCAGGGTTAGAACAAGATCAAATCGAAGCAATTAAAGAGGAACAAACACAACACAATGATTTAATTTTGCTGGAAGGATTCGTGGATGCGTATGAGAAACTCACAGAAAAATTAGCTTTAATGTTAATGAATGTTAGAGATCAAATCAATTTCAAATATGTTTTTAAAGCCGATGATGATACATTTGCGAGAATTGATATTCTTTACGAGGAACTCAAAAAGAGACATATAAAATTCCCAACTGAAAAACTATATTATGGATATTTTTATGGAAAAGGAAGAGTCAAAAAGAAAGGACCTTGGAAAGAAACTGATTGGAAATTATGTGATACATATATTCCTTATGCAAGGGGTGGTGGGTATATCATCTCATCTAATATTGTGGATTATGTTGCCAATAATTTTCATTTGTTTCAACGATATGTCAGTGAGGATGTATCGCTTGGTGCTTGGCTAGCTCCACTCGCAGTTCAACGGGTGCACGATAAAAGATTTGACACAGAATACAAGACAAGAGGTTGCAGTAATGCTTATATTGTTAGCCATAAACAGAGTATACTGGACATGAAAACGAAGCAGAAATTTCTTGAAAGTCATGGTAAATTGTGTGAAAAAGAGTTTTCCAATTTTCCAGGATATGAATATAACTGGGATGTGCCTCCATCTCAGTGTTGTGAAAGGACTAAAGATATACCATAGATTTATTTATTCAGGTGTGTCTCATATTATATTGATACACAAACACATGACAATGCACTTCATTTTAGCTAATTTTTTTAAATTCAGTATATGGGTTAAATGGAATGTGCTGGCTCACTCTTGATCCAGAAAATACTTTATTAAGTTTTCGTTAACTGTATTAAAATGAAATTGAAACCGGGTGATAAATAATCTTCATGGCTATGATCTTGGTACACGGTCTAAAAATTATAGGTCACCCAACAATTTAGAAAAAACTCTGGGTACTCCTGGAGTATGCGCACCGAGATGTCGCATAACCTGAACCCTAACCAGGTTGTGCGCCATCTTGGTGCGCATACTTCAGGAGATTCAAACTTTGTTGTGTTATAGCCACTTACCGGTATATTAATTGTGGCTCTTGCCGTAAAATTTATGCAAGAAATCAATGTAAATACAACTATGTAATAATCATTGTGGTAACATTACTTTAGAAAACTCTCTCAATGTGGTGTGTAAAAGCAAAATGGTTCAATAGCGTCCTTGTCCAACAATCCAGTTTTTGTATAATAAGGAGGTTGCAATGCTTCCGTGTCAACATTTCGATTATCTAAGTGTGGGGGCCAGGGTTAACATGGAGTAGAATTTTTAGAGCAGTTAAAATCGCAAAATTTACAAGTATGCGTATCTAGTCTTGTCAATTGAAAAGGCGCGACTCGTAAAACCGATGGCTTTGGTTTATCAATTAGGTGGTCCAAGGTTGTCGGCTCCGCGGGCCACAAAATTATTTTTGCATTGCTCGCGGGCCACAATAGTGCCAAGAATAAGTAAACAGTGCAATACAAAACAAACATCTTTATTGTGCAAGCACATAAATATCAGGCATAGCCATTCTAGGCTAATAGAATCTACATTAGATTTTTAGTTTTCTATGATGCCTATATTGTTTGCATATATTCCAGACAAAAAAGTTAAAAAGCCAGATAACAATTTAGACCGCCAAGCACATCATTCAACTTCGCTAGTTTCCCCAGCTATCCATAACACTACCGTATTTAATTCAGTGACAATAGTGATGACAATACGTCGAAAGATTTTTCTGATTAATTTCATGACGAAACAACACGAAATGCGATGCGGGCCACAGGTAATGAAGCGGCGGGCCACGTGTGGCCCGCGGGCCTGGGTTTCGACCACCCTGAATTAGATTGTGGAGAAAATCTGGCGAAACTCTCCTTACAATGAGCACTGACAAACTACATTATAAAAGTGGAAGCGTCAGTTACCACACTAATATGGGCGTATTCACGATTCAAGAGAAGTCTTTGGATGACTTGTGTAAGTGATGTTTTTCCCAGTTAAAAACTAATCGTTCGTAGTGGCATCCTATAGCGGTTTGTTGATGAATATAACATACGTACTGATACGAAACATTTTATTCTCTGTGACATGATAACAGAGACTGAAACGGTTTAATAAAATTTTAGGTTTAGCAAAAACGTACGAATCTGACAAAATATAGAAATACTAGGTACTGCTGCAAATGAAAAGTCAAAAACATGTGGGTCCAAACAACCAAGACTACCTACATACCAGGTCTATTTGATTTGGGATGTCAAGAATAAAAGATAGCAACTAACTACTAAACTATACTATGACTAAACCATCCTCCAAATAAAGATGACCTGAAAGAGATAAAAAAAAACAGCCTCTCCTGAAGGAAACACAGCACCTTGGAATAATGACTAATACGCACTGGGGGTCAATAAGACAGCTTAATCACATGGCCCTTGTTCGCGTACCAGTCCTTGTTGGGTATGGGATTAGTTAGCAAGCTTAGTTGTTTCAGATGCATGGGTTTGGTGTGAGAAGTGGTAAGCGGCGAGGAGTTCAGCAATCTTTTCCTACATAATTATCTCCATGCGATTTGAACCTGCTAACCCACGCAGGGTAATCAGAGTTGCGATGGCAAGCGCGTTCCTAACGCTTAGGATAGGATTTACATATTTATCCCGAGGGGGGGGGAGGAAAGTCGAGAAGACGGCTTAACCATATGGCGAACCACGGCCTCTCGTCCGGTTACCATTCCATGTCGGGTATGGGATTAGTTAGTTATTTTTCGGAAGCAGGGTCTTGATGGTGGAGAAAGCCGTTACCGACCAGCGGTTACGTGAACCACCCTACGGCGACGAGGAGTGAACCACCCTAACGCTTAGCACGCAGGAGGAACAAAACGACGCGTTGAGGACCAGAACAACAAATGGACAAAAGCAATCTGCAAAGGTCCCATATAGTTTTGCCCTGGTCCTCACATATTAACTGCATAATGCGATTATGTCAAACACAGTTGCATGGCCGTAATATGTGCTAACTATTTCAATACAGATAAAACGTATATATTATTTGACAGTTTTAAAACAAATACTCTCCGACCAGCGTTATAGGTGTTACAGCTTTTCGTCTTGCGCGACCCTCATTACAGGAATCCATGCCAAAATGATAACACTATAAAACAAAACTCCATGGGTCAAAAGTACGAAAAAGGGAAATAAATACCTACTACAAATTATTAATTAGAGGGGTAATCTGTTAATTGCTGGTATGTGTTTGGTGTGATAATTATTTATCTATTAATACGGACTATTGACTGTATTCGTGGTCGAGAAGCTAGTCTCAGAGAAATGAAGTCATTAGAAATGGTTTTATTTCTGATTGTGTGTGTTTTCAAAGCAAAGTCTGAATATAGTTCAGACGAGAAATACATAATATGTACGTGTAGACAAATATCAATTAATTTACGGATGATCAGTGTAATTCCAAGGGTTAGTGGAACCGTCGGCACGGAACATCTCGAATTGTGGTGCTGTAGGCTGTTACGCGCTGGTTAATTCTGGTGAGGTTAGAGACTTGGCGAGTCGAAGTCAATAGCTAGGAACTAAATGAAAATTTCTTAAGAAAATAAGTGTTTTGGTGATTCGTTTACTACTATCTTGGCAGTAATAACAGTGCTTGATAATGTCTTGTATGTAATAACCCTTTATATTCGTCAGCCCGACGCAGCATTGTCGCATTGTGGTGCTGTTCGATCACTTTTCGAGGTCCCTGGCGATTACTGCCACACAATTTAAATTAGTTATAAATAGATTATTGATTTATTGAAATATTGATTGTTAGTAATTTTTTTCATGATTACTCCATATTGCGGTACAAATAAATGATGAATATTAATTGATTGATACAGTAGATATGCAGCAGTGCATCCGGGCTGTGTCCTGAGTAACTCAAGAAGAATTATATATCAACACTAATATTTAAAATTCGTTACCCTGATTATTCCGCGATATACGATAAAAAATATTTTTGTAATACATTTTTATGGGTGATGTGAAATAGAATCTCTACCCAAAATATTTCAAAGGCCGAACAAACCGATGTGTTTAGTTTGTTAGTTTTCTGAGAAAAATTATTATGAGTCATGAAAATAAAGTTTATATATACTGTGCTACACGCCCTTACATCACGTTAAGAAGAAATTGTTATTATAATAGTATGCATTTTGTAATTACACGTTTTTGTCTCAGATACTTCTTAGTGATAGTACATTTTTTGTTGTTGAGGCAATCTGGAATATTATGTGCCATGTATCTCAGAAACTATTTCAGTTTCATCCTGTTTTGCAGCATGGCCGTTCTTCTCTTTTTATGGTTTCCAAAAGCTCTATTGGTGAATAAACAAGTTCACAATGAATTAGCAATTCTAGATGAGAAACTTAATAATGCATTGTTAGTCAATGCAAACCATGCTGAAATATTTCTACTAGTTATAATTACGACTTCGCCGGAGGGGCGAGACCGAAGAGATGCAATTCGTGAAACTTGGCTCATGAATTCAATTGAAAAACGCCACAGAAGAGAAGGCCTGGGACCAGTGTTAACTCTAAGCAAATTATGAGTGCGAAAGTGCTTCGCAGTCCAAAAAAAAAGTGCGAAAGTGCTTTTGCCGATTTTAACAAGTTAGGTGCCCTAGCCTTTCATATAACCCATTTAAAACGGCATAGATGCTGGAAAAAGCGCTCCTCCGGTTAATATTATGAATTAAAGAGAAGCCTTTTCGTTAACGGAATCCCTTTAAGCGAATTCATGTTTAATTAAAACAAGCGAATTCATCGGCAACGAAATGACATCTGCTAACACCTGCCTACCTACTTTCATGCAATGTAAATAGCAATATAAATAGCAATCAACTAATTAGGGTTAGGTGCGCTAGAAATTCAACTTTTCGATTCATCCCTAAACCTAATCTGATAATTATTAATTTGTGATTTTGAACCGATTTGAAAGTCGCCACCCGCTGTTTTAAAAGATAGGTTAACCTACGTTCCCTCCGAAATATTATGCAGGATACTCCCCTGTTTTAGGATACGATTGTACTTGTTTAGGAGATAGGTTGACCTACTTTCCTTTCAAACTTTTTTCTCCGAAATATTACACAAGATCACTTTGAAAATCCTCCTGTTTCGTGAGCTAGCGTGACCTAATTTCTCATTTACATTTATATTATACTATTTCAGAGCTTACCCAAAGACAAGTAATTTTTAAATGTCCATGCCTTGGTTTGCGTGCGAGTTAGTTTAAATCGGGCAGAAAACATCATATATTGGCAAAATGTTTAGTAATGTCATGTACTTTCAGCATTCATAAATAGCACTCTTTGTAATGCTGCTGACCTAGTATCAAATATTCGCATCACAACGCCACTTGCGAGGTTTCCATATATTTCAATTACACTAATAGGAACGATGACACAAAGAGTTTTCTTTTGCGAAGGTACACTAAATATAACGAGGGTGATTCTTGAGAAAAACATGAATATAAAAAATAAACGAATGATATGATAGTGGATCCCAAATAATTTTGAGAGTGTCTCGAAATACCAATCCATTTGATAAATAATTTTTATTCGACCACATGAACGCTGATATCCTGAAAATTAATGTTGAAAGAGAATTACGCATTCTCAGATATCGGACATCCAGTCGCGATATTCAATCGTTCATATGCACAAATCTCACATTAATAGTAATTGCTACCCAAGTTTGTAAAGTTTAGAAACCAACAAACAGAAAATAACTTATCCTAAAACACAATTAAAATTCAGTCGGCAATAAATTCGTCGCCAAGACGATGCCATACAAAACAAAAAAGATTTGGTCGCGAGAGTTACGTGAGATGACTGCCGTTGTTTTTTAAGCAGAATGTAAAAAAATTTATAATTAATAAACGGGAGTTACGACGCCCTTTACACATCGTGTGTATTAAACTTCCCGGTAGGTACTTTGGTAAGTACTATTATTATTGTACTATACACCTGTTGGAGTATTTCGGACAATTTCGAATTTAAAATAAATGAAAACCCGACATATAATAAAGACGCAAAAGTAAAATGAACATTTATTGAAAAAGTTATTATTTAAGAAAGACAACATGATCGTACAATTCCGCCAAAACCTCGATGTTCGCAAGTGAGATGATAAATAAATACTTCCCTGTATTCGATCAATTAACTTTAGCGTATCGTTGTTCTGCCAACAAACAGCCGGGTGCAAAATATTTCCGTCCTGTGATATGCTCACAAATATTCTCGATATTAATATCATACCCTCGCGTATGTACTTTCTATTAGCTCTTTAGTGATCCCTTCCATCCTTGGCCAAGTCATGTTTCGAATATGTGAACATTTTATTCGACCATACATGGCCGGCGGGATGTTAAAATTGTAAACAAGAGAGAGGTAAAATCAATCGCGAATTTCGTTATAACGGCTCGTTTACGAATTGTTGCGCCTGTTATCGTCGAAAATGATTACATTTGTTGTATTTTGAGGCATTTAAGCAGTAATAATTAGGGCATGACATCATCAAAATCGTCAAGTGAGATCTTGAAATTGCAAATTCCGTAAATAAAATTGTGAATTATTCGGTAACGAATTCAGCTTTAATGACCGTCGGGGTATTGTTTTGTTGAAAATTATTATTAATGTGAGAGCGCCAAAAACATACAGTCCATACCGATGCGACTGCAATTTATATGGTCGCAATTGGTGTGGCGCGTTTATTAATAGTGTAAAATAAATTAAACGAATATCAATTATAACCAAGCCTGTCAGCGTGTTTATTTTCTGTGGGCAGGAATCGTAAAATACCATCTTGAGACAAATTCACTTCTATTATAAAATCTTAATTTTCAGTTATTATCGTTATACAAATAACGTGTGGCAACTTTTTAATTTATCGTCGAAAAAAACCGCCCCACACTCGTCCAAACGTGTGTCGAGCTTGAACGACAGGAACAGATTCATCGACGACCTTAATTAGGGAAAATATGTATTTTATTGGGAATGCAAAATAAATGTAACAAAACGCATTTTTTGTGATATAACTTTGTATTTTCGGAAACGGGTTGCCGTGAAAGGTAAAATTTGATCTAAATTAATCGCAAAAATGTTTTATTTTAAATGTAACAAAACACATTTTGCGATATAACCTTGTATTTTCGAAAACGGGTGTCCTGAAAAGTAAAATATGATCTAAATTAATCGCAAAAATGTTTTATTTTAAATGTAACAAAACACATTTTTCGAGATACAACTGTATTTTCGGATACCGGGTGTCATGAGAGTAAAATATGATCTGAATTAACCGTAAATAATGTTTCATTCCAAATGTATCATAACGCATTTTTTTGCGATATAACTTTGTATTTTCGAAAACGGGGCGTCACGAAAATTATTAATCTAATGTTTTATCTATCGTCTAACTAACGTCTGGAACACATCATTTTCGGGGAGAACTCTAGCCCGCGAAACGTCATTTAATTTAAAATAGAGAATGTTTCACGCATTTCAAAACGGAAAATCACCAGTAAGTGGACAGGGATTCAACCCTCCGGATTCAGTATTCTATATCCCCGTGTCAGAACTTTCTGAAGAATGGAACAAAGAACCCGTCAAACCGCCGCGGAAGAAGGGGAGTATTTTTGCACTAATAATTAGGGCGTGACAAATCAAAATCGTCAAGAAACTGGTGAATTTGCAAATTCCATAAATAAAATTGTGAATTGCTCGGTAACATTTTAGCTATAATTATCGCCGGGGTATTGTTTTGTTGAAAACACGTTGAAACTTGAGGGAATTAGTTACAATTAGCGCCTGACCTCTATTAGGCACTCGAGCACTCGAAAAAAAAGCACTCGAGCCCAATCTTTTTAGCATTAAGTCGCATACGTAAAATATCCTGTAAAAGAAGTGCTGTTCATTAACGTCATCTCGTCTTATGACCACGCAGAAATGCCTTTATTGCCGAATTATTCAATCACTATTTTAAATCAACATTCAGGATTGGCACAATTTCAGATTTGCGAAGTTTATCACCATAGAAATACATGAGAAAGTTAATTATCGTCTTAATAAATATCTGCATCACGGTATGGACAATAATATTACCATTCGCATAAAATTGGGACGGTAAATTTACAAATCTTGATAGGTAATATTAAAGCCAACGCAAATGTTAATTTGAGTCCTCAATGTCTTTAACAGCTGTTGCCGATGTGAACGAACGGGTAAACCCGAAATATAAAACTTCGATGTCCGCCGACCCACAAGAATTCATATTTGTAAAAAAGAGAGGGGCGGAATACAGATTACCCAAAACCTGGATATCGCCGCCAAACGATCGGTGACAAGAACAATTAGCGATTACAACGGAATTAACCAGTAAAAGCTTTGTTGCCGATTTTTAATGTTTCCACCACGTTTATTCGGTACTCCTTAAAAATATTCGATTTAAAAAAATATTGAATTTTTGCCCACCCCTCCTCGCTATATCAATGACGTCCTTTCAACATTGTGATTACAATAAAATGGCACTTAATGGTATTTTGTGAATTTGTTTATTTTGCAAATCTGTGACATGCTGCTAAAGTTTCGTCTGATTTGAAAATAGTGCAGTTTGGTCACAATTCATCCAAAGTGACTATAACAGGTTACTAACACTTTTATAGTCATTTTGAATTCATCGATATCATTGATAGTCACATGACCACTCTGGTTCAAAGAACGCCCCGGGAGCGTTTTTTGCGGGAGAAAGCGGAATCCGTGTGCTTTTATAATAATCATATTATAAACAAGAATTTGCGTTAATGCAAAAGCTTTATCTCCTATGTCTGCATCTCATAGGTTAGAATTCCGGTAAATATCGTTATGATATGCAGAATTGAGTTACAAAAGTACCAGTATGTTACTTATTTGTCAACTTAATACTCGAAAATATTTGTTAACTTTGAATTTTTATTCCATTCAAAATCGGAAAAAAAGTGCTATTTCTCTTCAAAATCGGAAAAAAGTGCTATTTCGCAGTCCCTAAAAAAAGTTGCGAAAGTGCTTCGCAATTTTCGCAAAAAAGTGCGCTAATAGTGAACACTGCCTGGGACCACAATATATCAAACATTATTTCGTTTTTGGTACTGCGAAGCTGGAACCACAACAAATTGAGAAAATCAAAGAAGAACAAAGGCAACACGATGACCTACTCTTACTGGAAGGATTTGCAGAAACGTATGGGATACGTACGGAAAAGTTGGCTCTCACGCTAATTCATGTCAGAAATCAGTTTAGATTTAAATATGTTTTTAAAGCGAATGACTTCACGTTTGCCAGAATTGATATTCTATACGAAGAACTCAAAGAGCGACATTTGAAGTTTCCAACTGAAAGACTTTATTATGGTTATTTTTATGGAAATGATAAAGTTAAAAAGAAAGGACCTCAGCAAGAAAATGATTGGCGACTGTGTGATACCTATATTCCTTATGCATTGGGTGGAGTGTATATAATCTCATCAAATATTGTGGATTACGTTGCTAATAACTTTTATCAGTTCAAGCGATATGTCAATGAAGATGTATCGCTCGGAGCGTGGCTAGCTCCCCTTGCCGTTCACAGAATCCACGATAAAAGGTTCGATACGGAATACAAATCACGGGGTTGCAGCAATACTTATATTGTTAGCCATAAACAAAGTATTCAAGACATGAAAATAAAACAAAAAACACTTGGGACTCACGGCAATTTATGCAGGAAAGAAGTTTCCCTTTTTGGGGGTATGAATATAACTGGGATGCTCCATCATCTCAGTGCTGCGAAAGAACAGCAAACATACCATAAATATATTTTTGTAAACTTGAGAAATTTATTTTTTAATGAAACAATAATTTATTTATATATAAAATGTCGTTTGTGTATTATACGCGTAAATTGACAAATAGCCGAAGTGGAGGTCATTATAAATTTCTCAATGATTCTCGTCAGATGCAAACGTGTCCCGAGCCAAACGTGCTAGTGTGCGACACGGCCTTTGATTCACATAAGAAAATTGATTTGATAGTAATTCTGATACAAGATCCATGTAATTTCAGCCTTTAGCTATCTGTCTGTCCATCCCAATAAAACAGTATTTCTTAACAATTTAACGGACCCATTTAAAACCCCTCAAGCAACGGACACAAATCAAAACGAATTGCAATACATGGTATCGCGTTTAAATGAATGTAATCATTCTCAAAAATATATTATCAACCCAATGAATTGTTGAAAAAACAAACCATCAAAAAAAGATTTCAGTAATTCAGAATCTAAACTTGTTAGGATACCAGGATTTCAAAACCGAACCTTCTTTCAGCGAAAAGAATGGGCATTATTCAGTGCAGACACAGGATGATTAGGACTGACATGTAGGGTTTTGTTTATTATCAATTCCAATTCGTTCTGGCAGCTGCACACACGTACGTTGCTGGGATATAATTTCAAAAATGTAAGAAGAAATCCTGGTTTGACTTTCCCTTCCATCGCGTAACTTCATCGCCGTGTTAGTACCTGTATCAAAGTCATAAGATTTCAACAGAAATGTTTATTTGAGATATCAGGTAGACGCTTTGAGTAAAAAAAGGCAGAAAAACAAACATAAAACATAGCTCACGGACGATTTGGACGATGAGACACCCTGAGGCTAGGCTGTGCAAATTGTGAAACCCCTCTACAACAATGACGCCACAACTAATCCGTTTAACGTCATAATAGGGATTTCGAGTTTATGTATCATGACACCACAATGACAGTTTCAAATTGCTTGGATTACAAAACTTTAGCTTTAGACAAGGTACCGATACATATATACATATAAATTATCATGACACTGAAAAATCCGACATCATAATATTCGTTTTCAGTGAGATCTGGCATAGTAAAAATTATATATATATATATTAATGCTTACATTTTTTGTTGCTTAAATGAATTAGTATATATAGCTATATATTGATATTTTTTTCATAAAATAAAGACATTATTACGGTAAAAACTGTTCAGTTAATTCAAATCAGCATACTGCGTTTTTAAGGCTAAAAGAATAGAGATTTTCGAAGTTGTACAAATTCATTTATTCGGCCGTGTCTCAATTTTTAATCGTTAATTTCACATGGTAAATATTTGGAATCGGTAACCTGAATTTTAAACTGACATTATTCTGGAACAAGCCTTTACAACGATTTAAAATGAATAATAGTTCAAAATTGTTTGTCAAGTCCTCGAGGTTTGAGGCCCGTAGGCTTTAGCCTACCATACCTAATTGTATATCCGGCCGTGCTTAGAATCTCATGAGTTAGTCCGACAGAATCGGGCTTTAACATTGTTTTTGGACATAAAGTTTTTTTTAATGTTTAGATATAATGTCAATGACATAAATAATGATACCCAGGTGAGTGTGGAGTATATAATGTTGAGCAATTTTTTTTAAATGGATTTCAAGTATTCGTACCAAGATGACGCACAACCTGGATTCTAACCTGATGCACATGCAATGTTCAGGTTGTGCGCCATCTTGTAGCGAATACTTCGGGAGCACCTTTTCGTTAAAAACAATTATTTCATAACTACATGGGTTAGTTTTGAATACATAGTAACATTGCATCTCTTTACAATGTCAGAAATTCAATTTTAGTAGAATAAATGGTAGTTTATTTCACTAATATAAGCCAAGATCCATCGACAGCATCTAGCCACTTTCTTTTGCACTCGTCAAACTACATTTGTGTTGCTGCGAGCATTTCGTTTTTCTGCTTAAAGCTTAGGGACTTGGGAAATATTTTAGTTGTTGAAATGGATTGGAATATTTGACCTCGTCATTCACCCCGAACAAGGCCATATAAAACCATCCACTGGTATCTGACGATGTGTAACGTGTTTTCTTTTGGAAGAACCGGAACCTTTCAGGTGCAGCATTGACTTTGGCCAAATTAATATATCCTTGTGGAGATAGAATGTATGCGGATGCGAAACCGAGATGTGCACCTGTTATGCCAACATAGTTGAGTCGAACATTTTGATCACTAGTACATCACACACATTTTCCTGCGTGCTTCGGTTGTACGTAGTAACGCGCACATTTTTGCGAACATGCATCAAATTCCACTTGTTTATTGAGCTATAGGTTTTTGACGAGTATTTGTGTATGATTTCATTCTATAGAATTTGTATGCTGTTTTGAAGAATACTAGTTTCAGCTGTTTTTTTTATCATCCAAACCGCGTGTTTGAAGTAAGTTTTGTAATACTGCGAGTTGGTTTTCAAATGGTTTATTTATCTCCATCACTTGACATCCTTAAATCGGTGATGCCAGTAAATCTTTAATACAAAAAAATCAGTATCATCTGCAATAAAAACAGCTGACTAAAATAAACTCAAATGACAGCTGGGGGATGGATACTCAAATTATCTGCTCCATCGCGTGCCTCTTACCAGTTTACATGGGTGCCAATTGGTATCTAGGCTCAGCCAAAGACAAAAAGTTTCTGGCTGCGATTAGCGTGACGAAATATTTTTAAATATATATTCCACAATAAAATTATTTGATGCATATTACTGAAAGTTACGCCTGATATATCTTTTCCCATTGCACTTTTCCTTTAATGATATTCAATAATATGACGCTCATCTGACATAGTTTTTCAAGTGTGTAGATAGGTATAATCTTTTCCACGCTGTTCAGATGGGAATGCGCGAATATATCTGAGAATCGCTAATATTTTATTTGTTTGCAATGCGATGAAATCCCATCTTGGCATTTCTGCCTCTCGCAATTGCTGCGTATATTTATCGGAGAAGTTCTGTGGCGTGGTTATCAAATGAAGAACTCATGGGAGTATTTTTTCCACGTCTCAACTACTCTCCAACCTTGACATTTTGTCAAACCTTTTTTTCATTCAACCTTTTTTTTTGAACATCCCCAACAACCACAATTAATTCTGTCATTAAACTTCCGAAACAAACAGATAAAATCATCAACAGATGCATATCACCAAGTCCTAAGTAGATATTGCTAAATTTATCTTTATTTTACCATTTTTCATGTAATGCTTTTTGGTAAACCTGTTATCTATCGTAAATACAGCACATTTGGCTATGTTGCAGTGTAACTTTTTTAGCCTCACATTTTTGATATTTGTATTCAGATCTCTTGGCCTTGGGGCTCTGTCAAGCAAAGTTACATATAAAATATTGGTTGTAATTTGCAAAACATGACTCCGCATTTTACCACCCGTATATATATCATTCATTGTCGAGAATAATAATAAAATCATAGAATCTAAAACCCAAAAACAAAAAAAAATTTTTGTTGTAGCTGCATTCGGGGGACAGCATGACAACAGGCAAGTGAATCACGGTAGCCTCTTATAGTTTATGACGGGGTTTCCTAAAAGGGGACCCCGGCCTCCTTGGAGGCCATTGATCGGTTATCTGGGAGCGCGAACAAACAGATGGAAATGCGAATATATAATAACAATGTATTTTATAGAAGAGAAGAAGAAAAAGTGTTGAAAGTCTTTGGTAGTTTGAAAAGCATTGGCATGGAACATAAGAATGAACTACATTCTTTCCCAGGGATATACAATAAAATGTAGCAATTTTCTCATTCTTGTTCTCGTGATAGCATTATCTTTCCACTGCATCGTCGTGATCATCCCGCTGCATAACAATCCTTGCTAGCAAATAATTGACTGTTCTCCACCGGGTGTATATCCACTTGAACCACTGCCGACTGCTTTAGCAGGCTTGTATTGTTAATTGCAACAAAAGCGGGTATTTTGAAATCTACTCTTTATTTTACGCGTATGTTTTTAACAGTATTTCCATATATATGGGTCGCGATCCAAAGCTGGGTTCAAAAAATACCTAAAAGTTATTGATTTTATTTCCTAGTAAATTTGGTGCTTGCGTAGTTTGTGCACCAAGATGGCGCACAACCTGAACATAGTATTGTAACAGGTTAGGTTTCAGATTGTGCGCCATTATGGTGCACAGATTTGATCAAAAACACTAATACAAATTACAAGCCGTAGAAAAAATTGCTCAAGGCTGCACACTCTACACCCATGTAGAAATGATGGGCAATAACCCCAAGATGAATAATCACAAATAAAAAAAACTTTATGTCTGAAAACAAGGTTGGGCCTCAAAAGGCCCCTTATCTGCCGGACTAAGTGATGTGACAATGTGCAAGGGGATTCCTGGGCTCCTTGTCGTCGCAGGGTGGTTGATGTAATGGCTCATCGGTTGCGTCTTTCCCCACCGACGACGTTTGCGGACGCATTGCGCTACAGCTTGGGAAGGCGTGAATAGGCAACTAACTCATCGATAGTTGTGTTGTTTCGAAGGGTTTATTGCGAATTAGAAGCAATTGGCAAGTTTTTGCACGCATACGCTATTCATGTTTTAGTTTTAACCTACTCAATACAAAAAAATCAAATACTACAGCCCATTTTAAACAAAGCAGGCAAAAGAACTTGCTAAAAACAATTGTTTTAAACAATTCTTTTCAAACAAATCCCTACGTGACATGCTCTTTCAGTTGCGCAAGCTTTCAACGATTCGAATTCGTCATAACTTTGCCACACAGAAAGCACTGCGTCTTGTGAGAGCCATAACGGTCGGAAACAATAATGAAAATAAAGGATAGTTTTATATATACTATCTCGATTTGGCATTGGGCCTTCGAATTTTTTATTCAACTTGTAATCATCACTTCAGAATTCAATAACTCTGACATTGTATAATTACGATCTGGCAAGAATTTAGATGGGCAGAATAGTCTTAAAATAAGTTATTGTAGCGGCATACCATGGATTAAAAAAAAAATAACCAACTATCTCTGATAGAGATTTATTAAAATGAGATCGATTATTATAACTGAGGATATCATAATTCGAGCGTGACAATCGAATAAAGCATACAAATAAAAAGTAATTAAAACATTTAGCTCACGTTTTCGTTACAACTTCAGGAAGTTTATACTTTACTTCACGCATTATGTATTAATAATTTCAGATAGTAAATACATATTTTCTCCAAATTTTTGTTACTACTTTAATGGGAATCACCGCCATTACAGAAACGCTTATGTATTTAAATTTTTGTACGGTATTATTAAGTAGACTAGTGATAGTCACGGTAATTACGTATGAAGTTATATAATTTCATAAACATTACAGCGACTAAAATAACGGCGCAGATCAGTAACACATAAATAGAAAACATGCATCACTTTTAGTTTTAAAAATTGTTGTTCAATTAAAAACGATCCAAATCATCGGATTCTGTGCGAATTGAACAAAAGAATAAATCAGAACACTTTAACATTCAGGTATTTGTGCTTGCAACGTTTCCATATCCCAAATATGCTTCATAATTTATACAGGTGTATATGCCAAAATGATCGTACGCCGGAAAGGTTAAATTCTACGACTAGGCTTTCCAAAATACAGTATATATATATATATAATAATATGATAGCAGAAAATAGAGAAAGTAATTTGGTCATATCATCAAGCGGCACACCCATTATATCCAGCAGCAATCACACCTTAAAGTGCGCCCACTTCACACACCAAACTCGACACATGAGGTGAAATCAGTGAGAGTCAATCGTAGGTCTCGATACAGACGCGACTGTATGATAAGCCATAATATCCAATGTATAATTCTTAGTCGTTTATCTGAACCGGAAGTTAATACAGATACCGACAACAAATGTTTTTTGTGCAATTTATTTCTGCATATATATTGGCTACATGATCTACATGACGTACAATTGCTCTTGTTTATCACAAACATTTGAAACATTGTAAAACAAGATGTTTTTTGTATACGAACGGTTCTTCTTTACCAAAAAAAGCAGAGACCTAGAAATACTGAAATCTGACAAAAACTGATCAGAATTAAGTTACGCCAGAGGAGATTAATGTATGCACAGCAAAAATATGAAAAAATGTACACATTATTATCAGAAATTGCTAGCAATATGGGAAGTAAAAATTAGGAAAAATGCATAAACTAATTGTAAATTGAAATGTTCATAATCTGGGCTAAGATCTGCGTAGTTATGCTAAGAAAATGAATCATTGAATGAAAAATCTTGAATATCAACTTAGTTGCAATATTTAATGTCAGTAGGCAGTGTTTATGCATCTAGTGTATTTGATAAAAAATGGTATGAGGAATTCATTTAGAAAAATCAAAATTTTCAATTGACTATTTTCTACAAGACAATTAAAAAAGGACGGAAAAATTTGTTGAAGACAGTAACATGTTGAAAATGTCTATAAAATGCATGGTGATTGTCCCTGTTTCATTCTAAAAATTAGTTTGGCATAAATTCAAAATTTGTCAGAATAAAAAATGATTGACGACTACAAACTACTTATATACAAATGCTTCTCTGATCAGCAAAAAGATCCACTTACAATAAAAAAGATGTAGAATTACATATGTATTTAAAGATCGATAATCAGGTATTTCATGTACTACCATATCAGTTTATAAAACCATGTGAAAAGAGGTTTAGTTTAGACGATTAAACAAAGTGAAAAAATCACCAACTAAAATCGTATAAAAATACAAAACGACACAAAACATCTAAATATAAATCCACTGCACGATTAAAAAATCTTGCAGAAGAGACGCTTAGCTCATAACTAGAACGTAGAAAAAAGTCAGTGTCAGTAACGCAACAAAAAATCGCATCGCGAAAATTCTGTGCCAATTTTTTTTATTTCATAAGAATGCACAAAATTTGAGCTCGTATCAAAAACAATAAATCAGCTGAAAAAGCTTCTTCTTTTTCTTCCAAAAATCACACCTTTTCCACTAAATTATCGATATCATTCACTTCCCACTTACTGAGAGAGTGATGCTACCATGCAGACCAGATAGAGATGGGGAAGAATACCCGACAATCACTCTCCTCTCTCCAACTCGACGTGGCTTGACGGTGATCGTTTTTGTAAAGGTAGCACCACCTTTAATCTGTGACAAAGAATAACAATAAGTTATTGGGGATGATTTTGGGAATTGCACATCTCTTGACCAGACAAAAAATAGTACTTCATTTCACTTCTATAAAAATAGAAATTCAGTACACAAGGATTGCTGCTTATTCACTGTAGGATATCCCCAATCATGTATCATGAAGAAAATACCAAGACCTAATATTCATATATGAATAGCTACATGACGAAAATAGTCATGAACTCATTCCTATTTTCCCCTTTGCATGTGCAAATACCAGTCATAGCCATATTCATCACAACAATATGGCTCTTCATATGATAAAGCCATGCCACCATATTTTTTCTGACCTTTGCGATAAACATAAAATCATGAGCGCTATAACTATATTACTGTTATTAGTCAATATATTATATATTTAATACATAATACATACCGCAGTCACATCAATTTCCATTACACCTACGATTCCAGAACCTTCAGCCCTTAGAACTCCTGGTTTTAAAGTAGTTGACAACGGATTCGTGAAACTGATATTGAGAGTGACAGAATCCCCAGGTTTGTAATTTTTCCCAGAAGCCTGAGAACAAGGGAAGTATCTATGAATTTTGTTCAATAATAATATAAAATACTTCACTGGTAATGTACTGGTGGCATAAAATAAGTTCTAAAAATGTTACAACTTCATTGAGTACTTGGCATATACTTGCAATGAAATCATGGATAATATTAATTTTAATTTCACATAATATTTGGCATATATTATCATTTAGCTACTTTGTGGATCAATCCAGAATATTCTGTTTTGAACGTGATCAACAAGAGCCAATCATAGACTACAGTATATGTAACAGTTGACGCTATTTGGCCCATGTCTCATTTTCCCGATTTGTCCTTTTATAATTTCCCGATTTGTCTTTTTATAATTTAACAGCCCTGCCCTGGGCAACCATCCGTAAAAGCCTGATGCGCTAATGATATTGAGAAGCCTACACCAGAATGCATACGGTTATATCACTTAGCGAGCCCTAATCTAATCTACAAGTAGAAAAGCTAAACTGTCCAAACCTTGATCGCAATAGTTGGCTTGAGTAATTCAACCGTATCATGATAACCAAAACTTTGTAAAACGTCTTTTCCTTCCTTTACTCCACCAAGTGCAAAAAATTTGATGCTGTCGTTATTTTTGACCTTCGATAAGTATTCACCAGCTGACAGAGTAGTTTTCACAGTTTTGGATTTTCCGGCAGGAATTGTCTCCTCAAAACTTACAGCATGAATTTTTGCAACAACAGAACCTGAATACGTTGTAAAAATTTCCGTAATTTGAATAGAAGGTAACAATAGGGAATATTTCAACTCCATCTATACAGACAATTTGGTGAAAATTGATATTCCAACAATGCTTGTAAACAGCAGATGCTTTGGAAAATTACGATGTTACAAATAAGACAAGAGAACAATGCTCAAATATTTAGACACAAGAGTCAAATGACTAACACGATCGCTGATCAAAGAATTCTACCCAAATGTTATGTGAAGATGCGCCTACTAATTATTATAGATACAGGAAAAATATGAAGCAGAATGTCAACTACATAACTTCCTTGAGAAAATTTGAAAAACAAAAGTAATAGCCTTCTTACGACTGCTTTCATCCTTCTACAGTTAAAAAAACTACTGATAATGTCATTTCTGTTCGCTACAAAGTGATTTCCACTCTTATATGTAATATACTCTTATATGTAAATACTGGCACGAAATCTTGAAATCCCAATTTTCAAAATGAATAAAAATCGTCCTATTTAAAAAACACATGAAACAATGAAAAAATAATCAATCCTCGTTTTATGAAACATACTAACAAAGACAATATACAATAATAGAACTCACCATTGTATTGCATAAGTTTTGCTGCAACCCTCAAAAATACATTCTGAGTGGTGGAAGAAGTGTTGGTAAACTAAATCAAAAGAAAGTATAAATAAACATACAACAAACAAAAAGCGAAGACTAACAATCTTTTATTAAAACATGAAACCTATTGGACCTCCAGAAGTATGCGCACTAAGATGGCGCACAACCTGAACATAGTAGGTGTGTATCGTTTGATTCAGGTTGTGCGACATCTTGGTGTGCATACTTTTTTAGAAAAACAAATCTATATCACATTTTAAACGCATCTAAGAAATCCATTTTTTCCAAACAAAAATGAAGCAAATAAACTATATATTTATTCAAAGAACTAAGGTACTCCTGAAGTATGAGTAACCAAGATGTCGCATAACCTGAACCTTAACCTGGTACAAAACCTGAGTTTAGGTTGTGCGCCATCTTGGTGAGCATACTTCAGGAGGTCCGAAACTAAGACAAAAGAATTCATCCTTCATACAAAAAGCAACCCTGCACAAACCGTGAACGAAGCGCCGATTTCTTTTCCGACAGGAACAGAGTCAGGTATATCTCCTGTAAACTTGATAACTTGTTTCGTTTCTTTCTTTTCGGTTCTAGGAGTTGTTACATACTTCCGTGCAGTTTTAAATGACAAGCGTTCCTCTGGTGTTCCTGATATAAAAAATTATTCCCACTGTTGCAATGGCCAAAATAAGTACCGCACTTTAAGAACTTCTATTTCAGTAACCTAAACAACTCGATGAACATTGATACTATAACTAAGTATAACAGAGATTTTTGATATTTTATTCAAAAAAATTACAACAAAATATTTGAATACATTTCTATCAGAAGAGGCTGCTGCTAGCATAATTTAATCCAGTGTTTCCTGGCCAGTGTGTCGCAACCCAAATTTAGTTTCATTTTTTTTTTGACAAAAACATATAATTTTATATGTTAACTCACTGATGGCAAACAAGAGTGGCTTTTCCATAACTTTGAGCTAATATCTAGTAATATCAATGTTATGTAAAAATGATTATTTTCTACTAGTAATTTAATTTTGAGGCTGTAAAAACATTACATGGCGTTTAGAATTTTTGCCAACCTTCATCAAACTTGTATTGATGTGTGACATCTTCTCTGACATCCGATCCAACTTGTTTGGTTGACATGCGCTTTCCGATTATTCCATGTTCAGAATACAATTCTTCATATTTTGTTTTTCCAGACACAATCGTTTTAAGCCAATGACGTTTTGATCCATTCACTTCAGCATATATGAACGGGCCATCATAGTCCATGAAAATCAAACCCTGTGTATTTAATTTGAAATATATAATATTGATCACGGAATAAGCAATAAGCAGAGGTGGTGAGATGGGCAACTTGCGACCCGTGGACAGATATCTTCTTAACGTATTCAAACCTACGAGCGGTCTAAGGAATCAGCACAAGCACCTACAAGCCTTATTTGAACAAGCTTTTGGACACATGCAATAGGCTATGCTACATCACTCTTATTAATCATTGTGCCACTTGATACAATAGATGTTTGTTGTTCATTAGCTGTTTCGCTAGTTTTCGCTGTTAAACTGTTTTTATTCATAGTTTTATATTGAGCCTTCGACCCAGTAAGCAAGTCTATTATCTGGAACCGGCCCACTAAGGAAAGTAATTACCCTTCCCTGGGTTAGCAGTTTAAAGCGTAAGACTTAACTGTGCTGGCATCGTATACTGGCAATATATATCTTGGGTTAAAATTCTATCTCCCAGGAATGTAATAAATTTGGCAGGCAATGCTGAACCATAGCTCGTTACATATAAATAGATAATGGTGGCTACTTGTATAGGGCCTTGTATGGAGCAAAAGACGTGAATAAGCAACATATAAAGAAATGCAATCAGGAGCTGAAATTTCGAATTTTTGGGAATTTAACAAAGTCTAAAATATTTTGAAAAAGCTTTGATTGCAATGTGGTTATATGCAATTTTCAAAATATTATTTAGGTTGATGGTTTGATTTAGAAAGATCTGGAATTTTTGGTACAATTTGTAATTAACAAAAAATGAACATTTATAATGATTCAGAACATAATTAATCAACACAACATTCTAATTATATTGTCTAATTTTTTAACAATTATCTCAAGAGTGTCATCAAATGTGGACCACATATATCTTTGAATTTTTACACTACTTGTTCCTTTTATGTGTCATTTTGCACAGGATTTGTAAGTTGAAAATTAGCTGTGCTCAACCTCCAAGTTAATATTTGAATACCTGTTTAATTGCATTGATAGACATTGGACCACATCTCATTCTTCCGCCGCTCTCTTCCTGTGGCGTGGCATCTAATGCCTGCCACCCGCCAAATCCTTTAGGAAGGTCAGGACGTGCCATCCACACATCATTCCAAACATGGAAATTCCTTTTAATAAACACAAAAAATAAATTCAACATGAAAGGTACCAACTTTTTTAAAGCTGAAAAGATTTATTTTTTCTTGATCTCTGTAAAACAGAAGTTGCTGGCTTGCGATTGTCTGATATTGTACTTACGTACCAAATTGAATCATCTTTGTCAAGAGAATTGTAGTCTTTGTCATATTCCACATCAATAGTCAGGTTTGCATCCGTGTCATGAGCAGACTCAAAGTTAGTATTACAACGTGCTGGAATTCCGATTGCTCGCAAAGCTGGAAAATAAAAAATAAGAGATTACCATAAAATGTAGTCCAAGAATTTGCCTGATTAAAAATGGCAGTGGGACTGGTGGCAGATTGTTATTCAAAAACCCGCTTGTATGATTCGTTCTGCCTAGAGACAAGTCCCCAAAAATGTCGACCATAATACCAGTATTTACAACCATGGCTGTGAAGAAGAGTCTGAATCGGAATTCCAAACTCTCCCCAGAATCAAGAATAAATATTCAAAATTGGAGTAAAAATTTCAGATTTAACGGCAACAATCAAAGTCAGTTTTTGTCGGCTTTACCGCCGAGCCTTTTGGGCGAATATTCCCAGAAGTATCATGTCAGTATAAATCAGATTACGATGATTCAACTTACCTGTGCACAAAACACCAGCAAACACCCAGCATTGGCCATATTCCACAGGTTTTTCTTTTTCAAGATATTGTTTGAAAATTGCATAACTTCCGACCCAATCGGAAGGATTTATTCCATCATCATATTCTCCAGACCAATTACCAACCAGAACGCCATCGTCATCCTGAGTTTTGAAACGATACATGCTTATAATATGTAGCCATAGTTAAATGACAGTATGACACAATACTAATGTGGGTAATTTGAGGCAGCGAGGGTCAATTTATACTTTAGTAAGCAGTGATTAGACAGAAAAGGGGCGACTTCCTTGCATCGCTGCACATTTTTCGAACAAATCTCATGTTCACCACCTCGCCTGGGTGTGAAATCTTGGGTAGGCATTACCAAACCCGACAAATTTTGGCGCTTCCAAATAATAGTAGTTAGTAATAATAGTAAATAAATGAAGCCAACAAGCATTTACAGGTACTCTCGTAGCATGTGTACCAGGTTAGGGTTAGGCCATGATTTTATTCATGATTTTCAGATTTTAGTTCTATTACGAATCTTGGGACTGTCTGTGCTAGCCAAGTGAATATACCCCCTGCCCATAGGTTTCAGTCCCTTTAAACAACTTGATGTAAAATGGGCGAACGATATTAGTTACCTCCATATTGGTAAACATACGCCCATGTAGTATCGTTTACATTCTCAATAGTTGACAAATCATAATCCGACATAATATATCATAACAGAATAGATTCAAATTAACACAACAAAATATTTAAATCCGTTTCTCAGTGAGTACAACAAAAATATCCACTTACATTGGCGTTCATAAGAGCTGACAGGTGTCTTGCTATTTCTACAGCACTCCCACGATTACGGTAAAGAAGTTTTTCCATTGTAATCAGCTTGAGAACAGCATTCAGAACTTCAGTTTCAAACTAGAACAATGAAAAAATTATTTAAGTCTGCAGAGTAGAATATTATTTAAGTGATTTGATAGCGAGAAAATATTCTTGGCAGTAGTAATTCGAAAAGTTCGAATATCCACTCTGTAAATGACCGATGAGCAGTGTTAACTCTAAGGAAATTATGAGTGCGAAAGTGCTTCGCAGTCGAAAAAAAAAGTGCGAAAGTGCTTTTTTTCGATTTTAACAACAAAGTGCTTTTTTCGATTTTAACAAGTTAGGTGCCCTAGCTTTTGTTATAACTCATTTCAGACATAAATACTGGAAACAGCGCTCATTCTGTGAATTTCACGAATTAAAAATAGTCTCTCTGTTCTTTTAAATCTTGATTAAAACGAGAGAATTCATCGGCAAGGAAAGACACCTGCTGAGCACACCTGTCGCGATTTGAAGCACATTCATCACTAACCAAAGGACACCTGCTTGGCACACCTGTCGTGAACGAAACTTTTCTGCAATCAACCACCGGAGTCAATTGCTCGAATGACCAGCAAAGCTTTGCACATTCGTGTTACTGCCGGCCATAGATCGATACCAAACTTCGCCTTAGGATTACATTAATGTTTCGTCGTTACAGATAACTGTTACATGGTGTTTCCACATGAGGTCTGTGCATAAAAGGATTTGCAGGCGGAGCCAGAACCAATCGGATAATTATCAATTTGTTATTTAAAAAGTAAGGACGGTATTTTTCTCAAATCATAACATACATTTTGCATGAGTGGCCCACCAAATATCCGGGGGGTCAACCCTTGTTTTCAACAAGAGAAAGTTACAAGGCTTCGATATCAAGTAACAAAATTGCACAGTTTACACATTTGTTTTATTCACAAATAAAAATACAAAAGCGAGGATGGCGTGGCTTCTGCAGCCCGTTCGTGGCGACGTAGCTTGGAATCTTTGTGCTAGCTTGTTGCAAGACATCTATGAAGAATGATTCCGCTTTGTCTGCTTTTATGGATGTCTCCCCGCCACATCTCAGAAGCATTGTTAGGTGTCTGCTGCTAAGCCTATTATTCCTACAAAAGTGGTATTCATCAATATCAAATATAGTCCTATTTTCTAAATAAATAAGTAAGAAGTTTTCTCAAATTCTCATACTTTCAAAATTGTTGTAATAATTTTTACCTGTGTTTCGTCTTAATTATGTTTATTGAAGAAAACCCTCGTTCGGCCCCCCGAGGTACCGGCTGCGAAAACTTGTAGGACTTTGCCCAGCACTTGAAAGCATGGGTACTCGGGCGCTGCCGCTAAGTACTCGCATACCTGTAATTTATTTGCATATATTAAATTAGGTTTCATATGCTTCGAAGCTAAGTGCGTGTGTGTTGGATGAGAGATCAGAAGCATACGACAAATAAATACAAATGGTAGCTACCGATTAGAACTTACGTTCTCCATAGCCGGTATTTGGAGAATATGCAGATCATGACGAAGATTCTGCCATTCCATCACTACTGCCTCCTTGTTTGTGAATTCTTCGATCAAAGGTCCATATTGTCTAATTTTCTTATAATGAACTCAGAAATGTAAGTAACATACGTGCAGATTGCGGTTCCTGTTTTCTTATCGTGTATAATATATGGAAACTCTCTTTTCCATTTCTCCGGCCAAGCGTCAAGCTCTAAAATATCATGTCGTTGTTTCTTTTTCTCTGCCATGCCTACTAAATTAATTTCTAAGAAAGTAAAGTGGTAAATGCCTCGTTCATAACTACGAGTAAAATTGGCTTAACGTAATATTAGGAAGTGGAATTGTAATTAATCTACCACAAATTGATTGCACACTAACACACCATGCGATGATTCATATTCTAGGCTAAGCCTATTTTATCATAATAAATCTATGACAAACTTTTTCCATCCTCGTAGGTAGGTCAAATCTGGGCGCTATCGCTTTAACCACGCTTCCTCGTTCGATAGAATATGCTTGAAAGTAGTCGCTCCTCTTCTAGTTTTATATGATTGTTTGACGTCATGTTTCTCCGGCTCCCTTTTTCATTCTTTATCGATTGTTGTGTTGTTGAAAAAAAAGGGCTAACCTACTTTCCCTTCAAACCTTTTTCTCCAAAATATTGCACAATATTACTTTGAAAGTCATCTCCCGCTTTACGAGATAGGTTAACCTACTTTCACTCCGAAGATTTTTTTTCTCCGCTATTTAAGCAATATCACTTTGATAGAGGCCACCCGCTGTTTCAAGCAAGCGATAAGTTAACCTACTTTCCCTTCAAACCTTTTTCTCCAAAATATTGCACATTTGCTCAATATTACTTTGAAAGTCATCTCCCGCTTTACGAGATAGGGTAACCTACTTTCACTCCGAAGATTTATTTCTCCGATATATTAAGCAATATCATTTTGATAGACACCACCCGCTGTTTTAAGAGATAAGTTAACCTACTTTCCCTTCAAACTTTTTCTCCTAAATATTACACAAGATCACTTCTAAAATCTTTCCCCGTTTCGTGATCTTAAACTAGCTTTTAGCCTAATTTCTCGTTTACATTAATGTTATACTATTTCAGAGCTTACGCAAAGACAAGCAATTTTTTAAAATGTCGGCATGCCTTGATTTGCGTGCGAGTTAGTTAAAATCGGGTAGAAAACATCATATATAGGCAGAATTTGCGAAGGAACACGAAGTACAACGAGGATGATTCTCGAAAATTGAAATTAAAACATTGCACCAGAAGTGTGTTTCACGACGACATAATGCATTTAATAAATTAAAAGGTATGGTCGTTCACAGCGAAATTCCAGTTACATATAGCACACCTTTCTTTGCCTGTCGGTGTTGGTGAATATTTTGCAAGTCCTATTTTAAACATCGACCATTTATCCGTAGTCAGCGGGTATCCGCATTCAGAAATAAAACACTAAAAATCGCGAAAATTAATTTTAGAGAGAACTATAACATGCAGATATCAGTAGCCTCATAACGGTTTGTATGTACAAAAACGCGCTCGCATGTAGCGCCGATCAAATGCATGAAATGTGGAACTATTACTTGGAATTTATTGTTAATGAAGTTGGATTTTTTATTGCCATTTAATGATTATTTACATGCGCGGTGTGATTAGTGGCGAGCAAAATATATTATATTTCGGACAGAATTGTGGGTTCACATCGGCGAAGATGTTAAAGACCACTATTACGAAGTGCATTCACAACACAATTTAATTTTATCCTGATTTTTATCTTCTGTGTAGGATTTTTATCACAGTTTGTAAATTACAGTCGCAATTTTTCAGGCGAACAATATTACCATTACTGACCCCGGGATGCGATATTTGTGAGGCGGATAGTTGGTATTTCTATGCTTTTGATTTTAGATCGTGTCCGTGTAACTTTCGTAATAAATAATATTTTAAAACTCCGCAAATTGGTAATCTCTTGAATACTCAGTGTCGAGTATTCACGTAACTCAGATTTCAGTTAAAACACTGATACTAAACTCGTGAATGAATCGGCAATAATGGCATTTCTACATGGTTAAAATAAAAATATGTTTTCCCGATATCTTGAGAAATTTCCATAAATACATTATTTGCATGGTTCGACGTTTCTAAGTTTACAAAAACGGTGCTGACACGCTCTGTGCAAAATTAGGAATTGAAAAATATGACACAAAAAGGCAAGGGAATTTCTTTTTTTACATTTATCGTTTCTACCTGTTAGCGATAGCCCTAGGTTAGTTCTTATCCGTAAATCGTTGTAAATTAATGTTATTAAATTCTATTTGGCTTTTCAATGCGCCGTGATTCGTATTCATAAAAGTGAGTCGGGAAAAGTACGTCCTTAAATTAACTTATAACCCTTCTCTCCTTTTATGCACCCACGACGGCGGTAAAATTCGTTTCATGTCTGTTTCATGGAGAGAAAGGAAAATACGCCTCCGGAATTGCAATCAACAATTACAATTACACATTCTTATTTATCATTATCAGCGCTAAATAATAAAGATAAGATATGGTAATGACAAAAGTCTGTCGGTTTTAATTGTGTTACGGTCACAAATATTCTGGACATTAATATCATAACCTCGCATATCAATGAGAAATGGATGCAATGTCGCAAAATTCCGAAAAATGCCACGTGCTTTTAACATTCCTGGTTACAATGCAACGGCTGTTAATAAGGCATATGATATGTGTTTTGTGAATTGGATGATTTTGCAAAGTTTCTTCTGATTAAAAAATAACTGCATAAGCGTACATTATATTACTAAATAATGTCGTGTCGGGTTTCAGAACTTTCTAAATCCAGTAAAATCTCTTAAAAAGGTACAAAGGCCCGTCAAACTTGCACCAGAAAATCGTTTCATTTTGTGGCAATTCGTGGATGTCACATGACCACACTCTCGTTCAAAGAAACTCACCGCCATTACGTCGTTGGAGCGTTTCGCGGGAGAAGCGGAATACGCGTGCTTGTATAATAATCATATTATTAACAAGAATTTTGCGGTTAATGCAAAAGCTTTATCTTCTATGTCTGCATCTCATAGGTTAGAATTCCGGTAAATATCGTTATGATATGCCGAATTGAGTTACAAAAGTACTGGTATGTTACTTATTTGACAACTTAAGACTCACATAAACATATTTTTCAATTTTGAATTTTTTTCCTTTCAAAATCAGAAAAAGTGCTATTTCTCTTCAAAATCGGAAAAAAGTGCTATTTCGCAGTCCCTAAAAAAAGTTGCGAAAGTGCTTCGCACTTTTCGCAAAAAAGTGCGCTAATAGTGAACACTGCCGATGAGTGTAAGAATGTTATCTTCCGCTAGCAATTGCAAGAAAACTGCTGCTGGAACACTAATAGCAATGACTAAGAGAATTTACAGTGCATGTATAGAGTGTATGCTTGAAAAATTTGAAATCGATAAAACCTGTTTTCATAAGACCCAGAAGTTGTGGCCATGGGTTGTGATAATATTATATAAATAAATTTAACAATATACATAAAAAAATAGATGAATACAAGAAATAAACAATTCGAACCTGTCCAAAATACCAATCCATTCCACCAATACTTCGAGCAGAACCATAATACTGGCGTCCAGTATCATTCAGTACATATTCCTTCCTCCATTTTTCATTTTCCATGTACACGTCGTCCCCTTAAGTGAAATAATAAAAACAATATAGCTGAATATGAACAACAAAGTGATTTGATTCAACCGATATCCTATATACACAGATACCAGAATGCAATATGCAGAAATACAAAACTACCCAATTGATTGAAATTGAAAAAAAAAAATTACTCAACTCTAATCTTCAATAATAAATAAAGATGCCGATAATATATTAATACTCCATTTATAGTCATTTTTGCAACAATTTCAAGTTTAAAACAAAACATTATCAAATAAAGACATGGAGATGGAAAGTGTGTATTACTTTATCGAGCATATTTGAATGCTCCATTCCATACTTTTTGGTTACCCTGAATTTCAAAATATAACTACGTCATTTTATCTAATTATATATACTCGTAGATCAAAATCATGTAGTATAACCACTAATTGTCAAATTCCCTTGTGCAGATTAGAACGAGAATCTAAATTTAAAATGAAAAAATTTGATTTCAAGTCTATTCTAAACGAAAGAATCAAAAAAGTCCAACATGTTGGCCATGATAAGTTTTCCCCTAAGGTGAGAAAGCGTGAGATATTTGATCACAGATACATGACAGGCATTGTCGCACCGGTAAATTTGCATTCAATAAGTCTATGAAAATAACTTTTATTAGTGGTAAGATAATTACCGTGTGTTAAATACGTGTCTGTAATTAAAGATCATTAAATGTAAGATGTAAAGTGTGGATGGAAATGGTATGTGTCACTATCACAAATCAATACTTCCTGAATATGCTTTTGTTAGGAACTGCTGAAACGCAGTTCAATTTTTCATATTTAACTTTCATATTTTGTCTTGATTGTATATGTACTGAATAGCTATATTATAAGTAAATGTGAATAAATTTAAATTGTGGAGATATTCGACAATCAAATGATATTACCATCCAGCATGGCTAAAAGGCTTAATTATCATAAATCATCTAGATCAATTTCAATTTCTGTACCCCAAAAAGGTATTCAAAAATGCTTTTATTTCAATTTATATTCTTGTGGCATATTCAAAAGTACACAATACAAATCGTTCGGAAATATAATAAATACTAAAGAGAATTTAATTCTTGTAAATTACTAAATTAGGACCGGCGCATTGGCAGTCTTGATATGAAGAGTCCTCATCTAAACATTAAACGGATTTGGTCTGGCAATTTTGAACGTTCAACAATCAGAGTCATTGAAGTGCATAGCATAACTTAGTAGGTATTTTCATTTGTTAATAGTTTAAATAAAATCAGGCAACTCGGGCATCATGGTAGATTGACAATACAGAGCAAATACCCCTTTAGGGCGTTACCAGAATTCAATAATATAATGACAGTGTATTACTGTTCTTACAAGTATCACTTTAAATTGGCCAAAAGTGAAATGAAATTACAATAGATTAAGATACTTGAAAAGTATAAGGAATGGCTTTCATATAAAAATAATAAATATGAATCTCAGCAATTTTCCCAAAAATATTGCATAAGGAAATTAAACGGATGGCAATTCACCCAATCAATTATAATTTATGGATTACAAACATCCTCGACTGAACAGCTCAACTGTAAATTTTTTTCTTACAATTTAACCTTTAAAACATTTTCTATTACTTCCTAATCTTAAAATATGTTATGCTGAAATATTCTTTTTTAAATTGTTTCAATACATATAAGATCTGGACTTGCTTATATTATGATTTTCTGGACTCAATGACCCTTTGGTTTTGTCGATTCAGAGGGAAAAAGAACATCAGACTGGACAGCACAGCTGTAACTAGCCCCTGGACGTACAGTGCAGTACTTATCACACCATATTCACAGGTTATTGCAACTTTCCAATTAATTGGTTGTTTAAAATGATTGCAATGAAACCTACCTTTGTTGTTATTATTAAGAATGGTTGATTCTGTAAGTATGATTCTACCGAAACAAACATAACGTGGGGAACTTTGTGAACATCCGCGTTTACGAGCACGTAACCTCGTTTCTCAAAAATGCAACAGCGTAATCTCGGTAAGTGCGATTCACAAAAGATCTCGTAAACACCTTACGCATGGTCACGCAAGTTCTCTCACGATCGGGCAAGTGCTGGCCGCCCGAAGCGACAGTCTGTAGGGTTTCCATGTTTGCGGCCTGTGTTTTAAAATTTGGGTCATATAGCAGTAATCTATGGATGAATGAAATGAAATTTGATGTTAGTAGATTTGATGTTTGAGTTAGTCCGTGTATAGGCTCAGGCCTATACCTGTAGCTGTACTCCAGTGAATAGAGTTGACTACTCCACAGGTATTAGACTACAGTCACCCTTACCCAAGTTAGGCATTTAGAGATTACAAATGCACGCAAACACCACAGCATGACTATTTCAACTTGAATCCATGATAAGAACTTATTGTTAACGAGGGTTTGCGAGCACTCCAGCATGTTAAAGAACTTTGGTGAATACCGATTGTCGGTAAAATGAGAGAAGGCACTTTACGAGACGTCTGTTTTGGAGTGCAAAAAATTCTCTCGAATATTTATGATGCTTCGTGAATACCATTTTTACCTTTTACGAGAAAGTCGGTGCTTTACTAACACATTGAATGATAAAGAAGTTAGGCGAATGGGGCCCCTGGTTCTAACTATATAAAATTATGAGCGCTTAATTTATTAGTGCCTAACTGACGATCAGAGAAATAATTTTTCTGCCCCGTCTTATTGGAAAAATATATAAAAAAAAACTTTCAAGTGCTAAAATTAGGCATCGACTTATTTGCCTGGTAGACTTATTAGCCGTAAAATACGGTTTTTACAAAGCATCGTAATCTGATCTTGAAATTATTTATATTTAGAATTCTCAGAATCACCTTTGTTCCAGGCATTGAAGAGAATGACAATGTTGTCCGATACAACAGATTTCTTCTCACTACGTCTTCCTTTTCCTTTAGAATACATGAACAACATCCATTGTCCTACACCCATATCAGATGGTGTGAACACCTCAATATCAACCTCTTTTCCTGGAAAGATATTCCAATATTATATAAAGAAAAGTGAAACAATGAAAATAGATTCTTTTGCACACAAATATCACTTGTCACAAAGTCTTGTCTGAACTATCAAAAAATGAAAAGAAATCAATATACATGCCCATTGCTGGCATATGATATATTGAGCTTAATTTGAATTGTACATAGGTCGCCCAACAGACGTATTAGTGCTAATTATGCTTTTATAAGGTATGTGGGCACAAATTTGCTTATGTTGTCAGTGTCACAGTACCATATCATCAATGCTGAATGTAGCTGTTTTGCCACACATGTAGAATAACACATCAAAAGCAATAAATGATTCTTGTATAAAGATTTTCTAGATGAAAGAGTTAGACCTATAGTATACCTGTATTTACGGAGGAAAACCGTACACCAACATTATTTGAATCACCAGCCTTCGGATCAATTGGGTCAAGATAATATCTCGACTTTTGCGTCACTCTTGGACTTCCACCTAAATAGTTGTTTGTATTATTTATGAATTCTGAAAACAGTGCATGATAAATAGAAACATATATAATATTGAAAGTTTTAATATATAACCATTGCTTATTGATCTTGATCGGTAAGTATGTTGACCGGTATTTGTCTGTTAGACACTTTCGTATGTTATGCGATATCTAAGCGAGGTAGAATCTGCTCCAAATTTTGCATGTGCATTATTCATATATCAGACCATTAGCCTATTGATTTTGGATGAATTATGTCGTATAACTAGCGAGATATTAATTAATGATTTTTTTTTGCGGAAGATCGATAAGTCGGCGGGCTCCGACGATATCTCGTTTTATTAGTTGAGTACATAAATAAACAACAAAATATTAATAAATTATTTTACAATTTTCTGCCAGCAAAATAGAAATTTTACTGAAAATTATAGTCTTGATTCACTTTTTTGTGTGAATTGAAAAATGTTTTTGAGTATTGGATACTTTGAGGAATATCAAGACAAAAATATAACCTCAAGAGCCTCCTTCGTAATTTTGACTATTCCCGACAAAAAGAAAAACGAAGTCCTCATTATGACAGTTCCGATATTAACAACGATCATCAAAAAAGATAATACAGAAATTAAAAATCCTGTAAATCAGAGCTATAATAATTACTGAGAGAGAAGTAATATACAGTTTTGTACTTAAGAAACAGCAATCTTCTCGATATGATTGAAAATAAAAGGATCGATCATTACAAACCTGTGCGAAATTCAAATCTGATTTTGTCTGATGGGAAGTTAGTATCTCTGTCAAAAGTTAAGCGAAGAAGGAAAGGTTTTCCACGTCGCACAACCAACCTCGATGATACAGTCTCATAATCATCAGTATGGTGAGCTGGACCATTTTTATCTTTCAGCAAATTGCATCTCTCCATTCCCAGAGGGTCTGAAAAAATGTAAAGAAGGTATTAAACATTTGGTATCTGTTTTGATTCATTACTATCGAAGTGCAGACTCTTCTGCTATCAGGAAGTGATGTAGATGATGCTACTATTTTTTGGTCTAGTGTAGTTTCGTACCTCAAGTACTTCTAGTGGGCGAAGCATAACAATTTTTGTATATGTTAATCCGAACCCCCACCTGACTACGTCATCCAAAAATTACGTCACTATGGTGTCACAGTGACGTAATAAGGCCCTTCAAACTATATAAACTGTCATCCAAGACGCGCAGACGATCAACCATCGAGCGAGCTATTTCTCTCGTTTTCTCGTTGCAAATCAATCCCAATATGAGAGAGATCGCTGGCGTGAACTCATTATCGTCCGCGCAGATGCCATTTCGGTTGATCGAAGCTATACTCCAGCAAGCAATATGACATAATTTTTGGATGGCATAATCATGTGAGGGTTAGGATTGACACAAGCAAAAATCGTTAGGCCTATGCTACGCCAACTAGATGTACTCGAGGTACGAAACTACACGCAGACACAAGAAAATAGAGGTTAGGACAAGTTGAATCACACTAAAATAGAAGAATGCCTGTTCTGCTCAGAGTGAAATATAGTACTGTGCTTGTAGATATATATTGTTGCAAAATTCAACAAAATATTCAATTTATATTTGATTGATCCAGTAGGTCCACAGGTGGCGGGCTTAATACAGTACCGTACGCAGTAAGTGTAACAAACAGATTATAGAAGCCAAGTTTAAATTACTCACCTTTATTGTAATTTGACATTGTAACTTGATTTTTGATCTTGAATAGATGTTATATCAATAACATAAATCTTAACAATACTGCTACTCACACTGGTGCAGATAAAACTAAAATATAATTTAAATACAAACAGAATAATCAATGAGTGTAGAATTAATACACTTATAGGGTCTAAACCTTAGGTTTTGAAAAGACAATACTGAAATAAAAGTATGAAAATGTATGACAGTAGCCTATGACAGCATGATGAATTTGATTCCCAGGAAAATTGCAAAGAATTGCAGAATTGCAAGATTAAGCTCAAACTTCAGAACTTAGAATGGGATATTTAGGCTATGCTGAAAGTACGTACACTGGCTGACTGGGCGTAGATTAACAATGTCAATCCCCACCCCCACCTGACAACGTCACTCGAAAATTACGTCACAGTGCTGCAGTGACATAATAGAGCTCACAGAAACAACTTTTGAGCAGTCACAGAGTGACAACAATCTTAAACCACTTACAGACTTAAGGGCAATTGCTGAATTGACTAAGAAGATAGATTTTTTCACCATAAGAATAGTAACAACAACATAAAGACATAATAACAGAGTACAAATCCTCTCACAGCCGCTCTGTCGATAACCTCAGTACCTGGTCTAAATTGGATACGCAGCACCGCAAAAGTCGCAGCCGTTCACCCGACTGCAAGGTGCAGACTGCTTCCACTTTCAGCCTATAGCAATCCAAAACATGGGTCACGTGATGACTCTTTCCCGCTGCCATTGCGGTATTGAAAAACGCGCTCATATTGTTGGACACGTAATAAACTTATGCCTCGTTTTGTTATTATTGATTAACCATTTGACAATGAAGTTCCTTATAACGTCACAGATGAAAAGTTGTATTTATTCGTCGGAATTACCGGCCGACTCAACTTCGCTTCAATGGCAGTTTTTATTTTCTGGGTAACATTTTTCGTCTGTCAAGCTCTATAATGCCCTACTGCTCAGCTCCAAGCTATGTCAGAAGAACAAATGACATTGTAGGATTGTTGCGAAGACATTTTACAGCGTCAAAAATGACCAAAAATGGTTCTACGTTGTGTTTGTGGCGTTGTGTTCAAAATCCACTCTTCGGTTTCACTCTAGCCCTTATAACAGCTGACCTATTCGATTCGGTACAACACGACGAAAATTTCCATAATACTCCATTGTTTCGCGTTTTCCAGATATGGCGTCCTTGAACTTGTTTAACATTAGAAAAGTTGGTTGCCGGCCGTTGGTTAGGACCGGGTACAATTAATATTCGTATTGGTACAGCAGGTGACTGTTCCAAAATTCCAGCTTCGTTTAAGATATGAATTTTGGGTAAAGAATTCTGTTTTGGCCTTCGTAACAATGCATTTGAGCATTGCTTTCCTGGTTATTTAATATTTATTCCAAACCATAGAAACGTCTTTACAAAATGACAAATAACGAACGCAACAAACAACGATCATGTCAATCAAGGGGTCGTAGCGGATGTGCAAAGACTTTAGCCCACAAAGGATGAATCAAAAAACAAAACTGGTCAACTAAAAGTCTTCAAATGCTGACTTCCCAATACTTGTTCAAAACAAATGAAATCAACGTCTTTTAAATACTTGGTAGGCTATATGATAATTGACAATTCTTAAATAAGAATTTTATACCATCAAAATTTCAAAGAAGAACCTCGTTAATTGAACCTCGTTAATAGGAGAACTGGATCAGGTTAAAAATTACAGACCAATTGGTATATGATAATTGACAATTCTTAAATAAGAATTTTATACCATCAAAATTTCAAAGTAGAACCTCGTTAATAGGAGAACTGGATCAGGTTAAAAATTACAGACCAATAGCTTTACTAAACACAGATTATAAAATTTTGACCAAAATATTAACAATTAGATTGAAATGTATTTTACCTAATATGCTAGATACCCACCAAACAGCTATACCAGGGAGGCGTATTTCTGATGCACTCATATTGTTAAGAGACATATGTATACTAGGCCGCGAGCCGAGGCCATTTATCTTTCAGTTTCGTAGCGCACATCAGGTAACTACCTGAAAATGATTTTAAAATGTTCCTTAGAAATTTAGTAACAAATATTGCCTTGTTCCCACTTCCAAAAGTTGCACGTTTTACAGAAAAGACGCTTTTACTACAATAAATATGTGTTACCATCTGTCCTATTTTCTCTGCTTTTTCGGTATCATGGGCCAATGAACGCAGACTTCTGCACGACGTAACAGTCAAGTTAGTCAGCTGTAGGTGGATCCCCAGTGGTCGGATGAATATCAGATGTACTCAACTGCTCGCTTTTGCGTTGAGTAGCCTTTCCATAGTTTTTTTCAGTTACCGGTAATATTAGTCCAGTTATTCTAAGGAGGTGTTGAAAAGTATAGGTAAGATATTAAACACTTGTATATCCTTGCCATAAATAGCAATTTTAGTTGAGCACTAGCTCATAAGACGTTGTTAAATAGGTACGGTGCGGTAACTCCAAGGAAGGCTAGACCTAGAATAATACGGTATGTCACAAACAACGATATTTTCTGGCTTGCATGAAATGTTTATGATTTATTTAATGACTCTTCTTGACTATTCAGCAGACTTATACTACTATATAGGCCACAGCATATTTGGAAATAGAAATGAATGGCTGTTTCTGTAATGCACGGTTGTGTGAAAGAGAAGAAATTAATCAATTTTACTAATGTCGGTTGGTCTAAATCTAAATTCATAGAGTCGACAAGAACCTGGGAAGCAATGATAAGTTATGCCGGAGTGGAAAGAAAGGTAGCATTGGAAATGATTGAGAGGTGAGAAATGAAGTTGTAGACAAACAGTTGATGTTTCAAAATATAGTCTATAGTCCATACTCATACTGTCATAGGACATTTCAGACTGTGATATATCAAAATTTAGTGTAGATATAGTCTAGTAATGGTATGCAAACACTGCTGGACTGTAGAACATGCAATGAGCATATATACGCTCATTTAGTACATCAGATAAAATGCATTATGTATTCAAGGTATTAGTTAGTATTTAGGGGTATTTTTAAAATCATGCTGCTCCAAATATTATTTTCTTCCTTATTTTAGATACTGTACTACAAAAGAAAACGGCAATGTTCCACCAATCCGACCTAACGCAGGCTCTGATCCCTGCTGCTATCAGTGCTATAAAATGGATTAAACAAGAAGTCTTGAAGCTTAAAGGTATATGAGAATCATAATAGTTGCAAACAGCTTAGATGGGCTATTCATATTGATTGAAATACTTTAGCACTTTTCTGCAATTGGAACTGCCCATCAAATTCATGTTGGAGACTTCATTGAGATTTTCAATTCATTTTTTTCCCTCGACTATGAAGATCTTTCGAGGTTAACGAGGTATTAATAAATAAAGCTGAGGAATTTGAAGAGGATATGAAGAATGTAAATGATACCAGGGCACGTCTATTTAACACTGTCAAACATAAGGATTATACTCTCCACCCAACAATGATTCACTGAAGAAGCATGTGGCCCTCAAATCAGTTCTTGAGTTGGCAAACTGCAACGAAAAATAGTCAAAATAATTTATGAAAGTGTGCCAAAATCAACTTAAATTGCACAGATTTTTGTTTTTGTATTGACTGCAGAAATCACAGTACACCTATAGAGGAAAAGTCGATTTTTGAGATAGTGGATTTCGAAAACAATTCAGAAGAAAGTGAATTAGATATTACAGTTGATTTAATAAGTATCATACATTTGTTTTTTTTTTCGGACATTTGTTAGTGGCGTAGTCCTGTTTCTAGAAATATTATTGCCTTTGTTCAAATACATAACCACATAAACTAAAAAAAGATTAATTGTAAATTGTAATATTTCTGTTCACTATGTTATGTACATATTGTACATTCATTTAATTTTCTTGACTTTTGCGGTAAATTTCTAAGTGAGAAATAACTGATTTATTTGTGTTTTCGTGCTCACGATGTTAATTTGTGACTTCATTGCTTAAAAATAAATACGTTTGATACTTGATAGCTTCTATAAAATGGATGTAGCTTTTTATGCTGTTCTTGTTGTAAACTGCTTGTGGTTATTACATAAAATTTATTCTCAAATGTGAATCAGCGTTGTTGGTGTCGCTGCTTTCGAGGTCACTCCCGACTCCTGTCACACAATTAAAGTATTTTTTGTTGTTGGTTACATGTATGCCATATTTTTCGTAATCTACCTAATAAATTACGATTGACTGAGGAAGTCCGATTTTGGTCAGGCAAAACATTACAGGAATACATTTGTGTTAGTGTGCTGTAGGGCTCTCGAATTGTATAGTTCTTATGTATGCGTTGTAAACTTATGGTTATTGAATTTCCGGGAACCTCTTATATTCAATTTCGCACCAGGATTGTGGAACAAGCTGTAATGCGTTCATTATGTTCGTTTTCACACAAAACTGAAGAATTTATTTAGTTACCAGATGTGCGCTACGAAACTCATTTTCTGGGCGTTTTCATGGTTTCGTCTCACGGCCCATATCCGTGGTAAGGATCTACAAGTGTTTAATAATTTACTTATACATTTTTCAACAACGTCTTAGCGTAACTTAACTAATAATAACTAAACAGGGCTATGGAAAGCCTGCCCAACTCAGCGCAAGGTCGAGCAGAAATAACTAATATTCATCCGCTCGCTAACAGCTGGTTTAATTCAATTGTTACGTCATGCAGAAGTCATTGTTCAGTGCCGAAAATGTAGAGAATATAGGACAGATCGTAGCACATATTTCTTGTAGTAAAAGCGTCTTTTCCGTAAAACGTGCAACTTTTGGAAGTGGGAACAAGGCAATATTTGTTACTAAATTTTTAAGGAACATTTTAAAATCATTTTCAGGTAGTTACCTGATGTGCGCTACGAAACTCACTTTCTAGGCGTTTTTCAGGGCCTCGGCTCGCGGCCTATACAGGAACAAAACAAAACCGGAGAATCTTCCATAATATCATTGGATTTTAACAAAGCCTTCGATAGTGTAGATTTGGATTACCTCTTTAACGTTCTTCGTAAAATCGGATTCAAAAATAAATTCATGAGTGTAATCCGGACATTATATATAAATTCAGAAACTCGAGTGTTACTAAATGGTTATCTTAGTGAAGCAGTGAAACTCGAAAGAGGAATTCGACAAGGAGATCCGTTAAGTCTTTATATGTTCACATTAGCTATTGAACCACTCTTAATTAGAATAAATACCTGTAATTCTATTAATGGAATATTGATACCACAAAATAAAGAAATAAAACATATCAGCTATGCGGATGATATTACCTTGACAATGCGAAACAAGACATCAATATATTCAGCACTGGATTTGATAAACAAATTTCAACTAGCAACGGGAATGAGGTTAAATATGGAAAAGACGAAACTTTTGAAAGTAGGAACATGGAATAATCCCAGTTTATTTTCTAAGTTGTCTATCGTTCAGACTTTAAATATACTTGGAATAATTTTTTCCAATTCTGACACATCGGATGAAAATTGGCATTTTTGTTTAAATAATGCCAGAACTGTAATAGACGAATTGATGGATATTCCTCTATCTTTGGATGGAAAATGTCTTCTAATTAAACTGAAAATATTACCCTTGTTTTTATATTGTGCGAAAATGTTTCCTATTCCCCTGCATATCGGTAAACAAATCAATAAAGTTGTGGAGTTTTTCATATTCAATGGAAGAAGTGTTTTAAAAATAGAAACTTTGTGCAAATGCAAATCATTGGCTGGATATGATTAACATACCTATTTTTACTATGAGCATGTATGTCATGACAGCATTTGAGTATTATTGTAAAAGAACTAATAATGCTATTGATCAATGCAGACAATCTGTTTTCAATTTTGTTGAATACAACATAGGTCAACAGCTTAGTTTATTTTTCAAATTGCCTACTAATAATAGTGTATCCCATGTTTTTTTCCCTCAGAAATACTATGGAACTATAATCAGCTTTCTGAGGCAGTACAACATCACTGAAACTGATTTAATTCAAGGAAAGCATAGACATTTATATAATAAAATTGTAAATAATTCGAAGGGTGGGGATAGAATTGTTTTTTTGAGAGATGGTAATTTAATAGGGGCTTGTTCAAATATACATTCTAAAATTTTGGCCAATAATGTAAGGACTTTCAATTATAAATTAATGTGGGACATTTTATCAATCAAAGTTAAACCAAGAATAAAACATATTTCTGGGGATGATATTTGTGTGTTATGTAAACAAGATTCTGAATTTGTGTCTCATTTGTTTTGGAATTGTGTTTTTACTCAGAATGTCTATGATTATATCTTTTCTGTGGCATTAAAAATGAGTAACTGTGTGATAAAAAATAATTATAAAACTTGCATTTTATTGGACTTAAATGACCACTGTTATACAAATTTATCCATTATACAACGTAATGCTATTATATTGTTATTTTGTACAGCAAGATATAAAATTTGGTTGGAGCGTAACGCTGTAATATTTCAAAATCATAACCCAAGCATAAATAATGTTATTATGAAAATTAGGAACTCACTTCTAATGAGAAGAAATATAGAAAAAGTAAGAAAAGAAATTTGTTATATAAAAGAACTTGCCATGATTTGTAATAACTTGTAAATAATTATAAAATTATGTTTTTTCATGCTAAATAATTAAAAATAAACTATGTAATTTGTATTACGAAATCAACAAATGAATAATTGGAACTCCCTGGATTATATGGAATATTATATCTGATGGAATTATCTTGATATTACTGGTATATATGTTTGTTCACTTACGGTACACAATATATCTTTATTTATATTTCATTTATTTATTATTTACATATTGAATAATAAAGAAACAAGACCGTTTTATTTTCGGGGAAAACACGGTAGGTCCGCCTTGCATTTAAAAAAAATATATATGCAATATGAATATACCGAAAGTTTAATGTGGCATTCAAATACATGTACTGAAAGTCTATACACAGGAAGCTTCAAAAATATCAGGTTAAATAATCTTCACCAGACGAATTTTCGTCTGAATCTTCTTCCTTAGAACCAAATTTCGACCATTTCGAGGACGTTGCAGATTCCGAATTTTGGGTGGCAACAGCTACTGTTGTTGACTCATAACACCTTTTCATAGGAACATCTTTTTTCATTGAGAAATTTGGTATTTTCGGAGGACTGACACGAACATTTACATTCTCTCTTTCAGGCTTCATAATTTGATCAACTATAAAGTCCTTATCATGCTTTGCCTGTTTTGTAATGTTTCCTCGCATTCTTCTTTTCCTATTACCTGACCATTCATCAACGTCCAGTGTAGTAGAGGTAAAAATATTTTTAATATCATATGGTGTCATTCGTCTGTCATCTTCATCATCGGACAATTTATGACAACTGTCTTCAGGAATATTGGAACTTTCTTTGAATATTTGCCATTTACTTGTTTGGCTACCACCATTGGTAGATTGAGTTTTAGTTCTGACCCCTGAAGTAATTGATAACCATGTAATAATAACAAAATCTGTGTATGATTGAAAAAAATTATCACGTCAGCTGTAAATAGATCTATAAAAATCGCAAACTGAAATAGTTTTATCAAAAAAGCATTGAAAAAAGTATTGCTGATATATTACCAACTTCGGTAAAATGACCACAGTTAATAAATGAATGTTACGACTGCTTAATGATAAAGATTTTCATGAGATAAGTAAAAACCTTTAACAGTTTCAACATCCAGATCTGCAATTTCCACGTCTTCCAACTCTCTTTTCTTTATATTAAGTTGTTGCACCATCATCCGACATTCTTTTCCCGAACCCTTGTTACAATAGATGTAAGTAAATTGCTTGCCTGAAGAAGTCTAGATTTAAAAATAGCACCAACCTGCCCATATAACTTTTGCTGACTCTGTTTTTCATTGCACATTTTACATGTCCATGTTTTACTTTTTCTTATCTGATGTACTTGAAACATGGAACAAGTGAAGCATTTTAAAATCATAAATTCTTGAGGCATTGTTGTTTATTAATTCAGACAGGTCTATATAAAATAAACACTAAAAGTTGCAGGAGTGCATAAACAAAAAATGCTTATCTTTAAATATTAAAATGCAGTCTGGTGATCATGTACCTATCCATGCCAACACTCAAAAATAAAGAGAGACGACAACGCTATTTAACTGCAATACTAATATATACTGTGGTAATTCCAATTCATTTTATTCATCCATCTGATACACACTTGCAATACACACAAAAACAACTACCATACAGTGTATAAAAAATATGAAAGCATGGATAAAAAACAAAACAAGCAATTATCAGTATTTGTTATAAAACATTTGAAGCACATGAACAATTTTATACAGAAGCGAATCTTGAATGAAGACAATCCAAATTAAAGTTATATATTATACTAATTCCACATTTCAATTTTCGACACACACTAGTAACATAAGTACTACAACAGATATATCATACGATACAACAATATAAAATCTTAAATATGGCAAAAAAAACTGAACTTTTTTGGTCACTTTACATCTCGATTAAATATCAAAGTATTCACAGCCATGAACAAGGATGCACACTGACAAACTAACTATTCATAAAATATACCATATTGAAAACTAAGACCCACTGACATATACTGACAAAAAATGGAGTTCTGATAAAACTTGATATCAGAATGGATGATATAAAAAATTTGCCTTCAAAGTACTTGGAAATCGATTTTTGATGTAAATATCTTGATATAAAAAAAATTGTATATTAGGGTGTTGGGTGTATGACAAACAATGAGAATGGCTTGATAAAGTAAAAAAATATTTGTTAAACAATTATTCTCCAGTTTTTCCATAAATTGATGTCTTTGATATCAGTTGAAAAAAAAAACATCAAATATGTGTGCGAATAAGCATATATAATAGGCCTATTAAATCATTGCGACATACAGTACTGGTGCATCAAAAAATACCGTAGCTGACAAGAATACTAAATTACACTGATGCAGTTTTGGCACCATATATTTTATAATAAACACAAATATGGGGGAAATAATAATGCGAAAACCGAATCGAATACAGCTTCTATTGATAGGAGAGAATTGCATTATCCCCCAATTTCGTGGATATGTATGCGTGTAACAGAGATGCTGAATTAGGATGACTATTCTATTTGATTCAAGAGTCTTGCTGCACACTAACAAAAATGTATTTCGCTAACGTTTCGTCAGACTTGTTCAGACAGCCATTTCCCAATATTCTACATTATTCCCAGCTGAAAATTGCTTGCCTGATGAAGTCCAACAGTACTGGAAACGTGACAGAAATACATTCGTGTTAATGTGAAGTAATTTAGGTTGATTTGTCTGAAAATTTAACTAACAGAATGACCTAACTATCAACAAGAGAATTAGGATATAGATAACATGTGGCATGAACCCAATGAATGCAATAGGTAGTAATATGTAAGTAATAAAAAGTGAGATAATTAAGTGAACTATGATTAATGGAAAATTCTTTTTCAACAGCCACAATTTACGAATTATATATTTGAGACCATGACATGAAATCAAGGGGTAAACTATCACTGTTCTGTAACGCTAAATTGAACAACTTTCGAGGGCTCATAAAATAATTCAGTACTGCAAAAAATTATTAAATTCCATGTGTGCATGAACTTAGTTAGTGTGTGCATAGCAATATATACAATTCTGAGAATTTAGTAGTCTCCTACTAATGCAATTTAAAACATTAAATGTGCATAAACTAAACCAAATACAGTTCCCGCTGCAGCGGTTGTTGCATATACCATTCTTCCCGTATGAGAACTCAGAAGCAAGAGGGTCAATCCAACTAAAGATACCGAAGCAGCAATGGTATTACCGATTGGTGAAACACGTCCCATATCAGACACTTGTAGAATTCTATTTTTCAATTCTGCTTTTGAATCTGCATCCGTGATATTGTTATTATCAAAGCTGTAATAACGCTTTAACAAATTATCCTTCAATTTAAATCGCATGTGGAGCCACTGAAAAGTTGGGCTTTCCATTCCATCTACAACGGGTACCTCAGATGCAGGTATTCTATTGAATTGTATAAACACTCTGCTGCATTTTCCAGCAAGGAAATCCCACATGGATGGAGCTATGTGTCGAATTCTTTCACTTGATTCTTCACCTTTGAATTCATATATGAATGTAGCATCATACACTGCGTCCAAGTAATCACCAAGTGTTGATATTGCACAATGAAAAGCTTTAATCCTAGGTGTCAAAACATTGTTTAACGGCTCGAGTCGATTTTCAGAAGCATACGCTCGACTCTTTTCTAGAAGAGATGTCTTGCCAGGACAAAATCTTGTACCTTCTGGATATATCACTAAATATAATGGGACTTTCCTATCCATGAGCATTTTCAAAGTTTTTTTCATCTTCATTGCGTTATAAGTGCCATCTCTCCTAACAAATATACCTCCATGCACACCCCACACGTATCCATAAAGGGGGAAATATTTGAGAATGTTTTTGAATACAAATCGCATATGTCCGATCATACCTTGACGAAGTGCTATAAAGTCTGCAACAATCCAATCCATTGCAGTCTGATGGTTGCATATCATTAAAACATTTTCAATTTTGTCAGGTATGTCACCTTTTACAATAATTTCCACGCCAGTACATGCCTCAAACACGAACACAACAAATTTTTGATACCACCCCCAAATAGCATCCTCAACTGGATAAAACATATTTCTTGGTAATACAGTTGACACAAGTCGCCAGGATGAGTGCACAATGAAAATCGTTGGTGAAACAGCAACTAATGCAGCCGTTGGCACAATAGGGCGCAAATTATTCAAGTGCGCCAATGCTGTTAATAGCATTTTGTAAGATAAGGTATTGCCACTGATAAAATTTATTAAACAATTTCATGAATCTAAAAATATATCATAACAGTTGAAATTAGATTGATTCATCTACAACACATATTAAAAAAACATGAATGTCATTGTAATTTAACTCTCCGAAGTCACCCTAGGAAATTACTGAGACTCATCATTTACTAATTTATAACTTGAATCAAAGAAGAAATAAAAAAGGAATCAGAAAAATCCAGCTAATATTTCCCAGATTTCTTTTTTTTAATAAGTGTTAATACAAGAATACAATGAAGTTCATCACATTACACATCACCATCCAATATCAGAATATAATCCCCATCATCATTGTAGCCTATGTTCCATTAATTCAGCATCAGTGTCATCCAATTTCTGAATTTGCTTGAATTGTTCAATCAGCTTTCAATCACATTAAGGCACTTTTACACTGCCTCATTGTTATTTCTAGGTTTTTATTTCAAGTCTGAAAGATTTTTTTTCTTAACGACATTGTAGGCAAGAAACTAACGAGAATATCGGTAGGAGACCGAAGACCTATCGATCGAAACTGCGGTTTCGATTCATGACTCTATAGTGACATCGCGTGTCCCATCACTAATCAATTGATAACTCGCTAATCATACGACATCATCCGAAATCGCTTCTGGTCCAAGATATAATGAATGCACATGCAAAATTTGAAGCAGATTCAACCTCGTTTACGTGAGATATCGCGTGCATCTAACAGACAAACAAACAAACAGACAAATACCTATCAACGTACTTACCGATCAAGATCGATAAGTAATAAAATGCAAAGTAGTATCTAGTTCTCGTATAAACCCTAAAACAGTCTGCAGATGCACGCTCGAAAAAGGCAAAACGTTACATTGATTAATAGCATTGTTATGTCACAAACGATGTTAGAGCCAATTGCTGAACAAGAATATCGGTCGGAGATCGATGACTTATCGATCGATTCATGCGCTCTTACTCCATAGTGACACCGTGTGTCCCGTCACTAATTAATTAATAACTCGCTAATTATACGATATATAATACGATAATTATACGATTGTTACCCGCGGGTCAGTGGTTTGCCATCCCTGCCCTAAAATAAAGATCCGAAGTATACGACTTTTTTTTTTTCAGAAAACAGCGTCGTCTTTGTTGATTCATTAAAAAATAAAACAATAAAGTGAAGATTATAAACAATAAGATTGCTGACCATCAACATCTGCAAAAATATTTATCAGAAATTTTTTTGCCAGCACTTTAAGAGTTTTTAATCAAGCCGTTCAGCATAAAACATTTGGAAAAACTATGGACAAACAATAATTGTCTAAGTATGATTAATATAAATTATAAAGTTAGATTTGCAGTGGAAACCACATGAATTGCTAGATTTCATAAGACACCTCCAAAATGCTGTCAACCTTCAATACGCAGACTTGAAGTTGGAGATTCATGGAAAAGGTAATTATTCGTTATAAGGGTCTTACTAAAAGCATCTTAGAACTCATGCAGTCTGGTGCTCGGTGAACGTTAACGAAAAAAGACAAAGCGTTTGAGAAGTTTATAAAAGAAAGAATTCGCACACAAGAAAATTTTACCCCTATAAATACGACAAAAGCCAGTGTAACCAAATTTAGAACAGTCACTGTCCGAAAAATTGCAAGGAAATCGGGCCAAAAACGTAGACCCCGATCAGAAAAAGTAAGTTATCAAAATGTGGAAAAAAACAAAAAATTATATATAAATGATTAGCAGTTGAAAGTTTCGGGCATTTGTTGGATGAATGATTCTTTGATTCGCAATTTCATTGACAAATTTGTCATGTTTTGTGAAGACATACTATTTAGCCTATTTTTTTGAAGTTTTTTTTTTCCTGAAAACTTTTTTAAATTTTGCTTTGTGGTGTGCTCATATTGTGTCATGTTAGGTTATTTACGGATGTTGAAGATTACAGATATAAACTCGGGATCATTTCCTACTACTTTATACCATTTCCCATCAAATTGTTTAAAATTTTACCGACGCTAATAAATAATAAAAGAAAAATGTTGCGTTTGCTGGATTTATGAAGTGGGGAATCGCGCTTTTTCACTGATGTTTTATATGAATTGTTTTATGACTTTTAACCCAAACATATTTATTGATATGTATATATACAATTTTAAGGTTCCAGGAATCAGAAGAATGCAGCTAGTCCACCATGAGTCAATCAAGCATGTTATTAAGATTATGCCGGACATCAAAGTCAATTTCGACTTTGAACATATAAAACAGATTCAGTTACGTGGATACAATAAAAATTCTAACTGTGGCATTGCACTGTATATTTTATTCGATGAACGGATTAAATGAAATAAATATTAATTGGTGTAAATACAATATATATATATGCGGTTTTATTTGTCACTATGATATCCATGTGGATCATAGTATCGTGTGGAATTATAAAAACATTAATCAGTATGTTATGTTATGAAAAGTCGTTGAAAACCGGACTTAAATGAGCGCATTCTTCAACGTTTTGTCTACTTTGCGCAGTCATTCGATGAAAAATCAAACGATATATTGTATCGTATAAAACCAGATAATCGAAAATTGACTGCGATCGAAATATAATATAATACTACTAATCCTTCTAGTAGCATTCACTATGCACTATGTAGTTGTAGTTGTGGGTATTGGTATGAGGCTACATATACGGTGACGTAATTTGTCTTTCATCTTTCACTATTTGAATGGTTTGTCCCATTATTTACGAAAAAAAAACATTCTCGCTTTTGTCTAAAATTTTGGTGAGATGTTTCAACACTCCGTGCTTTTTAAATGTGCTTTATCCATTTGAGGCTGACAAAAAAAAAAGCGGAATTGGTACGTAAAAGTTGCATTTCATGAACAATATTTACAGTGTAACGAAAGCAAATAGGGACAACAATAAGCCTCGTGTCAAAACTAAATTTGATCTCCACAAATTTCTTTTGAGCTATTTTTACGCTAAAGCCTCAAAATGTGGTTGTGGATGTATCAGACGGACCAGATTGAATTGCCCCACGAGCCGGATTCGGCCCGCGGGCCGTAGCTTGCCCATGTCAGATTTAGACCATTAACAGTGATTCCAAATGAACGTGTAATGAACTATCTTGCCACACGTGTTACACCGTGGTAAAATGCCCAAATGAAATGTTTTTAGCCCTGAAAAACATCAGAAACTAGATGAACCGGAATAAATAATATGTGAACGTTGAAATGATTGAAGGAGCGTGCTATTATCTGCCCAGAATGTATTGAAGCAAACAGTTTTTTTCTGAATACTTTATGATTGCATTAATATTGTGTAAAATTTAATTCGTATCATTTTATTTTTATTTTCCAAGCAGAATTATTCGTCTTTTACTAAATTGCTGTGGGATTGGGGTGTGCTTTATACACAGAGCTGGATTCCATTCATTGAAATATCCAGCTCCGTCTATGTTGTACAGCAATTTTTTTCCGTATCGACTATTGATTTGTGATACCCTTCGAAATAAAAAGGATCAAATCAACTTCTATATGATCTCGATATAGTAATGTAATTTCTTCATTTTGCACCGTACAATCTGATTTCTTGAAAATTCTAAACACTTTTGCATTAGTGAACGTTTATATTTATTTTGTGCTGCTTTGTTCTAAGAAGATTTATTTTTTCCCATGTGCCCAGGGGATTTTGTGTAGTTTCTTACCTCAATAACTTCTAATGAGCTTGGCGTAACAATTTGTGTACGGTTGTCGCTATCAGTGTTTGTTTGTTTTTAAATACTGGAACGAACCTGATTATGTGAACATATTTAACAAAATTTCACGTTTTGACGAAATATGTAAGCTTGCTTGGTTAGCTTATTGATTTCAAATGAATCTGGATTTTGCTTAATTTATTAAAATGTCCATCTTCAGCCCAGTGTAAGGTTTACAACAATTTTATATTTGTAGTGACATGTATTAACATTGAAATACGAAGGTTTAACAACGGCTGCGTAGATTCAATATCGTAATATACCTACCGTACTTCAGTTTGCATCCGCACAATCTGATTACCGGTACTTGAAACTTGGGAAACCGTTTCATTGGCGATTTTTTATATTTATTTTATGCTGCTCTGTTTCAGAAATATTCTAGTTGTTTTGTCACTTTAACATGAGAATACTAAATGCGCTGTTGGCTATATGAAAATCAACCTTTTCATTTCAAATTGATTTGACTCCGAAACAACGATATTATATAATAAATATGCAATCCCCCTGTATTTTCTACTTTTGGGAGAACTGTTCTGCAATTTGTTAATGTTAATTCTAGGATTGGGATGAGCTTTTCACAGAGCATCTGAATTTTGCCGATTTGGTTATTTTAATTTTAAAATGCAATAGTTTTTAACTTCTAATCACCCGTGTATCGAATTTAACATTTACATCTGCTTAATTTTTGATTTAATAAAACTACTGAAGATAAGATTATATTTTTGTTTAAAATTTGGGTTTTATTGGGCAGTGCATTGCTCTTTTTTTTAATAAGTGCTAGATCAAGTTGTACTTTCTGGAAATTTATAGCAGATAGTAGGATTTTTCTGACGGCGATAACAAATTCGCAAAAAATATGTATCAAAACTGAATACTAGAATTCGGTTGGAAACCGAAGACTTATCGATCGAAGGTTAGGGATCCCCCAAAACAGCGGTCTTACTCCATAGTGACACCGTGTGTCCCATCACTAATTAATTAATAACTCGCTAATTATAAGACATAATCCATCCAAAATCAATAGGCTTCTGATCCGCTATTCTGAGCTATGATGAATGCACATGCAAAATTTGGAGCAGATTGAACCTCGCTTTCGTGAGATATCGCGTGCATCTAACAGACAAACAAACAAACAAATACCTATCAACATACTTACCGATCCTGAGATCGATAAGTAATAATCGGGCAATATATTCTCACATTATTATGTTCGCAGAATGTCGTGGCATTTTAAAGAAGTAATGCTTTCATCTTGTCGTGAGTCGACGCAACCGCGAGTTACCATGAACACAATTAAAAATAAAATAGAAAGACGTTTCGAATTTTCGTCGTTCTCATGAACTGCATATTGTGCGACAGAAAAAGCCATTATACACTGGAAAAGTGGGCTCTTTTAACAAACACGTAATTGCGACGAATTTACTGTTTTGAAATTCGTTAAAATTTTGTTGTGTTTGGTTTTATTGCTTCCTCACACAGAGTAGGCTACGGTTGCAATAAACGTAAACGCATCTTGAGTCCGCAGAGGTTTTTGCCGGTGAGAAAATAGTCCGCGACAAAAAAGGTTGGATAACGCTGCCCTATATCTCGTGCTCTGTAGATCATTTCACAATCTGAGTCAATAAACGCAGAATGTAGAAAAGTAGTCTTTTTATGTAAAGACTTGAAATAGCTATATACTGTCTAGAAAAGTTACACCTGACATTTAACTTATGGCTGTGGCATACCTACCAAAAATTGCTTCAGTTCTTCAACTGACTGACAATTTCTACATTTATGAATTATACCCTGCTAAAAATGATGCCCAAATAGGTCAATATGACGTAGAAACTTTCCGTTCGATTAGAAAAATTCCTATTGTCACTTCTGTGCTGACACCGAAATCCTTTAACATGAATAGCATACAGAGGACTTGCATTTTATTGAAATTTACAACTTATCATCGACTCCGGAGACACAAGAAAGAAAAGCAGGTGAAGGATGGTTATATGGCTGATAATGTTTCTTATCCCGAAACCTAGTTTGCTCCGAATTCTAAAGTAAGTGGTTCATAGATAGTCCGGGATAAATATGTAAATCCTATCCATAATTGTTTCGTTGAAATTAGCTATAAAATGTTTTAAGCTAAGATTCGATACTGTTGGCGAAGAATTTTAAAGATTTGAGCAACATTTAGATGACGAGCGGCCCAAGCAAACAAATAGATTAGCTAGCTGTTAAGGATCATTTCATTTGAGTAGAATTCATTTGATTTCTAGAAATATTTACTCCTATATTTGTGTTGATATGTGATGAAGTCCTAAATTAAATAAAATTTTTGACCTACCTGCGCTAATCACAAATGTATATTGGATTTAAGGAGGCTGTAATAAAACGTAATGGCACAGGAAAAAGTTACGTCATAATGTTTTAATTTTTCTTAAGGATTCGTTCGCTCCCCAGATTCTGTAATCAGTTTTGTTTACTTTGTTTATCAATTATTTTATCGTCATTTTTGCCGACTATGAGGTCAAAATAAACTTATAACTTGTAAAATAAGAAGTATTTGACGTAACCAAATTTTTAACTTTTCAAACGGGAAATATTTGGTACAAAAATTATTTGAATTGATAATAAAATAAAAACATTTTAGGTGCATAGAATATTGTATTGATTAAATTTTGGTGTAGGAGGAAGATGGCCCTGTGCGTGTTCTCACGCTAGCACTATTTAACGTACTTTAGCGGAATAACCCTAAATGACTAATCACATGTCAAAAAGTACACAATAGATTGTAATGCAGTGTTTTAGCAATGAATTGATCCATATACAGATATATTGAAATATACACTTAAACTTTCATACGAGTTAAACAGTTGAAATTCAAACAGTTGAAATTCACCATTTGATGAAACAGTCCTGATTACTTATTGTCATAGAATTCAACAAGCTGATAATACAAAGCAGTGAAATAACAATAAAATTCATATTTACATGCTGCATTCACTACGCTACACTGGAACGCGTTTTTACAAATAAATGATAGTTTCTGGCCATTTAATTACAATAGAACAAGGTTAACACAATCTTGAAGCAGCCCAAGTGAACGTGCTTAGGCAAGACGAGTTCGATATTTTCATTTAATATCACTCTTGTAGGATTTTGTTTCTAAAAATTCTATTGTATTATTATTAATATACTTGGGGTGGCCAGTAACACTTGAGCTGATAACTAAACATCTTTCTAAAAATGATCGAATCCACCTGAGCGGATTCTCTGGTACATAATAAAAGGAGGTTCAAGTGATTACAATAAGCACATATTACAATATAAAATGTTGCTTAATACAATAATAAGTAGTCCTATAATACAACGAGTATGTACAACATCATGAGTACCAATATGCATATCTATTGTCGATACAATCTTCACTTATATTGCTTTTCAACATTTAGCCAGAGCAGAACAATTTTTTCACAAAACAATTTCCAAGTTTGGTATTATCCAAGTAATGGAAATTTAAACAAAATGATATAATAAGATGTCAGAAAGTGAGCATGCACTGTAATGACATTTGTAGAATAATGTGACACTTCAAACATGACAGATACTAAAAAAGCATTGGGTAATAATCACTTTTCTACAACTATGGTAAATGAAATCAAAGTAGCCACAAACTTATACATTTCAAAAAGTGTGAATAATTCAGTGACAATTATTACAGTCCTTGTGACAGCTTTTGCCTCCAACTCGGCATCTACATCCGCCACTCGTGTCGCCTCTTCCATTAGGTCCCCATCTTGGCCCTTTCGTTACCCAGCATATTTCAATTCTGCACATTGGACATCTTAGCCAATCACATCCGATTTTCTTCTGTATGATGATATTGCACTGTGGACAATGCATTGCGTCACCATCTTTGACCATTTTATCGAATAATATTTTAGTTTTCTTTGCTTCTTCATCTGTTGCTGCCTTTCTTGTTAATTCATCTTGATATTCCTTGCAGTTTTTTCCTTCATGAATGGCCTTACAAGTTAGACAGTTAGTCTTTTGACAAACATTACAATAAAAATTATTTACTTGGTCTTCATAAAGACACCAGCTCTTGCAATCAGGTGTTTTGCAATGAAAACTATTGGGTGATTCTTTTTCTGCTTGCATCAGGCCACGATTCAAATATTTTTGAAAATCTTCGTTGTGCAACAGAGCTTTTATTTCTCTGTGAGTGATTACACTGTTGCAATTATAATTATCATCCATGTAAGGACAAGTCACAATAGCTTCATCGCTATTTTTGACATGTTCTGCAATGCAATCTTTACAAAAGCGATGAAGGCATTCACGAAGCACTATTGTATCCTCTGGATTTGTCTCCTCAAAACAAATCAAACATTCTACAGGTTCCATACTTTGAATAATACTTTGTTCTGATACTGAAAGATGACGATTATAATTTTCCCTTCTTTCTAAAGATCGTTGTTCAGCTGCTGCCTTCTCTTCTTCTTTCTCTTTTTCAATTCTTTCAGCTTCTTTTTTAGATGGCACATAATCATGTGGAACTTGATAATCAGCAGGCCTAGGTTTGGAGCAAATTTCACATCCAGGTCTGGTGGGCTCATTGAGATATGTACACTCAACACATTTCCATCCTGGGCTATCTGTCTCAGGTTTCGCTGATATCTCCTCAAAACTTGTTGGGATAGGATCAGGAATCATTTGTATGTCTTCGTCCTTCAGCTCCTCTCCCGGCCTTGGAGAACTACACATAACGCATCCAGGTCTCCAATCTTCATTTAAAAATGTACAAAATTTACAAGTCCATAACTTTGCACCCAAACCACCATTGGGTAGTGGCGGAAGTACGATATCATTATCTGGCAAATCAAAATTCCCAGTCAAAGATGGGGTGTTTTGAAAATTTGTTGCAACCCTATTTATATCTTGAAACCCGCCAGGTGGTTGTTGAATTAAAAATGGATCAGTACGCTTTAAATCTTTGGGCTTTGTCGTGAGAGGAAACATCCTTGGCTGAGGATAAAACACATAAACATATAATACATCGTCATTTTGTTCCACACCACAATCTTTCAAATGCATCCAATCCTTAGCAATGGTTCTTTTATACAAGACATACAAATTGTTAAGAGCATAATTGGGGTATTCTTCAACAATTTTAAACTTGGCAGTAAGTACCGTCCATTTGGGACAACAGCGAAATTCTGCAGGATCACGAGATCTAGACCGTTCCTCAATGTGAAGTTCTGCAACAATAAATTGTTCTGCTTGTTTCGTTTTGTTCAAAATATTTCCAATGTAATTGATGACATCATCAACATCTTCTGGATGATCTCTGCAAAATTTTTTCAGTATTCCCGGATCTTTTACAAACGCAACTTGTGCTTTGTCTACGTATTTATCTGAATCATCACTCATGTTTGATTTCTAAATAGTTATAAAATGAATACGATAATAGATTACCGGTACTAGGGATGGTAATAATTAAAGTTGATCAACCTCAGATTGGTAATCTCATCTGCGTAAGCTGTACTTCTTTTTTTTTTAATGGCACAAACCCTGTGAACAAATAAATCTGCAACCAATTTATCTTCCATGGTTTTTAGTTCAAAAGAATATCATAAACCCACTATACACTCAGAAAATCAAACAATAACTGCTGGAGATAACAAAGTAAGAATGTACCATTTCCATAGTTTCAACCATAAATCCAGGCTAGAAATAGCTATTGAATGTTATTCAATAATAATGAGCATTTAGTCACAAGGATATAAACATTTCAATATTTTTGGAAAGTTAATCGGTCAGTTTTGTCTGATTGATTGTCAAAGCCTTAGTACGCGAAACAATATTTCAACTACAACAATCTGAAACCTACTGATGTGGCGCATCACGCTAAGCGTTGGGAATACGCTTGGCACCGCACCTAAGATTACTCTGCATGGGGTTCACAGGTTCGAATCCCATGCGAGTATATAGTCTGATAGTTATGTGCGAGAGGATCGGTGAACTCCTCGCGGCCGTAGGGTGGTTCACATAACCGCTGGTCGGTTACGGCTTCCTTCACCATCAAGTCCATGCTTCTGAAAACAAATAACTAACTAATCCTATAACCGACATGGAATGGTAACCGGACGAGAGGCCGTGGTTCGCCATAAGGTTAAAACGTCTTATGGGCTTTCTTATTCCCCGGGATAAATATGTAAATCCTATCCTAAATTTTGTATCCACTGTAGTGAGTAACATTTGCCAGGTAGGATAACAATCTGTCTTAGTTTGAAATCTATGTGGCAACTAATCTCCGACATTGGTCTGTTAGAATAGATAGTCAATGAAAGTCATGACAGAAAAACAAATTGAACATCATATATATCATGCTGTCATGATATTCCCAATCCTTAATACAGTAATACGTGTGGATAAAAAATTGATCAAGTATTACTGGTACACTCAGCAGCTACACACAGCTAGAGATGGGGCGAGATTCAGATCCGGACTCGGGTCGAATTCACGCATTTTTTGGACTCGGATTCGATTCCACGTCATTTTTACTGAGTCCATAATCAATTCTGTTCCTATTAATTTATGCCTATGTTTGTACCTTTACCTCTATAAATCTCTGTACATAACCTAACTGGTTAAAAACAAAGTTTAGAGCTATAACAATATCCCTCGTGTGTATTATAAACATTCCTAATAAAAACGACGACAGATATCCAGATAATATAACGCATGTTGAAAACTATTGATCGCTTATAACAACGATGTCGCCGCCAGTCGCCTTCAAACTATTTATATTTTTTGGTATACATGTGAACAATAAAATATGTGTTAGCGCAATATTGTTGAGTGTAAAAATGAAACATGCTCTGGATCAACCCAAGGGGGAATTTACTATTACCTCTTTTAAATCAAGATTATTATGTACAATCTTGTAAGAATTTCGTAATAGCTGTCTAGAATTAACGGTAGGTGGCGGGCTTCAAATGCAGAACCAAGGTGCACAGGGACACATGTTTACGTTTGTATTATGGCCGCCAAAAAAAAGAAAAATATATTACTGAAATGATTCAACAGCTATCTGTGGAATCAATATGTAAAAAATATGAGCTACGACGTATGTTTGTGAGCGCACGTTGCTATAGCATGGTCAAAAACTTGTTTTTCTGCTTTTTCATTGTGAGGTCACGGACTCGGAAGATTCGATTCGAGTCCCTGGGTCTGATATAGTTTAGTACCACATGCACTTCTAGTTGGCCTGGCTCAAAAATCTTTGCATATGTCATTCCTAACCCCCTCCCCTGACTACGGCACCAAAAAATTACGTCAATGCGACGTCATGGTGGCCTAATAAGATCCTCCGAAGTATACGGATGGTCATCCAAAACGCGCAGGCGATTGAGCAAGCTATTTCTCTCGTTTTTTTGTCGCAACGATCCCGATATGAGAGAAACCGTCAGCCTTAGTTATCGGCTGTGCAGATGCTATTTTGGGCGATCGTAGCTATACGGCAAGCTGATTCTGACGTCGTAGTGACATAATTTTTGGATGGCATTGTCAGGTGAGGGTTAGGAATAACATGGGCCAAATTCGTTATGCTTCGCCAACTGGAGGTTCTTGTGGTACCAAACTATACTAGACCCAAGTCCTCACCCTATTACTCTGATTTGTCGAATCTCTGTAATACCGGACTCGCCCCATCCCCAATACAGTAATAACAGCATAACACTGTCACTGTGGTTGTGATTATCTTCATTGTTTATTTACATTTCTCTAATTCACAGCCGGTAAGCAATGTCCCATTGCTCTTTAGTGTATTAATGACACAAATGTTACTGTACTGCCGTATGAATTTAGACTGCAAGTTCGTGCTATGTCCATCGGGCAATGATTCTAACTGTATTTTGCTCTTCTCATGAACGATGTTACAGGTACCGTACCCACCCTCATGTTGCTCAGGTGCGGCACCCAAAACCTAGTTCCGTATTTTGCCCAAGAATCTGTACGATACGGTACAGGTATGTCTGTATGTAGCTTCAGCTTTCTGTAAGTTTCCACCAGCTTCTCTTTTTTTTTAAATTCCAGTGCCAAACGAAATCCAAAATATCAATACAAAAATTCCACCAGCTTCTCTTTCTTTCTGCGTTGTCCGAACGTCAGTATATGCTGATATGACGTTGTCGGGAAATATTAGGTACTTCCCCTAGGATTTATCACCGGATCTACCCAGAGTCCAGCTCCAGACCAACAAAACAATATTATTATTGGAATAAACAATAAGGAAGCTTTTCGACTGAGCTGTATTTTCTGTTTTACAACAGTCAAGTGGCAGTATTAAATAGCTTCATCGCCAGCAATCACATTCTTAATTACAAACCATGTGTGATAATAAATACCGGTAGCCTGCGTCTCAAACACTGGAAAAAAAGTGTCATTGCAGATGAACCCACGACAATTGCACCTGTATACTATTGCACATATAATTTTTTTTACGGATATTTGAACCCATATTAACCCTAACCCAGTGGTTCTCAAACTTTTGGGTAATGTGACGCCCTCTCAATAAATACGCGGCGGTGTGGCTCAACGGGCTAAGCGTTAGGAATACGCTCGCCACCGCACCTCTAATTACTCTGCGTGGGTTCGCAGGTTCGAATCCCATGCAGGGATGGTTATGTGCGAGCGGATTGCTGGACTCCTCGCCGTCGTTGGGTGGTTCACGTAACCGCTGGTCGGTTAGGGCTTCCTCCACCACCAAGTCCATGCTTCCGAAAACAAACAATACAGTAAAACTAATCCCATACCCGACTTGGAATGGTAACCGGACGAAAGGCCGTGGTTCGCCATATGGATAAGCCGTCTTATCGGCTTTCCTCTCCCCCGGGATAAATATGTAAATCCTATCCTATCCTAAATATGCTCAAGCTGCGACATCCCGTGAAATACGTCTTGATACCTTCCAATAAAAGGCCTCTCTCTATTGCAGTGATTTTTATTTGAGTTATGCACGAAGAGAACTGACGTGGTGTCAATATTGAATATCCGTTGCTCAACAACGCTCGATATGTCTATGTTCATAAATGGAATAGAAATGAAGGATATGAATGTCTCAAGCTCATCTAATGTGTGTGGTGTCATAATTGGAATATTGAATGACCCGTGGCATTAGCGAGTTCATATATAAATTCAATTCAATTCGTTTATTACTCCAGACCGCTGTGGTCCATATAAAAACAACATTACACATAAACATAAGCAAAACAAAAATAACACAATAAATAAATAAAATACCTGATATGACAATCAGATTCACAGTAAGTCTCAAAAAGGAGTTATACTATAGCAATTTAAGAGACCAAAAGTGAGGTATAGAATCTAAGATAGTCCGTGACAAACAGTATCTGGGAATCAAATAATGATTGTAATAGAATGTTATTGGAGTTCCTGCATCTCGTCATGAACAACCACAGATTTTTTCTATGGAGTGCTTTGAAAGGGGGAATGTTCCCAGATACCATTTTGTGACGGACACTCTCAGATCTAGAGACACAGTGAATTACGCGATAAGCATTATTATATAAAATTTTAACTTTTTTATAATTATAATTATTGAAAAACAACCAGAGCTGGCAGTTATAAATGCTACAACAATACGCCCTAAATAAAAGATTTTTCACAGTAGTGGAACAATTGACAAATTTTCATAATTGTATGGGCTATAAAATAAATTGATTTATACTGACGTTTCAAGTCAAGGTCATCTCTAAGATCACTGGATAGGAAAACACCGAGATATTTAGTGGACGAAACATAAGTCAATACAGAATTACAAAGTTTGATATCAGGCAAATTATTCAGCCTAAACTTTTTATTCTGGATACACATACAAACAGATTTTTTCGAGTTGTACGAGATGTCATGTTCAATAGAGTATTTGTCGCATATGTTAAGTAAACGTTGAAGACCTTTGGCTGGAGGTGAAATGCAACACATGTCATCAGCATAAAAAATATGATTGATTATATTGTTATTTGCTGCACATCCAATGGTCTCTTGATTCAACTTAACAGAAAGGTCATCCATGAAAACAGCATATAAATATGGACTTAAGAGAGAAAGGATCTGACACACTGCTACCCCATCTAACAAACATGGATTGATTACGATACATGCGTACAATCAGCGATAAAATTATTTTGGGGATTCTTCTGTTGATTTATTTACGAAATAGAGTCCAGTGATTAACTTTATCAAAAGCTTTAGTGGCATCCAAAAAAGCTATGAAAACTAGTGATGATTTTTTGGAATAATAAGTAGCTAGCTGCTTTATTGTAAAAATGCACATGTCAGTCCCGTGACCAGGCTTGAAACCAAACTGGTTGTGAGATGTAGTTAAGTAAGACCCAATGTTATTTAAAATGTGTTTTTCAAAAATCTTAGATAAGACAG